TCCTTAATTAGTTGGCCCCAATTAATTTTTTAAAAAATTTATTTAAAGGAGGGGAAGATCATCCAAGATCATTAGCTGATCCTCATAGTGTTTGTAGCGCCAAGGAGGCCGATCTCGTCTTCGCGCATTGTCCATGTTATATTTGATATTATTAATATTGAACCGTTAAAAATCCGTGATAAATATAATATTCTTTATATTTATTATAATTACCTTTAAATTGATTGGATCAGTTAGACAGTACAAGATTTATATAATAAAAATATATATATGTATGTACAAGCAGGAATAATATTTTATTTATTAAAAAAAAACCATAATTATAATCACACACGCAGCATGATAAGAGTGATACGACAGCTTGGCATTATTATTCGACACAAAATATTACAAACAACGGTGGATTAGATCCACCCTCCACATATTGTTTTACCCTATTTTTTAATTTTATTTTTGTTTTCTCATTTGCATCATCTCCAAGAAAAAAAAATGAAATGAAATGAAAAAGATTCACCATTGTTGGGTTCAGTGGATGAGTCCATAGGGCTTCATCATCACCACCTTCTCCACCCAAATCTCGTGTCCTTATTGGTATATGCAAGGCGGAGTTGGAATCATTGATGAGAGTTTTTCAGTGGAGTTTTCAGATTCATTCATGTCTACTTCAGGGCCGGAGAATGAAGTCAAACAAGCAGACAGCGTTTCAAAATCGAGATTTGTGAATCTGTTTCGTCAGTACTCTGTTCATCAAATCTCCAGTAGTATGCGGAGTTTCAAGCTGAAAGACCGGTGCAAGACGATCCAAGTCCACGCCTTTAATCCGTCCGACACCTCCACGAGCGGCGGCGGCGGCGCCGCCGCCGGTGCCGCCAAGGTGTACCGGCATCATCATCATCAGGGTCACCCGACGATTAACTCCATCCTGTCGGACTCGCTAGAGATCGTGTCGTTATCCGCGGCGGAGACGCTGCTCCCGTATGGGCTGCCCACTACTGCCTCGCTTGAGCCGCCCATTGACCCGTTTCTCAAGCCCGTTGATTTCGTCGAATCCCTAGCGGAGCTCTACCGCCGGGTGGAGAAAAGCCCGGATTTTGGGAAGGCTTGGGTGTATTTGGAGCAGTTCTCGGTGCTGTGTAATCTGGGTGATCCGAAATTGCTCCGGCGGTGCCTCCAATCCGCCCGTCAACACGCCGTTGACGTGCATTCCAAGGTTGTTTTATCGGCCTGGTTGAGATACGAGAGAAGAGAAGACGAGATGGTCGGAAAATCATCTCTAGATTGCATTGGAAGAATCATTGAATGCCCCAAATCCGCTTTGATTCACGGGTATGATCCGGATTCGGTGTTTACCCATTGCAATTGTTATCAATCACCAAATCAGTCCCATGATCTAAGCAGAATCTCAGATGGTAATATTTTCCATAGCCCAGAAGAAGAGGAAGGGGAAGTAAGTTTCTGCATTGGCAATGAAGTGATTACCTGTCTCAGAGGTAAAATTGCTGCTCTCTCAGTTCCTTTGAAATCTATGTTGTATGGTAATTTCATGGAGGCTAAGAATGAAAGAATTGATTTCACCTTTATTGGGATATCTCTGGAAGGAATGAAAGCTGTGGAAATGTTTAGTAGGATAGGAAGATTAGATACTTGTTCACCCACTATAGTTCTAGAGATGCTTTCTTTTGCGAATAGATTCTGTTGTGAAGAAATGAAATCTTCTTGTGATAGTTATTTAGCTTCATTGGTGTCCGATATCGATGAGGCGTTGGTTCTTATCGATTACGCTTTGGAGGAGCGAGCAAAGCTCCTCGCAGCTTCTTGCTTGCAGGTGATACTCCGAGAGCTCCCGGGATACTTGTACAATTCGAAAGTTTTGAATATCTTTTGTAGCGCTGAGGCTAAGGAGAGATTGGGGATGGTGGGGCATGCTTCGTTTCTGTTGTATTATTTCCTTAGCCAGGTTGCTATGGAGGATAATATGGCATCGAAGATAACGGTTATGTTGTTGGAGAGATTGAGAGAATGTGCGAGCGAGAGGTGGCAAAAGGCCATCGCGTTCCATCAGTTAGGTTGCGTGTTGTTCGAGAGGAAGGATTATAAAGAAGCTCAATTTTGCTTTGAGGCGGCAGTCGAAGTTGGGCATGGCTATTCGGCTGTGGGTATTGCACGGACTAAGTACAAACAAGGGCAACGGTTTTCGTCTTACGAGATAATTGACGGTATGATCTCGACGTGTAAAGCCATGGGGTGGATGTATCAAGAGCGTTCTTTGTACAATCTTGGCAAACAAAAGATTTCGGATTTGGACGATGCCACTAGATTGGATCCCACGCTTTCTTTTCCGTATAAATACCGAGCTGTGGCAATGGTGGAAGAAAATCAGATCGAGGCTGCCATCTCGGAGATAAATAGAATTGTCGGGTTTAAGGTCTCCCTCGACTGCCTTGAACTGCGGGCTTGGTGCTTTATTGTTATCGAGGATTACAAATCTGCCATCAGAGATATTCGGGCATTGTTAACATTGGAGCCAAATTATATGATGTTTTCCGGGAAAATGAGAGCCGACCACTTGCTCGAACTCCTCGGTCTTCACGTTCAACAATGGAGCCCCGCTGATTGCTGGATGCAGCTTTATGACCGATGGTCTTCCGTTGATGATATTGGTTCGTTGTCCGTAATACATCAGATGTTACTAAATGATCCCGGGAAAAGTGTCTTACGATTTCGCCAATCTTTACTTCTATTAAGGTAAAATCATTAATCATTAATAAATGTTTATTGTTGATATCACTGATGCTAACTATTAATTGCCAATAACATACCGACACGAAATTTGTAGGTTGAACTGTCAAAAAGCTGCAATGCGCAGCTTGAGATTGGCTCTTAATCATTCGAGCTCGAAGTGCGAAAGACTAGTGTATGAAGGATGGATTTTATATGACACGGGGCACCGTAAAGAAGCGCTTTCTAAGGCCGAGGAGTCTATATCTCTCCAGAGATCATTCGAGGCCTTCTTTCTTAAAGCATATGCTCTAGCAGATACGACTTTGGATTCCGAATCTTCGTCGTATGTGATCCAACTGTTGGAGGAGGCCCTCAGATGCCCGTCGGATGGTCTTCGTAAGGGACAAGTACGTCCATTCCAACATTCCCTCGTTTTGATGTGGGTCCCAGTTGCGTTTTTCATGTTTCGTATGTTTGTTTGGCAGGCACTTAATAATCTCGGGAGTATATATGTGGATTGCGGGAAGCTGGATCTTGCAGCGGACTGTTACGTCAGTGCCCTCGAAATCAAGCATACGAGAGCTCATCAAGGTTTAGCACGCGTTTATTATCTCAAGAACGATAGGAAAGCTGCTTATGATGAAATGACAAAGCTTATAGAGAAGGCGCAAAACAAGGCTTCGGCTTATGAGAAACGATCAGAATATTGCGATCGGGAAATGGCAAATAGTGATCTCAGCATGGCAACACAATTGGATCCTTTGAGGACTTACCCGTACAGATACAGAGCCGCAGGTAGTATCTATTTCCCTTACTTTTGCCTAGGTATTAGGAAGTCGGACCGTATAATAGTAGAACAAAGTAACATTTATTGAAAAATGTCATTTTTAAAAAAAATTTCGAAGTGCACTAGGGTATAAGCAAGTTTCAACGCTGACCTGAAGGTCGCAATATTGGCTTTCGGGCTGCCAAAAGTGAAACGATGTGGGAAAAAAGCATTGCTTTTGCCTCGTTACACTCTTTCCCGTTCTTTTCTTGTTAAGAGTCCCACATTGATAAAAATAAGAGAGAACATATGGGTTTATAAGGCCATGGGTTAGACTAGCTAATTGGTTGGATTCAATGTGGTTTGGCCCCAGTTGAGTGATCCTAGCCCAATCTCTGTTTATAACATTCGTTACTTATTTTTCCCTTTTCGGTTCGGTTCTAATATTTGCAATGCCATGCATCAGTGCTTATGGATGACCAAAGAGAAACCGAAGCGGTAGAGGAGCTTACAAGAGCGGTATCCTTCAAACCCGACCTGCAAATGCTCAATCTCCGAGCTGCATTCCACGAGTCCATGAGCGATTTCACCTCGGCTCTCCAAGATTGCGAAGCAGCACTCTGCTTGGATCCCAGCCATAAAGACACCCTAGATCTCTACCACCGCACACGAAACAAAGCCACCACCCAGCATAAAGTTTGCGCTTCTTTCTACAATGCAGCCGGTCTGGGATGATCGCTTCGGTTCAGGGGCGAAAAAGGATCCACTCGGGATTTACCCTCGACTTGACTCTTCGGAAATTGGCTTGTCGTTTGATCATTCAGTTGCAAGGTTGGTGATAACTTATATTACAATGAAGGTGTATCTGTTCGGGTGCGAAGAAAATGGAGTGTGTACATATCTGTTGCAGCATTACATGATTGCTTAGGATCATCCTGACAATGGGGGTAATGTAGTTGATCCAAAAAAGCATTTCACGGCAAACAAACATCACACATGAAAAATGTTGTCACGGTAAACAATCAATTTTGTGGATTGTCTCATTGTAAACATCATTGATCCTTTCAAACAGATAATCAAGAAGTGCTCAAATTTTCTGCTCTACATTTTTCTTGAAAGTTTCATTCATGTTCCACAAGACTTTATTATTGTTTGCTGAAGAAGTTTAGTACTGTGCCCGGGGGCGCCTAACGCCTAGAGCTCCTTCTAGGTGGTCGAGTAATTCGAGTATATCATTCCCACTTTTTCCACTCCCCAACTCGGTGCCTAGGGCATCTAGTCGGCCAGCTAACTAAAAGCTGCCTAGGGTTGAAATCGCCTCGGTCCCGGGGCGGGTGCCCGCCTGATCCGATTTTTACAACACTACTTATAGTTGACCAGTTCAAACCAAGAAGGTCAATACACAACTCTTGTTGGGAGTCAGACTTGTAACCTTGTGATTACTAAGTCAAAAGTTTGACCAACATAGCTGAGGTTGTCCTTATGTATGATATTTGTTTAGTGGAAAGCTTGAAGAAGAAAAATTAATGGCATTGGTTACATTGCAGAGAATTCTATATAGACAGCACACTGAGATACAGATGGTAAAGAACCCATTACAGATACATATATATATACATAACAGGTTAAAGAATCAATCAATCAGCACCATTCTTGAATCTTGATGGAGTCAAGTTGGCAGGGGAGGGAAATCAAAAGGTTAAAAATAATAGTAACAGTAATAATAACAATAAGAATGACAACATGCGTCTGGAGATTGGTTAAGGTGAGTTTTGCTGTAATTTAAACCGTCTTAGATTGAATCTGTGGATAAAATCTCGAGCTCAGCCCACCAAAGAGGCGAAGTTTTTGGCATTGCACCATCGGGACCCATAGCTGTGATCTCCTTCAACCTGGAAACAACCTCCTTCACACCTGGTCTTTGTGTTGGGTCTGAGAGGATGCAATCTTTCATCAGAGCAAACAGTTTCTCGAGCTCTTTCTCCCCGTACGATTTCAGTGTAGGATCCACCATTTCTGTGTGGGGCTTCTCTTCCTTCAAGCAGATTGTTACCCAGTTTTCAAGGGAGCCATTCCCATCAGAATATGGAAGAAGCTTACCAGTAATCATCTCAAATAGTATCAACCCAAAGCTAAAAATGCAGTCTTCATCTTCATCTTCATCAGGTGATGGAAGATCTGATTCCCCTTTCTTTGCTTCATTCCAGAAGTTGAAATCTGATAACTTTGCTGCATAGTCTTCTGTTAGGTAAACAGAAGAAGATTGCAGGTTTCTGTGAAGTATGGGAGGGTTAAGCTGGTACATATACTCGAGGCAGTAAGCAATGCCCATGGCTATTCGCAACCGCATTGACCAATCCAAGTGCTCTGATTCCTTAACTGCAGACCAGACACCCAGGATTCACATTAGTTGAGGTTTGTCAAACATATGACAGAAACATGGGAATTAACAGACAATAACTTACTATGCAGATGTTCGAAGAGTGTCCCATTCGGGGCGTACTCAAACACCATCATCCTTGTGAAGGGACCTTCCTCTTTGCAATATCCAATAAGGTTCACAAAGTTCTTGTGGTTTATTTTCGATAAGGTGTCGATCTGAAAAACAAAACAAACGTAATGAAATTTCAGCAGTTTATAACTTCAAAATCATTTCAAGAATACTCGGGCTACTTGACATGCCTTGTTTCTGAACTGAGTTTCCAAATTCTCCGACCAATCTCCACCCGACTTTGCAGCAGTTGCTGTCACTGCTATTTCAACGCCACTCGAAAGGGTGCCTTTGTAAACTGTGCCATTCGGGAGAGAGCCAATTATGTTACTGAAATCTTCACAGGCCGTCTCAAGTTCTGATCTTTGGAGCTTTGGCACACCTGCAACATAAGAAATCGATCAAGATTTGATTTCTAGAGATAATCCTAATACGTTTTTTTTTTTTGTGGGTAGCGAGAAGAACTAACCTGTAACAAATGCTTTCTGCAGCTGTCCACTAAGCCCCGTTGCCCATGGTTTAACAGTAACAACCTTATTATTTCGGCAAAAGAAATACATAAGGGATCCAATGACTACTAGCACAATTGCCCCAGCTATACCACCTAATACATAAACCATATAATGTCTGAATTTTTTTGCATCTTCTGGAGCTTCACTCGGGGAAGGAGAGGGAGGAAGTGAGACAGGAGAGGTGTGCTGTGGCCTGGAAACAACTTCTGAATCTACAGAAGGCTTTGGAGCTGGAGATTTTGGAAACGAAGGAGCGGGTGAAGGGATGGAGGGAGATTCAGACATGGGGATCGAGGGAGGAACTGATATAGATGATAACGGTGCTGCAACGGGGGATGAAAATGGAGCTGCAGAAAAGGATGGCTGTGGCGATGGAGATGGAGATGGAGATGGAGATGGAGATGGAGATAACGAGAAGGAAGATGTTGGGGGTGATCTCGAATTCCTTCTACCCCGTGTAGATCTCTTATTTCTTGTAGCCTGCAAAAGCCTGCGAAAACCTTGGTCCCCGGGTTTCCTATCTTCCCTGTTGAACATTACAATCCACAAAAACATTCAGACAATCAAAATTCTCATGAAGATGAGCCATTTCATGTAATCTACCATTCAATCAACCTCTGAAAATTAAACTTTTCTGGGTATAACTAGCAATGAACTCAAAGAATCGAGGCTCAGAAAGGGTTTCTGAAAACCAATCTACATCACTCACCAGAAACTAGCCTTTTTAGCAGCACCACTTAGAAGGTTTTCATCCACTTGAGACTCAGAAAGGATTCCAAGTTCATGAATTTCGGGCACTGTGCTTCCAATATATTTGTTGTTATCCAACAAACTGCAAATGATAACCACGAAGCTCGAGTTAAATAAAACCATCAACACATATATAACCTTGAATACTACCTTAATTAGCTCCTCGAAGAATCAACTCACAGGATTGACAAGGAGAAGTTATTGCCAAGATCTATGGGAAATTGGCCACTGAAGTTATTATGCCCCAAATCCAACACTTCCAGTGCCCTCAGTTCTCCAATATCTTTTGGAATGATTCCAGTAAATGAATTGTTGCGTAAAATTCTGCAGATATGAGTTAAGAATCAGATTGACTGCATAACTAATCTAATCTAACTTCTTTTTCTGAAGATATCCTTACATGACTTGAATATATGTGAGCTTTGAAAGCTCAGGTGCCAAAGTTCCTCCAAGCTGAAGATCTCTCAAATTTCTGCAGTTATTATAAACATATGATCAGGGAGGGACAAGAAAACATCATTCAAAAGGATCATCGTATCAGAGGAATCACTCACAACGTTACAACTTTCCCATCCGAACATTCAACCCCAAACCAGCAACATGGATTCAAATCCCCATCGCCATTATACTTCCAGCTTGAAAGCGCACCAAACGGATCTTCAATCACTCTTTCCTTAAACCTCAACAGCGCCAATCCTGAAATAATCAACGTTCAAATACACTTCATCAAATCAAATCCCTTCCTAAAACTACAAACAATTTAAGATTCCGGACCAAACCTTCGCTGTTGGGCGACCAACACAAACCCAGATTATGATGAAAAACGCAGAACAGTACAAACGTTGTTGCTAAACGAAGCTCGAAACAGCTCATCCATCTCCGTTTTACATCCATTTTCTTACCATAACAGCACAAATTCAAACGAACAGCTTACAAAAATCAGCAAAAACCAAAAAAAAATGAAGAATTTCTGCTTTGGCTAAAATATAATATACAGTAGTAATACTATTTCAACGGAATATAATAAGGTGGTGGATCAAATGAGAACAAAAGTGATTAAAGAAACATATATGAATACAATGGAAACGAGTGGGGTTTGTAAAAGTGCAAGCTATTATGGCCGAGTAGTGAAGAAAACGCGTCGGAAAAATCGGTGAGATTGAAGGAAACTTACTGGAAGGTGGCGAGGAGAGATAAAATATTTAGAGGTGAATGCAAGTGGGCGATGAATTAATCGGCGATGAGAGTGGAAGAGAAGCTTGAGAATCGGTGGGATTTTTGTTTGAATATCATTGGACGCAGTGGCAGCTCCCCTGTCTCCATGGATACATCTCTGATTCTTCTTCACTTTCCGTCGTCTTCTTATAATGGCGCCGCCGTCCGAGATCCCAGTATGGAAACCACGTGCCTCTCACGTGCTCAAAACATTCTCCATGTTTTATGTAGGATGTTTTTGTCCAACATAAATTATGTTGTGTTTGGAAACTCGAAAAATAAGAGTTCTACTACATAGACTCTCAAAATTCTACTCCTCACTTATACTTCTTGAGTTGGCAAATCAGGGTTGGTTATTTTCATCATGTGGGTCCACAGAAAAATGTCAACATCAAGAACATGTAAGAGAGAGTACAAGTTGGGAGTTTAAATGAGAGTACACCAAGTATTTTTCGAAAAATAATATCTAATGTTCGATAACGAGAAAAATGATGGTCAATCAAAATTGATTTCCGATCAAAAGAAAAATAAATTTATTTTTTCAAAAAAATAAACAAAATCTCAAAAATTCAAAGTAATTTTTTCCAATTCTCCATCTTCTTTTTTGGTTTTCGTGAAAATTAAAAATCTAGTTCTCGGCAAAAATCAAACTAACTGATTTCCCAGTAGTAACTATTTATTTACAAGTATTACTATTTTCTTTATAGTAAAAATCTCGTCTAATATCTAGAGTATTAAATCCAATGAACTAAATACAAATTAAATACTCATAAGATTTTTTCTACAGTAGACTATTTCAATATTCGAGAAAATATCATTTATTTTATACAATATACAAAAAGCAAGTGTTAAATCATATGTAAAATTTCTTGATGATAGTAATAAACATTTGTGGATTAGTTGTATGGTGGTTCTGGTGGAATAATATATATGTATATGCTGATGAAATTAGCCCAAATTAGTTGACCATAAGTTGTTTGACCTGACTCACTCTCATAATTACTGCTCCAATAATATTATGGTGAAAAGAATAATATTATTTGCATGGACTTTTTATATTAAATATTATATTATATCTTCATAAACTACCATTATGGTCAACTAATGACAACATGACCAATTCACTATAAAATGGATAAAATAGCTGCTCCAATTATACCATTCTCAGTTTCTCATGCACCAAGATTTAGCTTCTGATTAAAATTGAAGTAAAGAAAAATAAGTTATCCAACTATTAAGTGAAAATCCGTGACCTGTTATGCTGCTCAATCACAAAGTTTTTGACTATAATTAGGTAATTAAACTATTATTTGTAGTGTATTACATGTTATTTTAATTTGTTTTGAATGTTGATTTTAATTGTATTTAAATATGTATACTCATTTTTAGTATACTACTTAAAAATTAACCTATATTACATTAAAAAATGAATCTTTAGTATATTAAGATAGATATTTATATCCCTATGACATTAGTACAGTGGATGCAAAGCATCACTTAAAGTTTGCTTCTAGCAACAAGGTAAGAGTTTGATTATTGCCATGAATATTGAAAATTTCGGTTTAAGTTCGATTTTTTTGTGTGCAGAAGTATATACGTAATTTAATGTCTAATCTTGAAACTAGATTGATTCAATTTACATCTTCATGGACCAGCTTGTAAAGCACGATTAACAATATAACTTGGCAATAATTGGCATCATTATTATTTTTATTATCTGATCTATGATGAATTTGTCTTAACTACTTTACTTGGACCTTGTATTTCTCTCCTCTCTCTTTTTTTCCCCTTTCAAACATCTTGTATTTTTTAATACATCCATATAAATATTTTTAAAGAATATATTAAATTAATAACGTTCACATGCTCCCATTTGAACGAACATGCATGTAATATGAATAGTGAATACTTTGAACAAATCTAGGCATTCCAAAGATAGATCTCATTGTTTTTATATCTCAAACGTTGAGAGTACGTGAATCCCATTTTTTAAGAGAAATTACAAAAGTTATTTAGAACTAATTACATGAAAAATTTACAAGAATATATAATGCTAGAGTGGACTAAAAATGGGGCAACTAACCCCATCAAGTTAATTGGATAGTTGACTTGATAATTACAAAGTTCAAAGTTTAACTTTCCGTGAGATCAGAGCTATCTATTGACTTTCTTGATTTGAACTGATCAATTATGAGTAATCTATGTCAACTCTTTTTGTGGTTATTTGCCAACTACAGTCACACGACGATTTTTTTTATAGTCTAAATTAAAAAACCCTTGTGATCTTTTTTTGAGCTAGACTCACAAAGGGGCAAGGTAGTCTACATTGGCTAAATAAGAGAAAAATTAAAGATGATGTGATGCTTCAATATTCCCACTAGGCACTAGGGATGTTATAATGGAGTTTTTTTTTTTTTTTTTTTTTTTTTTTTTAATGGAGTATAATACATAAAACTTTTTAAAATATAAAGGTTCATGATTTTGACAAATCTTGAAACAAAAGAAAGGGAGGGTGAAAGTAGAGAAGGGTGACAACGATGGTGAGTCCATTGATTGGTATAGTGTTAATTAATTGATTAATTAAGGACAAAGGAATACGATGGTTGATTAATCCTTTAACCAGTTGCATGGATACACTTGCTTTTTGGTTTTGTCTGCAAGCTTGATTGATGATGTGATGAAGCTCTTCTAACCTGATCTTCCCTCAAATTATATGAAAAATCCCTACATATTTCAATTTCTATATGATAGAATTATAGGATAGTTCAATTAGCCCAATAATCAAAACAATAAAATTTTGTATTGATTGACTGGGGAAGTTGTTGATCGGTTGATAAGATGAACTTATGGGAAAGTCTACACCTAAAAGGTTACTAGGCTGGTTATAAGGATTGCAGGTTGGCACGTTGTCTAATTGGGATAGTTGAATAGACTAATGGATCGACTGCTTCATCCCTCCCGTCCGCATGATCCCACTTGCCGCTAGTGATTATGACTTAGACCAATCGTTATGCTGTGCATCCGTACCATGCATGGTGCATCCGGATGCAAAAACGACGTCGTTTTGACGTCTAACTTAAAAAAAAAAAAATCAGAATTGAATAACTACACATCCATAATTTCATAATTATACATCCAGAATTACATAACTACACATCTATAATTTCATAACTACAAATTCATAATTGCATAACTACACATCTATAACTTCATAAGTATACATTCATAATTGCATAACTACACATCCAAAACTTCATAACTATAAATCCAGAATTGCATAACTACACATCCATAACTTCATAACTATAAATCCAGAATTGCATAACTACACATCCATAACTTCATAACTATATATCCACAATTGCATAACTATACATCCAGAATTGCATAACTATACATCCAGAATTTCATAACTAAAAATCCAGAATGAATGAACTAAAAAAATAAATAACATAATGTTGTTGCTTGGAATCGAAACTGATTTTTTTAAAGTAGGACGTGCGTTTTGATGCAAAACGACGTCCTTTTTGCATCCGTATGCACCATGTATGGTACATACGGATGCACAGCATAATTTGCCGACTTAGATAGACGTACTTATTGTAATAAAATATAATGTACATAACTAAACTAATTCTGTTCATGAATTATAGTATACAAATAATTAGTTGCTGTTCCATACTTCCATATTGTAGTGGTATATGATAATTTTGTATTATAGAAATGTATGTAGGGATTAATTTAATGAAGTAGCTAGATAGAGGAAAGGTCACGGGCCAATTCTTGCAGCTGCTGCCAATGACATAAGACATTGCATGGGCCAATATAATTGACCATTCACCTCTCCAAACCAATACCTAGTCTTAGCCATTTGTTTATAAGCTAGGTTGCCGTCACATACTCACATATATGATTATTATATTTTTTAAAATTAATATATTTAACTTACCATTTGAACATGAGAAGTTTATTATTGTAAAAAGGACACCATACCCTCCGATCCTCTTCTTGAATCCACTTAAGCTAAGTGTGAAAACCATGCCTGACCTTAAAAATGGCAACGTTTGAACTCTGTTCTTTTATGGGGAAGATAATCCTTCCTTGTCTTTTTATCACTTGCATCTCACCCGGCCCCATCCATATCCAATTTGGTTTTGGTTCGCCTGTCCACATCAACCATACTAAATCTCGAAGAACACTTCTTGCAGGTTCAACCTCACAAAATATCACATACTGACAAAGAGTCTCAGCGTTTTGGTCTAGTGAATAAGAAATCCTATTTAAAACTTGTTTCTAATGATATGATGAGTTCGATTTGTAACAAATTTAGATTTAAATTGGGTTTCTTGTGTACAAACATGTATAATTTAGTTACAGTTCCGAAATTATATTATTTCAATTTACTTTTTTATGTGTCTATAGGTAGGTTCGTGGGGTCTATGATATAATTTAGTGAAATTGAAAATTTTGAGTTATAAAAAATTTATTAGAGGTAATATATTCCTATTTACTTCCTACATTTTACGTAGAATTTGTCATGTAATGGCAGGAGATGGCGTGGTTGAAAGTTGTTGGCTAGCCGCAATTTAAGATTTTGTAAGTATAAATCCATGATAAACAATTTTAAATTTGTGTAGTCTAACATGTTATCGGCTTATGATAAACAATTTAAGCAATACCCATGATTTGGGATTTAAAAAAAAAAAAAAAAAAAAAGGTTTTAGCTTCAACCTAATTTTTATTTTATTAAAAAAAAATGTTAATAACGTTAGGATCAAATTGTGTAAATTTGTTGACGGATTTTTTAAATTTGAGGTATTAAAATTTAAAAATATAAGAGCATACTCATCAGTTATGCATTTTACACGATTTTTGAAGTGTCACTAGGAAAGAGAAGAAGGAAAAAGAAAAAAAAAATAAAAGGAGGTCTGACGCTGAAAAAAAAAAAAAAAAAAAAAAAAAAAAACCAGCAAAGGACACACGCCCGCCTACATCTCCAACACGCGAAGAAAAGCAGTATGCTTTGTTTACATTTCTCAATCAGTGGACCCCATAAAAGTTTTGCACTTGCAGGCAAAAAATACACCAAAAACTCATCTCCCATTTGTACAAAAACTACACATTTAGTTTTAACTATTCCAAGAATCATAAAAAATACAATATTATAGATTGTCGAATAATAAAGTAAGTGCGCGCACACACACACACAATTTTGGTAGTCCTAATGAGATCTACAAAGACATCCTAAAGACACAAAACTGAAAGACATTTCTCCATTCAAAATATATTATTAGGCCTGAAATCATGTTTGGGCTGTAGCAAGTCTATTTCAGTTCAAAGCATAAACCCATCAATTAGGCTTACATAAACGGAAAAGTGGCCCAATATTAATGGGCCTGAATACCTTAGTGGATCACAAACATCAAGAGTGCTATATGTGTGGGCTGTCTGAAAAATAAGCCCATCAAACTATTTGAGGATAGAAAATGCAAATTATTCCGTCGACTCGGGTCCACCTTGCAAGGTAAGGTGGACCCAGGTCCAACGAACACACAATGTTAACATATATGTAATTGATTACCTTATGTGAATTTGAAATGGTAACTGATTATTGAAATGTCATCACACTACATGGTAGTTGGCAATTTTATAACATATTAATCACAAATTATATCATGAACCAAAGTTCATATTACACGATGAATCTTGGGACAAAAAACCTCATTAACCGTGTCAATCATTGCATCATGTTTAGTAACATTTTCATATACTATGTTCATAAATTATTCTATATGTTCATAAATCTAAACTTTAATTCACATAAACATGTATATCATATCTATTCATTTACTTTGTAGTAAGTATATAATGTTCCTTCTATATGTTCATAAAAACAAATCTTATTCTACATAAACATTACACTACATGCGCATCAAATTTTAATAACATTTATCCTATGTTACATTCATAATATTTGTTCTATATTATTATAAATCAAAACCTTAAAGTGAACAAACACTAAAATATAAGTACATTATATATATTTCTATTCACTCTATAGCAAGTCCATAAGCTAGATATCTTGTGGTTAACATAATTGTGACTTTCTCAAATAGGAAGTTACAGCCTTACAGGTTTATAAAAAATTTAACATTAATTAGATAAATTGGAACAACCAAATATGACAATCCTAGTAAAGTAGTGACATTAAATATGATAAACTTTATAAATTATGGACTAAATATGTGATGACAATCATGTGCGTTATTACAAAACCACAAGACAGAAGTGACATTTGTATTCGATGGCAAAACATAGTGGGAATGAATTTATTATGGTTTTTGTTGACAAATGCAACATAATCACGTGTCTCGTGTTTTCACTTGATTCATGACCACCCAAATCAAGAATACAGACTGTTATGGTCCTACAATTCTAAAAACTCCATTCACCCATTTACAGAACAAACTAAGTTACACTTTCAAATTGAGAAACCCAAAAAAATAAAAGGACCAGACTACAAAATGACATAAAATGAGGGGGCGGGGAGTGCAAATATTTTTTTTGTTTCACCTCCTCATGATTGATGACGTCATCCTAGCTAGAGCCAAAATCTAATCGCACGGTTCAGAGGGGCGCACGGGAACAAGAAGGGCAGTTGATGAGACCGCTTTGACTGCACGCCGTACAAGTCCTGAAGCCGCACTTTTCGCCGTCGCTTACGTCACACTCGTCGCAGAGGATATACCGGTGGCCGTCGCAGAGCTCGCACGTGTCGGGGTTGGCCGGCGGCAGCCCTTCCACGCACTTCTTCAGCTCGCCGGACTCGTGGAGGCGCCGGATCTCCTCCGCGCCGCCAATGTACTTCCCGCCGATGAAGACCTGCGGCAGGGTTAGTTTCGTCCTTTCACGCACCCCCAGGATCCCCTGCAGCTCCTCCCTGAATCCGGCGTCGGCCGACAAATCCCGCTCGTCGATCGACACGCGGAAGCTCCGCAGGACCGACAGAACATCCCGGCAATCCTCGAACGTCCGGCGGACCACGCGGAGGCTCGTGAAGTACACCACTATCCGTTTCTCGGCTCCCGGGAGCGAGATCGGCGCGTGCGATTGACACGTCGCATTCGATTTGTTCTCCGGCGGCGGCGATAGAGCGCGTAGAAAGGCGTTGGCGAGGCGGACGCGGTGGAAGATGTAGTGCTTCGCGAATTGGGTCGGGTGCCGGCAGCCGGAGTCGTCGGCGATTAGGGTTTGGATGTCTTTGAAAGAGGAGCAGGAGAAAGTAGTAGTGTTGCTAGGAACCCGAATCTTTGAGTTGGTTCGAGTTAGCCACATGGATTCGAAGAAACAAGGTTCGACTTTTCGAATGAAATTCGAGGGATTTAAGGTCGGAGAAATCTATATATTGTGTTGGATTTATGCCGGAAATGAAGAAGAAGATGAAGAACAGGAGAGGGGAAAATGGTGACAGGCAGGAGTGGGTTGGTAACTGTTAAGTTGGCTTTTGTACTCCCCCATTCATATATTACATTATTACTCGTTGAACAAAGAGATCAGAGAGAGAAAAAGAAAATCTGAGTTTTATTTATTTCATTTTTCTTTTATTATTAAGGAGGGAGAGGATGATCATTTACCTACTACTAATATTATATTTCATATCTAAAAAGTGAAAAATACGGAATTTTCAATCACTCTTTCGACCATCTAACAAAATTTTAATATCTTTTCAATTTTTACCATCACTATTAGTGTTGATCAAAAGGATCGAAACATGCATAATGGAATAACGAGATGATATATTTGTTAATCATTCATCTGGTTTAGGGATGTCCTTCTCGAGTAGGGGTCGTCCGGAACTAACAATTAACATCCAGTGTTAAAGGTGTTAAGAAATACGTACTTTAACAAAAATGGTTGGACCTATCGAGCAAGGTTATATGCTCGAATAATTAGTGTAGCATGTGCTTAGTTGAAATATTAAATATGCTAATTTATATCAAATTATAGGGATTATCCTTGACTGCACTATATATAGTCTACACTTGATCGATATCGGATCCAATACTTGAGAAGAGCCCGTCCCCACCACGTACTTCTCCGACCTGGATCCCAGACCGGGGATTGTATTGGTGGTCAACTAGAGATTAGTACCAATTGCTCTGTCTCAATCACATTAGGTCGAGACCAAGCAACCGAACTTTGGTACTTAGAGCACTAGCTGAGCACAACGATAGTGGACCCTATGGCGACAGGATCGAAATCTGAGAACACATGGGTGAATCAGCTTGGACCACTGCCCTCACCTTTTGCATGTGCTCCACGTGTCGTGCATGCCGAGAGACCTTCCATGACACTCCCTATAAATACCGCATTAAATGCAAATTAAAGAGGGGGGAGTTTTAGGCAATTTCTAAACCTTACTTTAAACTCGAGAACCTTTAACACACTGTCACGTAACCCGAGTTTAAGGACTTAAACCAACAAGCAGACTAAGAAAATAGCCAAAATCGGACACGGTCGTGATACTTTACAGATTAGTAGTATCGGCAAATTATGGTGCATACGGATGCAAAAACGACGTCGTTTTAATAAAACGTGCGTCTCCCCTTAAAAAAAAAAAATCAGGTTCGATTCCCAGCAACAATATATGAACTAAAATTCCATAATCGATGAACTATAATTCCATAATCGATGAACTATAATTCCATAATCTAATCTATGAACTAAAAATTCCAGAATAAATGAACTAAAATTCCATAATCTATAAACTAAAATTTCAGAATCGATGAACTACAATTCCATAATCGATGAACTATAATTCCATAATCAATGAACTATAATTCCATAATCTATAAACTAAAATTCCAGAATGAATGAACAATATAATGTTGTTGCTGGGAATCGAACCTGAATTTTTTTTTAAGAGAAAACGCGCGTTTTTTAATAAAACGACGTCATTTTGGCATCCGTATGCACCATGAATGGTACATACGGATGCACAGCATAATGATTGAGTAGTACCCACCGTATTTACTACATACAAGTGTAAACTTGTTTTGAGTATTCTAATTTCTTCAAATAATAACATCAGTGATAAAAATTTCCAATAAGTCAGCACAATTTTTTAATTGCCTCTTAAAAATATGAAAATACAGCATTGATATTCAAAAAATGCTTCCCACCCTTACAATTCACCCTATTTTTTAAAAATATTACGGAGTATTTATTTTTATAAATTATTGGTGAATTAACTAAACATACTTGAAATTTAAAAAGAATTTATGTATCCAATAATTACAGTGTCTACTTCATCGTTCTTAGTATTTAGGATTAATAGGACAAGGATAAGAAATATAGTATACTGATAGAGAATGGTCGGTCAGATGTTGCTGTTTAATGAGGTGAAGGGGAGGTTATTTAAGGGGTGAGAGGTCCTGTTTTAAAGGTGAGATTAGATGTCAAATGGCTGAATACAGGGGACTAATAAATATCATGAAAAATGTTGAAAATAGGGTGATAATACATTAATACTTGATATGAAAAGGCCATTTAAGCATCACTGAATAATGAATATTAGTAAATATGTCTTGTATATAATCATTGTTGTAATACATGAAACGGAATGTCATATCAGAGGTGTTATCCGATGATTATGTACAATTAGACTTTTAGCATTCCAGCTCAATCTTAATACAACTAGGAATGACAATAGGTCGGGTGTGGGTCGGGGAGGGCTACATCCATCACCCGACCCACCTTATATTTTCTCCACCCACCCCCACTCCCAACCCGCATCGATCTGCCTTGTAACCCTAACTCATAAAGAACGATAAAAAGGTAAATCAGTCTAAATTGTTCATAAGTGATCGGCTCAAAATAAGAATTTTTTGGGTATACGGCTCAAAATAAGAATGATATATATCTCAACTTTATAATATTTTGAGTTAATTAAACACAAAAATGATATATCAATTAAACTACTTGATATATAATAAAGTTGAAGATGTGTACATTTATGGGACCATAATTATGATTTGGGCATAGTCATTGCAAAGGCACAATCACTAAGACATGACAACCCCATGCTACATCTCACATGCGTCGTCTTCTTTTGGTAGAAGACATCAGATTCCATCAACAAAAGCCTCGTTTATTATCCACACATGATAAAGACGGATTGGATAAAAGAAAACAAAAGTTAACTCTTTTCCATTATTTACAATAATATCACTTTTCCACCTTATTTTGTATACATCTATATTTATATTCTTATTAACTCATTTAATAATAAAACTCACATTATATTTCTTATGATGTCTAATACATATAAACAGAACGTACATAAAATCATTGACTTTACGTAACATGTTCAAGCCTTTTCAAAAACAAGTTATTGTATGTTGATAAATATTCTCCTAATAAATTAGAGATCTCTCAAGGATGGCAAAAGAATAGGATAGAGATGTGGGAGTATACTCCTTATCCCAAAATCGAACCCCTTTCCTATCTAGATACAACTCATCGTTTCCCTGTCTTGGATGGAGTAACGATGGAAGAAACTTGTAATTCCTAAATCTCAATGCTCAGGGCTCAATAGGGATGACAAAAAGGCAAGACGGGGTGAAGAGTATACTCCTCATCCAAAAACCGCACCCCTTCCCTTCTCAATTCTTATTTCAAAAGGTTGAATCTTCAATCCCAAAGGTTCCCCACACCTGGTCCGATAGAGCATTTGGGAGGATGCAAATCACGTTGACTCAATGACTCAGCAGATAGCAGCGTTAAATAATGCCGGTGTGCACAAGGAATCTGCCCACTTCGGGCATAATCTCCACACTGCTGTTGTCGATGTTCCAACTTTAATTTCTTCTCCCAAATACTACCTACTGAATCAGTGAGCTAAGCCCGTGTAGATCTCCTTTCTCAACCCTGATAAAATCGAGTGGATATATTTCATTAGTTGTCCAATGCCTTGATTTAGTCCTGAACAGATTTTTATTCCTTCTTGCCCACTTTTTCTCAGGTTATTAGCTGCCACCAACAGCTGTATATTTAGTGTCTAAGTTAGATTTGGTGACCAAATGAGAAGTATCCAATGCATCATGAAGTATGGTTTAGACCAAGTACACAAGACTTGTAGAAACTAGTTAATAAAATATTGGTATTAACCAAGAGTTGAGATGTCCTTGTTCTTTCCCTTTTATTCCCTTGGGGGGAGAGGGGGGGGGGGGGGGGGGGGGACCATATAGTATACATAATTACTGTACCCCAACATTGCTTTGTATGTTGTATCTAGTACTGGTAAAAGCAAGTAAAATAATTCATCCAACCAAAGTGAGTGCATTCTGAAAAAGTTCCAATCCCATGTGTTTCAACCAAAATATATAACATAAAGTGCAAATCCTTGAACTTGCTTCACATGATACTCCCACTTTGTTTCTTCACCCTCACTACTTCTTACTAATCATTTTCAGGGTACAATATCATCTCATATATATTTTTAAAATATAAATTTTGTGAAAAAAATATAAATATATCATTGTTGATACTGTAAAATTTTCTGGAATAAAACATAAATTTTATTATTTGGTACAAACTAATTGAGTATAATAGATAAAAATTAGCAATAAACCGTTTTACCGAGGATAAAAAATCAATAGATGAAATGATACATACAGTACTCAGAAAATCAATAGTTAGGGGTGCGATTAGTTTTTGGTTAATTATTTGAAAAAAAAAGTTTAAGATAATCGTAATCAACAAAAAACACGTAAATAACATACATTTTTTAAATTTCATAACTAAAAACCGAAAATTGCTCACCTTAAAATTGAATTTCCCTCTAAACTCCCAAACCATCAAGATAGACATGATTGACCTGTAACCGAGTTAGAAATCAATTTTTTTTTAAAAAAAAATTATAATTGAACATTTTGATTGATTTGATTATAGGTCCTTGGTTACTTGGTCTCTTGGTCGACTTGTTTTGCGACAAATTATTGTGTTGACTATAACAAAAAGTACATTTTTAATATACTAAAAATAATTATTCGTGCACTGAATGTACATTATACAATATAATGTACTTTCAGTACTCAAATAATATATTTTTCATGAATACAATGTACATTTTTAATATACTAAAAATACATTATTTGTATACACATTATTTGACAGTATGATACACACAACTGTGTGGACCAGATCCAAATGATTTGTGTTTTGTTCACTCCTACCAATAGTGTCATTAACTCTAATTAGATTCTTTACCATTTATAATGGGCCAAACTTTTGTGTCCTCAACAAACCAAGTACGGCAAATTATTGATCCACACAGTCTTACGTAGACTATAATAAAAGAGTACATTTTTAATATATTGAATGTACATTATTTTGTACTGAATGTGCATTATACAATATAATGTACACTCAATACAAGAATAATGTACATTATTTTTGTATTGAATGTATATTTTTTTGTACTGAATGTACATTATTTTACAGTATACAAAATATGGTTCACACAACTTGTATAGACCATGATCCACACAATAATGATTGACAACACTTACATATCTACAAATAGATGGGCCCATTATACCTCCCAAATTAAGCCCACGATTTATTTGCAATTGAAATCTATTGGGCCGGTGGAGCCCAATAATAAAAGGGATAATTTAGTCATTCACGCTTTCATCTTTATACGAGGTAGAAATATACAATCGAGCTAAGTAGCAGATCACTGTCGTGGAGAAGTAAGCAGATAGGCGAAAATGGAGGAAGGAAGAGGCAGCAATCCTCAGAAGCCGTCTGCGATTATTGTGAATGTGAAATTCGCCGGAAGGAATATTCCGGTGGAAGTCTCCGCCGACGCGACGGTCAACGAACTTAAGTCTCTACTCCAGCCGCTCACCAATGTCCTCCCTCGCGGCCAAAAAATCATCTCTAAAGGTTCGCTCTTCTCGCAGAACACTTGTTAACTGAAATAGTTCGATCCGATGAACTCAATTCACGTTTTTTTGTGCGTAATTTGTTGTGTGGATGCGGATAGGGAAAGTTATTGGTGATGAAATGACACTGAGGTCCTCGGGCATTGTTAATGGCTCCAAAATCATGCTCATGGGCTCCCAAGGTCTACACCAAGGGGTATCTTTTTCTCGGAATTTCATTTTGAACTTTAAAGTTTTCAGAATTCTCATAGCATATGTTCACATGCGCTATTCAATTTTGTTTTGTTTTGTGAGTGAAAATTAGTGATAGAATATGAGATTAGGGTTTGATTCGACTAAGCCTTGATTGTGAAGGAATTATTATGTTTTATGTTTCTAAGGATGGGCCAATTACAAAAGAAGCTTCACCATTGTCAACTGTGAGAAGGCCACATGAATCTCATAGGCCAAAAATGGAAAAGTCTCAGGTTTATGTTAAAAGGAGTGACCATGAACGACGGTGGCAGGTTACTGGGGTATTAGGATTATCTGATAGCGGTCTGAAGGTAAGATGGATGCAACCATCCATCTCTTATAATGTTTTTCTTTTAATGTTTGAAATATATCACCAACTGAATCTCTTGTGTCTTATTTTCTTGAATTCTTTACTTGTTTTTGTTTTATAATTGGAACTTGGAAGGCCATTCCTGATGAAATATGGAACTGTGGACATTATGCTAGACTTCTTGATTTGAATAACAACTCAGTGAAAGATGTTCCGGCTAAAATTAGTCGTTTGGATTCTCTTACGGTAAATAAATCCCCCTTGATAAAGTTTTTCTTTAAAAAAAAAAAAAAAGAACTTTATTTTATTAACTTATCCGCAATGGTGGTAATATATACACGTTGGTTTAATTTATAGTTGTAAATTATTTCACAGAAACTGTTCCTTAATGCGAATGGCATTGAGGATAAATCTCTTAGCTGGGAAGGGATAGCGTCTCTGAAACATTTGGAAATTCTTTCTTTGAACGAGAACCAGTAAGTTGCTTCTATTCCACAAAGATTAATTTTTCCATTTCTAATTGTCGAAGATGACCAAAAGATACTACTAAATGCCTTTAAGGAAGAATATACAACTCTTTTATTAACATTAATCATCCTTCCAGACCTTCCCTCCCTAACTTATCTTGTTGGTACTCCTTAAAATTTGGCTCCAAATGTATATGCAATTAAGAGTTCTATAATATTATTTATTGGCTCTTAAAATGATTACTTTGGGTGATATAGCAGTAAATAAGCCAGAGCACCCTAAGATAGAGACTCTGCACACAATTGGAATTTTATTTAGTTCCTGTCTCTGTAGAGAATAGTCCTTTATTTATTTGTATTTGCAAACATCTTCTTGTTATTTAGCTTTGTACCAAGCTATGAAGTAAAAATCATGTTGTCTGTATCTGGAATGACATGCAGATTAACAATTATACCTTCCAACCTCGGTGCATTGAGAAGCCTGCAGCAGCTTCATATTGCAAATAACAAGTTAACCTCTCTCCCCACTGAGATAGGCCTTTTGACTGCACTTGAGGTTTTGAAAGCCAATAATAACAGGTAATATGCAATGGGAAATTGGTATTATTCCATGTGTACCTCTTCTCTTCCCCACTAACTGACTCCCTTTTCCCCATGGAATGGATATTCTTAAAACTAAGGGTCAAATGTTCTCTTGTGTCTCTAGTGTCTGTACCTTTTTTACTTCTTTTGTAGTGCAAACAAATTGTTTGTTTGTAAGTTTTCATTTTGAATTGGTTTAATGTTAATCATTCTTCTATTTGGTCAGATGTTTTTTTATATATATTTTCCCTTCCTGAAGTTGTAAATTGAAGGGTGCCCATCAAATTCTAACTAATGAATATCTAGCGTAGTACAGATTAAACACCATTCCAAATAGCATAGGTGGATGTGCTTCTCTTGTTGAGGTATGACTCTCTATCTCTCTCGTTCATTTATTCATTGATTTCTTTCTGTGCATTATCATTTGAACATTGCATAATATTTGGAATATCCACCATCCTAAATTTTACTGTTCTGTTAAATCTCGGAGTTACATATATATGACTACTTGGTTTGGTGCAGATTGATCTTTCCTGTAATCTTCTGACTGAGCTGCCTGATACGCTTGGCACGCTGAAGGATTTGAAGGTCAATCTGCCTTAAATTTCTTTGACATAATGTTTATTTTGCCTCTTTTAACTTGTAACTCGGCCTCTGTTAGAAAGAAGATGCTTAATCTGACCTCCCTTCCGCACAGTAATATGTTCAGAAGTTAGTTTCCCCAAAGCACGAATAATGACCACTTGTTTATTACTAAGCTACATGTATCTACACTTGGAAAAATGGAACTGCTGGAGGGTTTTATCCTCATTCATGTCTGTTTTTATGTAGGCATTGTATCTCAGAAACAACGGTCTTACATCTCTTCCTACTACTATATTCAAATTCTGCACTAAACTCTCAACACTGGATCTCCATGCTACTGAAATAACAGTAGATCATCTACGCCAGGTTAGCAAAAATTATTATACCCTACGTTGAAGCATATGACATTTCGTTTTGTCTCTAACTCTCACAACCTATATATCTTGACAGTTTGAAGGATGGGATAGTTTTGATGAGAGGAGGCGTTTAAAGCATCAAAAGCAGCTGGATTTCCGAGTGTCTAGCTCAGGCCAATTTGATGAAGGTGCTGACAGAAAATGAATAGTGCAAAAAAACTCTTGCATGAGTTGGCTGTCTGATGATATCTTTGTACAACATCCATCACATTGGCATTCATTCCTGACCCGCTATAGATACAAGTTCAATCCCCTTACCCCAACATTGATAGCAATCTGCAAGCTTCTGTTGCACAAGGAGGGCAAAAATGACAGTATGTAGCTATAATTAAATGAGCTTATTGATTTGTATTTGCTATAGAACACCCCATTCCCCAAAGGATAGTTGTTGTTATGATTTTGTGGTTAGCGGTATCACTATATGACTAGAGTTGACAGGTTTAATTACAATTTTTAAAAAAAATTAAAGACATAATTATTCTTTAGTATAAAGTCTATGAATCTATTTGATCATTTTTCCTACTAAAAGGGCGGGTGCCTGAGAACAAGGCAGAAAGAAGTTTTTTTTTTTAATGAAGAAATCTAGATGGTACTAATCAACCTAATGTCAGCACCAAATTATACCAGTCGGCCATGTACAGGTTGACATAATAGTTGCCTTAAAGTTGTCCAGTTCCTATTAAGTGATAATGGTACTTTTATGTTTTCTTCACAATAACATGTAAATCCTCTTTTATCGTGAATCTATATAAATTATAAGCCAACTTCCAAAAGAAGAAATCTCGCAGATAAAAAAGAAATGATACTGGCACAACAGATTTAAGTACTCAAAAAAGACAGTCAATCTGCATAAAAGTCAGTAGTAGAAAGTCACTGATACGTGCCCCAAAGTACGGGGAAAGATGGATGGCAGGGGAACATACAAAGAGCTCTATCAGAAGTAAACAGATACGAGAGGGATGTCTATGTCATTATCATCATCATCCTCACACGCAACCACGACATCCAAGTGCCGACGATATGGCGGCAACTCCACCTTGGCGACCTCCCTTGCCAAATCCACTACTTTCTTGTCCATTCGGTCCCTGTGCCTCGGAAACATGCTGTTGAAAAGCAGGCAGCTTCCACATGAAATGCTGTAGGCATTCAGGCCCTTGTCTGCAAGCCATTGGATAAGCTCCTTCAGTGTAGGGTTGTCCTTAATAATCCATCTATCCCAAACAGTCCAGCTCATATCCTTGTGCTTGATAACCTTCGGGGGGACAGGTTCGGCCATGGAAAACAGAGGAAGTGCAAGGTTAGCAAATGTGTTGCGATAGTCCTCCACTTTGTGCCCCTCTCCTAGAACCTTGTACAGCTCAAGGCAAACCAAGCCAGTAGCCATTGCAGTAGAGGTTGCAATTGCAGGAATAATCCTACCAGCAATAAATTTGGCTTTCAGCTTGTCTACTTCTGGTATACTGTAGTTTCTAGCCCTCATATTAGCAAGCCCAGCAATCATATCCATATGGTAATTTGTGTCATCATCCTGCTTAAAACCAAATATTTTCAGAGTTAAATTTATATTCGAGTTAAAATATAATAATATAATAATTCCTAAAAGATGAATATAATTAATAATTTCAACCTTCTCAAATTGAATAGGTTTCATCCTGAAGTTTGGAGGTAGATTCTTCCTACACTGTTCCACCTTCATTATTAGTTCATTGATAACTGCAGCATCATCTATTGACGAAGCAGTAAGACTGATGGCCTTCTCATCAGTCTCAATTTTCACACCTTTCTTGGGTTGAAAGTCGGGGACAATGATACTATCAACAGCTTCTGCTAATTTCTGTGGTTGCTTGGCCCAGTCAGGAATAGGGATTCCAAATGTCTCAGCACGTAATATAGATGCAGCCAAAACTAAATGGAGATGGCTCTGATCTTTAGAAGAAAACTGAAGTGGTTGAGGGAAGCGTTTAGGGGCAGACCAGAAAGGTGCTCCAGTACTTGTTGCAGCATCCTCAGGAAATGTAAAAATCAATTGTTTGACACGATTTGCAAAATAGTCTTCAAACCTGAAAAAGAAGATAACAAAAACAAAAACAAAAACCTCAGTCAGGAACTGTAGAAAATGATTTTTTTTTATCCAACTTTATTTCTGGGGGAAGAGAGGGGTTGGCGGGAAAGGAAAATAAAAAAGCACTCAAAGATTCTGGAAGAGAACAAAAGCCAAAATGTTAGCTGTCATACTTGTGCCGTGCCCATGCAATGCAATTTTCGAAGGTTTCACATCTTTCCCTGTCTAGGCACTCAAGAACTCGTTCCAAGTTATCCCTTGCTTGAGCATCACCAGCTTGGATCTGCGCAGATGTATACTCACTTGGATTAGAGAGATAAGCATTTGCTTCAGCGGGTGTCTTTTCAAGCAAGCCCTCAAACTCTGAACGGGCCCAAGTCAAGCAATGGTCAATGTTGTGTGGGAAAGAATGCACAGTGCACATGGGTGCTTGCTTCTCTGGAGGATCTCGTGATGCACCATAGTTTTCTGTCAGGTGAGGGATGACCATTTGGGTGTTGCATTTGGCACCAAGGGTTCCTGACTCAAGAAGTGGCTTCTGGAAATACAAGCATCTCTGATCAACATAGAGCCTAGCATTGACATTGTCAAGAGCATTTATGACAACACTAAGATTCTCCCAAAAGGTATCATCAAACACATTTTCAGTTTCAGGACCCACACGGTTCTGCAGAGCTTCAATATGGAACTTAGAATTTATTGATGTAGCAGCAGCAGCAGCAACTGTGGATTTGGCCTGCCCAATGTTCCAATCACGGAAGAGAAACTGTCTACTAAGATTACTTTTCTCTATCACATCATCATCAGTTATTGTTAGTTTTCCTTGATTGCCACATGCAATTCCCATGAGGGCCAAGTTCTTCAGAAATTCACATCCCAGTGCACCAGATCCAACAACAAATACCTTGGCTTCTTCAAGTTTCTTCTGGAGCTTTTTCCCAAAAACAGCAATTTGTGCATCATAACGACTATTCAAAGGCATAAAATCACTAGGGTCCAGTGTGTCAGTAGGAAGTGACTCAACAGAATCAAAGTAAAAGAACTGCAAAAAGATAATGGAGTAAACGTAAAAGTCAGCTTAAATACATGAGGGGAATAATACAAAGGGTAAACGGGGAAAAACAAATCAATCATTTTTTAAACCTTAAAAAAAAAAGTACAAAGGGAAATCAGAACCTGAAAAAGAGGATGAAACTTCCCAGAGCATGCCTTCACAACCTCCTGCCCAACAATACCACCAAACATAGCAGCCATGGGGTTAAGTACAGCACGTGCACCAAAGGATAAGTGTCTAAGAAGTTTTGGGTTTATATCTTCCAATTTTGCATCTCCAGAGATTTCATTAATTGCACTGGCAATAGAGATCAGTTTCTGTGAATCATCTTCAGAGCCAGCTATGGGGAAACGTCCCAACTCAGACCTGAACTTATCCAGTGCTTGGAATGCCAAATGCAGAAGTGGTGGGCGATCAAACTTTGAGAAATCACTAAGAAGAAAATCGCCAGGGTCCTTAAGCGCTTCACGTAATGGTTTAAAGTTCAAAATTTTTGGTTGCTTCACCTGAGTCACTATACCACCTCTTTCATATGCACCAAACTTTGTTGTATCCTCTTCAAGGGTGAAAGAATAAGGCCTAGCAGTTAGAATCTTTCTTGGCTTCCCATCATTAAGTTCTGTCATGCCCCGAACTTCAGAAAATACAACAACATCCCCATCCTGAAACTCAAGCCTCTCATCATCCACACATGACACAAGAGCAGGGTTATCATTGCTGATAGAAGCAATGATGCCTGTATGAGGTTCCTCGCCATCAACATCAAAGACCGCAAACTGAGGACCAAAATCACAGAATATGCTTCCAAAAAGGCCTCTAACATCAGCTTTGATGAATGCAATTGGTGGTTGATGAGTATGACAAAAATCATCAAATTCAACTGCCTCCTCTAAGCTTATATCAGTGAACACCACAGCCTGCATAATAATTATCATTATCAAAATGAAGGCACATGATACAATATATTATTATTAGACTAAGCAGTGTGACACTGAAATAGTAGGATAACCTTGCCTTACCAGAAAATTATCAACATGAAAAGTTCAAACAGTGTTTAAGTGCATGAAAACAAGTACATGTTACAGAAATTTCAAAAGTGGTGTAAGGGTTAAGCAGTAATATAAGGAGTTAACATCAAATCTAAAGTGTTGAATCAAACCAAGAATTCCTGCATATGGTAGCAAAAGAAGCCAAATAACATAACGAGATTGTTCCAAATGGATATAGGCAGCTATCAACTACAATCTGCTCAAATTGATCAAAAGTAACAGAGGTACACATACATAGCAGGTAAGACTTCATGCTAGATTCCAAGTAAGTTATCGAATTATATTGAAAGATACATTATGTCAAATCAATTAAGTTTACATAGTACAAAAAATTAGACAAATATTTATTCTATTAGTCATTAAGATCTGTAATGCTACAACCCACCAAAAAGTAACACTTTACAGAGTAATAATAACACAGAAAGAAAAATAATAAAGTTCCTTTACATAGGAAAAATCAACTCACAAGTTCCGTATAGAAGAATCTAAGTAATAAATTAATGAATCATCAAGGTCAAACCAACAAAAATCCATAAACACAATTCATGCAGAAACCATGAGTTCCATAGATAATTGAAGAGATGAAAATACACTACCTGAAACTCAGAGAGCTTTTCTTTCGTCAGTTTTGTGGTCAAGGTTGACACAATAACAGCATTGTTGAGCTCTTGAAGTTTTTGTACAGAAGCAAGTGCCCTATTCTTGCCAACATCAGTCTCTGAGAATAAAAAATTGCTTGACAAATCCCAAAGCTCCACCGTGCCTTCATCATGCAGTGTCACAGATTTCACACCAGCAAGGACAAGATTCTTGGCTGCAATAATATCAAAGCTCAGAAATCAAAAATGTGCAAAGTTAAAATAAGAAGTTGACACTGACAGGCCATAAAATGCCCCAAAGAGCTGCTTAAGATTAATATTTATATAAGAAAATAAATTTCACACATTAATATGCACAATGAACTGCTTAGAATAGCAGCTTCAGTAATCAGTAATTGAAAAATGACGGACTTGAAGTCCTTCAATTGCTTGCTGTTAAAACCTTACCTGATTAAGAACTCATTAGCAGATGATCAAAGATAATGAAGAAGGTCAAGAAATCCAGTGTGTTAGTACAGAAAATACAAGCTCCCATTTGATGTGATCAACGCTACAATTACTAATGACATTAATGTTCTGACTTTCTGTGTTAGTTCAATTGCGTGATTCAAAACGTCATTTATTTTTTTGTTGCCTGATTACGATCATTAGGTAAGCATAATCATCTGAATTGAAATATGGACACATGGCCTTAACACCTCTCTCTGTTTGATGTTATATCAGGCAACAATTACAAGAAAACTCAATACACTCCAGAACAGTGTTGTAAAAAATTGGCCGCCTAGGCACAGACTAGGCCAAAAGTAAGAATGGGAAAATCAGTCTCTTAGGTGCTTATATTTTTTAAAAAAATTTCATTTCATTTCATTCAAAACAACATAATTTTGAGCAAAACAAACCTAAAGCAGCATCACAGCAATCCATCACATAACATGTATTAGCCTACTTGGATAATGGATTCAGGATATTTGTAGTATTTGCTATGTAGGAGATTTGAACATAGTTTATTACGTGCTATGTGTGTGTGTAATTGCTACTTTGATGGATTGTATATGTTATCAATGTTCAAAAGGCACTCACGCCTCAGTATGAGGCGTTGCCATTGCACCCAAAGGCATACGCCTTGTGCAGGTGAGGCACATCAGGGCTGTTTTTGAGAGTCTTAAATATTTGGGCTGTACTAGTAGGCCCAATTTTTTTAAATGGATCCATACAATCTAAACCCTAAAAATAGTAAAAGAAGGAAAAAAAGAAATAGAAGAAGAAATCAGCAAGCGCTCAGACCAGCAACCTTCATAGATGAGTTGTGATTTGTGACCTTATCGGCTCTTCAAGCAACTGCAACATCAATGGTGAGAGATGCCAACCTTCGTAGACCTGTTGTGACCTTTGGCAACCTTCTTCCAGCCATTTGTGTTTGAGACTTTTAGTCATGAAATGTTTAGTCTTTTAAATGATTCTTATTAGTTTTGATGATATCTTCAATTGGTAGTTGAACATCTGAAAGTATTTATTGATATTTTATGGGTACGCTTTAAGGCTGAGCTCTGAAGCCCCTTGCGGCTTACACCTTGGCTCTCGAATAGATAATGCCTTGAGGCCCATTTATGCCTTTTTAAACCTAGTGTGTTATAGTTGGAGTATTATGTGTATTATGTGCTATTGAGTACTTGTATGCTATGGGAATAATACTTGCTAGGAGTCTAAAAAAACCAGGTATTTTTTAGCTAAACCCCTATCAAACACCGGATGAGTGCAGGCAATTTTTACAACATTGGTCCAGAATAATCTTAAAAATGCATAATTGCTATTAAAAAAACAGTAGCACAAGCAAAGAAAGGGGAATATCCATAACCAGTATGGTATACCAATATACCAAATGATACAAGTTAAACAGAACAGATACCAGAAAGGTCCAGAATTACTATTGCAGTATAAGACTATAAGGTGAGACCAGGAATAAAATCATAGAGCATAACCACTGCAGTATGCTACATACATGAAACCTAAGAAATGATCATTTTGGCATGGGAAGTCCAAAACTATATAAGCAAACTGAATAGACCGAACTCCGCAATTACCCATTCACTAGCAGGTAAAATCAGGAATGTGCTCATAGCCCATAACAATGTATAACATTCAACTAATGGCAGAAATGTGCAGGTTAGACTAGAACCTAGGCAACGAATTCCACAATTACAGATTCACTAGCAGGTGAAATCAAGAATGTAATCATAGTCCATAACAATGTATAACATTCTGACTAATGACAGAAATGTGCAGGTTAAACTAGAACCTAGGCAACAAAAACATAGTAATATGATGAAATAGGTAGCATAAAAATCCATACCGATCTCAGCACCAAGGCCTTGCAATCCCGAGACAAGAACATTGGAAGCAAAAAGCCGGCGCATAGTCTCGCGTCCATACACGGCAAGCTGCCGGCTATGGAGATCCTCGTCAATGTCGTGCGGATTACCATCATCAAACGCCATGTCCTTCAGCGACGCCTCGCCAACACTCTTACTGCCGCTGGTGCTACCGTTGGTGCTAGAGCCGCTCTTCCCTATACTATCGGTGTCGCAGGAGCCGCTAGTCTTCTCTGTGGCTGCGGAGGAGATCAAACAACCGATCCGATTCTTCTTGCCTACGCTATCGGGATCAACGCAAGTGCTGCTACCGTCAACAACCTCGCCTTCCACAGGTCTCTTTCTAGGAAGCATATAGTGCAACACGCTGCTGAAACCTCCACAAAAACCCATAGAAATGATCAAAACTATGCATGTAGTCAAGAAATTAAGATCCGGAAATTTCAAGAACAAAAGTCCAGCTACGATCGGTAACATAATAACAAATAACCACCACCACCGCCTCGTAAACAGTGCCATAGTCAATCGATTATCGATTCTAAGATGATCTAAGAAGCAAAGAACAAAAAATTAATCTAAAGAGATACAGAGAGGGAGAGAGAAAGAGAGAGTACCGATTGGAGCTGAGGAGAAGAAAGGAATGGAATCGGAAATGGAAACGAGAGCAGCAGTGATTGAGTTAGGCTTTGGTTTTGGATTTTCGCTTGGGGAAGGGTAACTTGGTGAAGAATTTTCATAGGGGGGAGCGAAGGGTATTTACGGGATTTGAAGGGAAAAGAGCTATGAGTTAGGGTTTTGCGAAGAGACAAGTAGTTTCTTATCTATGGCCCTCTATGGAGAAGGCGATACAGAGAGAGAGAGAGAGTGGCTGATGGACCATAACGACGAGACAAGACGCGTTTCTGTTATACGGCGTCGTTCGTGAATTGAGATGAAGTGACGTCGTTTCTCCTGAATTCTGATTCAACCCAATAGTTATTGCGTGGCCTATTGTCTACACAGCTATATGGATCACGGTCTAAAAACGATGTATGTTGATTTTAAAGTTTATTGTTACTTTAATATTATTTAAATTTGAATTTTAAATAACTAAGTGAATTACATAGCTAACGTATTTAAATAAAAATTTTAATTTAACAAATTTACCAATTAAATTTTTGACATCCTTTGAATTAGCAAAGAAAGTAAGAGCATCCACATTTGTGGATAATAGAGAGATATTTCAGAATTAATTCTCCCCATCCAAGATAATAGCTAATGTGGGGAAGAATTATTTGTGAAATAACGCTCCTGCAAATGAAGAATTATTTCAGAAATGGTGGGACACACCACAAAAATAAAAATAAAGAGCCACAGGTGACGCGTGGCTATCACCATAGCGCCTGACTGCACGCGCCCGTCAGACGCGTCAGGCGCGCCTCTCGGCGCGGCTGACAATTTTTTTTTTTTTTTAATTTAATTTTCCTTTTTTTTTTCCTTTTTTTCTCTCCCCTCCCATCTTCTCTTTCCTAATCACTCTTACATTATCCCCCTATTCTCCCCAACAAATGTGGATGCTCCAATGATTGTGAAAACAGAAAAACATACTTGAGTTCTTGAGCTCAGAATTAGTTTGATTAAAAATGTAAGTATAACTATACAATGTAATATTTAATATTTTTAAAAGTTTAATTATACTATTATTATGTTGATTTTAAAGTTTATTGTTACCTGTATTATTATTTGATTTTGAATTTTTTTTTGAAAGGAATTTGAATTTGAAATAAATACTTTAATTATATAACTAACGTATTTAAATGAAACTTGTAAATAAAATAACATGCAATATTTGTTGAAAATCTCCGCAAAAAATGTATTCATTTGAAAAAGATTATTTATATAACAACTATATTTATTTTATATCTAATTTTTCATATTTATATATGTGGAGTCAAATTAATTATAATTGAGGTTTTTTTTTTTTTTTTGAAAAACAACAGCGTTGGCATATATTAATGAATAAATGGAGAAATAGAATCAGGAGGGACAAAGTCCCAACACAACGAAGTATCCTGACTAAAAGCTACTGTAGCTAAGGTATGAGCATGTAAATCAATTGATCTAGACACATAATTTAACGAATAATGACTAAATAAAGCTAAAGTCGTCCGGCAATGGTCAATGACGACTCCAACATAAGATAGAATAGTCGCAGGACTTGATCGTAAGGAACTCTGAGCAATCCGTGAGGATATCCACATCTAGTTCATTTCGACTTTTAAGCCATGATAAAGTCTCTTTGCAAGCAAGTACCTCCGCCATAAGAGGTGAGAAACAGTTTGGAAGCCTGCCGTTGGTTGCCGCCTAGAAGGTGCCATCCGGGTTCAATCGTACGACGACGTATGTTGCCTCCCCACTCCCTGGCCGGAAGCCCGCGTCGAAGAAACAGCGTGGGCGAGAGCTTGGAGGGGGCGCTACTGCCACCGTCTACGGCTGCCGGGGACTGCCGTGATGGGCGTGTGTGTATGCATGCAAGCTTGCGGCTACCCTTCTCCAAAGGTGCTCCGGTCATGGCAAGCTTCCCTTCCACACAACTCCATTATGGGCACTCCATAAGTGATATAGAACCGCAGCCACCATGCAAAATTGTTCCTCTGTTAAAATAACCATTGCACCCATAAGTCATATAGGAACGGAATCAGCTACAATATTTGCAATGGATAGCTCCGTAATGTTCCAAATTAATCTAGAATAATCACAAGAAACAAGTGAGTGCATAACATCCTCATGAACTAAACCACACATTGAGCATGTTGGTTCCACTTCCACTCTTATAAATAAATTGTTTGTGGTGGGAAGCATATCACACAAACTCGCCACAAACAAGTTTTCCACTTGGGGGAACCCTCAATTTTCACAATGTAACCCATTTGTCAAAATCATAAGGGCTATAACTAAATTTACCCACAATCTGCCTATAACCATTTTTGACAGTATATAAACCTTTTGAATAAGCCAATATCTTAAAATACGGGGATCGCACTTTTTTGTGTTGATCAATCAAGCCTACCACCAGTGTTTCTCGTAACTCCTCATACATAATGGTTTAAATGAATATAAACACAAATTATATTAAATATAAAATTTTATCAATAAATTTGAACACAATAAACTTTTTTCCATACTTCATTATACCTCATTAATATATATAGAGATAGAGCTATAATAATAAAATATAATTTATAAAATTGTGGTGTATTTTTAACCCTTTCTCACTTGTGAGACTACTAATTGAATTAAGAAAAGAATAATGGCAAACTATGAAAGTGTGAGATGAGTTGAAAGCAACAATTTTCTCTCCCTGTTTTGTTGGTTATATACTCTTATATAGACACAGCCAGCTGAGGAAATTCTGTTACTTGAAATATGGGCTTCAAAATAAGGTTGTAGCAGCTCTAGGAGTGTTTTTAAAAATGGTTGGACAGGGGAGCACTTGGAGATGGATCCGGTCCAAGACCCATATTTTGTAAAAACATATAGATCAATTCTTCCAAATATGAAACAAGAAGTTCACTTTGATCTGAGAATGCCAAGCCAGAAATCCACACACTCTCATTATTAACTAAATGCCAGGGACAGAAGATGTCAACAGGTTGACCAAATTCTGAAGAATTCTCCCATTTACACTTGCGAATATCAAACAGCCTAGCAAATTCATCTGTACCCGCCACAGTAAAGACATTCGAGTTTCTTGGATCCATTGCAATTGTCTTAAGATTAACAATACGAGACATAAAGTTCTTCCTGGAGGATGGAGGTCCACAAGTAAAAAGTTCAGATTATCCTCTTTGAGTTTTTACTTATTTTAATGCATATTATGTAACGATTAATGGGTGATTTTAGGTCCAAGGACATTAAAACATTTGGAACTTGGGATGTGCATACTGTAATTGCAAAGTTCTTTCTTCGTTTTGGGAGTATATGTAGCTTGTGACTGATTGTGATTAAAATATGTATATTTATATTTTGTTCTATTCTTCAATTTGTGATAGGCATATATCGACTTTGAGATATCAGAATGTGAATATGAAAGGACTAGAGCATTGTATGAGCGGCTTTTGAGCCACACAAAACATTTTAGTATGGATAAGTTATGCAAACTTTGAAGCTTCAGACCAGCCAGAAGTCAGTCCTGAACGGAAAAAGGAATGTTTACAACGGGAGAGGTCAGAATATCTGAACTTGAACTTCTTGTTTTACACTAGCATTTTTTTCACACCTAAGCTAAATCATTAACCAACATTTTTTTTCTTCTTTCATGTACCAGGGGTCTTTGAAAGGGCACTAGTTTACTTTAAAACTTCGGCACTTGAATTAAAAGAGGAGAGGGCGATGCTTTTAGAAGAATGGCTAAACATGGCAAGCAGCTTTGGTGATGTTGGATTGGTCCATGCCAAACTACCTAAAAAAATTCAAAAAGAGGCGGCAAATAGAAGTCCAGCAGGGTATGAGGAATACATAGATTACCTATTCCCCGAAGAGACACAGACCACAAATCTTAAAATTTTGGAAGCTGCATATAAATGGAAGAAGCAAAAGATATCTACTGATGATGACTAGCTTTTGAACTTATAATTGTTTTTAGACTTGGGGCAGTTTAGTTTGGAAAAGGCAAAAGATATCTGTTGAGGATGGCTAGCTTCTGAATGAAAATTATGTTTTTATTCTAAAATCTTGATTATGCCATAGTGTATGGTCCAAACTTTGAATCTCACTACAAACATTAGAGGTCATTGCGGACTAGTCTGTCCCATTAGGCTCGTCCCACTATTACTTGTAATTTTTGCAAGCCGATCCATAGACTAGAATGCTTCAACTCTAGCCTGTCTCATGCGGCCATGTGCCGACTTCAACAAATTTTAAAAATTATTCTATTATGGAGTATTATTCAATATTCAAATAATTTAACCTGAATAATATTAGAATTTTTCGTGTTTTAATATAAATATTTTTTTTATTTTTTAATTAGTTTAATGTTCAGAATATTTTAATTTTAATTCTAACTTACATAGCCTGCAAACCCGCGCATACAAATAAAAAAAAAATAAAATGGAATAATAAGTAAATATTGATTTTTCAATAATAATAATCATAACAATAATAATAATTACATATTAGTATACAATATTAATGGAAGGTATAAGAGTCAAAAAAGCTCTTGAACTATTTATTAAATTTCAATTAAGCCCTCAAACTATATTTAAAAAAAAAAACACACAAATTAAACAATATGAACTTAGAAAAAATGTAATTAACCTCATTTGACCTGTTATTGCAAGTAATCTCCAAGTTAAAGGGCAATTAGAATACAACATCAATATATTTTGATGACTTGGACGCGTAATAATTTATTAATAATAAAATATTATTTTTCTTCTGTTAAAAAAATCTTGACTAGCAATGTCATGACGGTTGACAGTCAAGTTTTTATTAATATTTTAATTTTTATAATAATAATATATTATTTTTAAAAATTTAAATCATGACCGCAAGCTTTTTTCAAATTTTATAAAATATGTAATTTTTAATAAATTATTATTATCAATAATAGTAAAATTTAAAGCTTGACCACAAGTTTTTTTTAAGTAAAATATTAAATTTTTAATAAATTATTATTGTTGTTGTCGTCGTCGTTGTTCTTGTTGGGCATTCAAGTCATCAAAACATATTGATGTAGCATATCAATCACCTTTAACTTAGAGGCTATCTGCAATAACATATCAAATGGAATTAATTGTATTTTTTTTAAGTTCAAGTGTCTAATTACAGTTTTTTTTTTTAGTTCGAGTGCTTAATTACACTTTTATGAATACTTCAAGGACTTAATTAACACTTATCACCTATTTAACTAGAGAAATACATTTATTATATTGAAAGCTGGTGTAACGTTAAGTCATCATGTGTCTTTATCTTATTCCCTATTTATAGCCCTTATCTCCAATATATTTATCATATTCAACTTTAATTTTTTTATAGAGACGTACAAAAATTAGAGCACGATTATTCGAGATTAGTTAGAATAGTATTATTTTATCATATCCCCACCAAATTTGATGGGGTAGGCGTTTGTACTTGGGCATATGCAATTGCATGCATCCTATAAATAATGGCAGCGCCCAGAAATGGGTGCCACATATGGCTTTGTGCACCATATATGCTGTGTCCGGGAATAATAAACGCAGATCTGCAACTTTTAGGTTAATTTATAACAATTTAGGTAGTTGTTAAGTAGTGTTTAGGTGTCATTTAAACAATTTAATCTCTATATATTATCAACTAATAAAGTAGTACGGACTAATAATTAAGTTGGAATCATAAAAGCTTTTGGTAGTGTACCATCTTGAATTGTTTAGACATCATTCGACACCAAATAGATGACATTTTGGTAGGAATTCAAATCATTCATTTAGCATAGGTGTTTTTTTTTTTAATGAATAATAATGTTATCCACTCCTCCAATTTTTCTCTTCTTAGATGATTTTTTTTTTTAATTGGACAATTAACTTTCTTTTTAATTAATGTGGGTCATCAATAATTTTAAGCCACATCATGGGTTAAATATTAAGGAAAAAATATCATTTTTCATTTTCTCTTTCTTTCTTTATAGGGAAGAAACCTCTCAGCCATCAATTCATGATTTACATCCTCCCAAATGCTCTGTCGAGTCGGGGTGTGGGGACCCTTAGGGTTGGGATTCAACATTTGGAAGAATGTTTAATAAATAACCCATAAATCGCACAAAAAAAGATAAAGTGTACAAAGAAGATCCTTTACAACGAGCTCAATTAAGAAAATGTTGACAAAAATTAAATTCGTAATCTTGAAGTAATCGTTTTATTTTCAGGAATAGTATTTTCGAAAATGAACAATTCCCCTTACAAAGAGACTACTACCTATTCCAAGAGAACTTGGTATTTATGCTACTCTTGATTTTTCAAGAATATCTTATTAGTTTTGGTTATGTCTAATTCATCATTAACAATTTGTATTTTGTATTAAAAACGTACTTTATTCTTTTCACAAACCAAATAATGAAAGAAAATTTATACTTCATACATGACCTATATTGATTCCCTAAGTATTCCATTTCTTCCAGAATAAGATCCATATTTCTTTAAAACTCATTCCGTGTGAACCAACCATCGAACCATCCGCTAATTGTGCTAATGACAAATAATTTTGTGTGATCTTTGACCAAGTGAAGACATAAAGTTTACTTTAATGAAACATTTCCAACACTATTTTTCCCTAATCAAACAAAGACCAACAAAAATACAAGGATGTCAAAAGAAGTGGCTGGGAGATAAGAGAATACAGAAACTGGAATTCCACACAAAACTACAAACAGAACAGAACCTGTTTCAGTCTCAACAATGGAAATCAAAACCTGTATTCAAACACAGGAAAATCAAAAGCATTCCTTCTCACAACAGAAACCTTCATTGACCACTGAAGAATATGAACAGCTAGTGCAGATTATAGATAGGACGCGCTTTCTCAACCTAGGAGAATCCGATACAGGAGTAGAAGATCTTAGGTTACTGCAATCATGAATCGAAACAAATGCCTGAATTTGAAGGCTAGAGACAAGGTTGTCACTATTGATGGTTAGGAAACAGGAGATCTCTTGTCACAAGAAGACAGGCCGAGCCTCCTGGTGGGAACACCAGTGCATGAATCTTTTAGGTGACAGCTAAAAGAAAGAAACCTAATTCGACAGATCCAAGGAAAGACTTGCACTGTATATGCTGGACCCTTGACTTTTAATCTACATTCTATGGAGTTGGAAAATGCACCGATAATAATTCCAAACAGAAAGAGAACAAGTTACAGATTTGGAATTCTACATCTCAAGGTTAAATCCTTTATCCATCCAAACCCACCTTGAAAAGCTGGTCCATATTGATAAAAGTTGGAGCTTTATTAAAGGAAAGGATTACGTGTATAGTATAATCTCCTCTTTTGAGACACAAAAACCTGAGGTCATTCACTCGGGGCCCGGGGATACCCACCACAAAATCAAAAAAGAAAAAAGCTACATACAAAAGCCCCCAAATTAATCAAACCTGTTGGTCTGCCATCATTCCAGTCTCATTCTCATTTTCTGCTTTTGCGCACTTATTAATTCTAACTACCTGCAATATAGCAAGGGTAGGTCACTAAGAATAAACAGCAACCCGAGGAGAGAACATAATTGGACTCCACTAGTCACATCTGCAACACGAAACATTATGCGTGTGCTTTAAGCCATAATGTTCCATGTTAAAAGAGTGAACTTTCGACAGTACTTTTAGTTATGTCATGCTAAGCTAAAGAATAACATAGTGTTTCTACAAGAGTCCAAGGAAAACATGATATGCTTTTCGACTAGAACAAGGAAATTAATTTCATACATCGTCGCCAGATAGCAAAACCAACAGAAACACCCCTTCTTTATACATTTGTACAAGGTGGAAAGAGGTCATTACCTAGTATTATTGTTGCTATTATTGCTAGGACGTGTCAGAGTTGCTAAAATCTCGGAGAACTGAGGACGCTTTGAAGGGCAATTGTTCCAACATTTCGTCATCAAAGATCTCAGCATTTGGGGGCAATCCTTGGGGATTTCGGGTCTAAGGCCACAAGCAGCAATTCCAACAGCAGCCTGCACTGGCGAATAGGCGGAATATGCAACCTCACCGGTTACTAGTTCCCATAGTATCATCCCAAAGCTATATACATTACTCATCCACGTCTCTGTAACATTTTCGGGGTCACCTGCAATGATCTGTTACAACCAAAAACATGACTATCAATCAGGCATACCCCCGGGCCCCGACCACAATCTAAAAATAAAAAAATAAATACATAAACAAAGCAGAAGAAAGGTGAAAACGAAATGAACGAGGGGAGGGAACAAATGGCACACATAGGAGAACCTTTTTTGTTTACCATCATTAAAACTATGGCTCCACAAGCTAAAAGTGCTTGCCAGCTCAGAATTTTTGCTATGGGAAAAACCAAGATTACTATTCTTATTTTCAATAATCAAAAGAATTAGAGATAAGCACCTAAAGCAAACAGTCCCATATGGTGTAAAGCATAAAACATAATGAAAATTTCTTGCGCATGCTTAAATAATGATGCTTAACATAAAGTTCCATTTCTGTAGATGAACCAAGAAAGCCCCTTTCTGTCATACAGTGAATCATAAATGTATAACAAGCCAAATAACTATCTGGAATTGTCGTTACCAATTTACCATAATTAATATCAGTACATGACTAGTCGCAGTGCAGTGCCTATATAGTTAACTGATCTGTCACTCATATACAGGTCTTTGAAAAGATATTATAGTCAAGTTCACCTACAACATTGGACTAATTAGCAGACAGCATTTAGGCTAGATTCTGTACAGTCCTGCATAATCCTGTAAAAAACTACTCTTGAAATGATGAAAAATGAAAGAAAACAATGCATTCGCTTTTGACAATTGGCACCAATTCATCCAAAACACTTCATGTGTATTTGTTACTACTAGACTACTAGGTTCATCTGCAATGATGTCTGGCCTAGTGGTCTGAACTGTACGTGCAAAATAAGCTCTAACCCAAAGTTATATTTAAAAGTGGCTTTACTTGGCTGCAGTTAAAGATCAAAAGATTACCGTTTCATATGTTTAAAAAGAAGTTTACAAATACTGAACAACGAAAATGATTACGTATAATAAAAGATAGAACATAGTAGGGGAGCAAACCTCGGGAGCTAGCCACCTATACCCATCAGTTTCGTACTCCATAGCTTCACCAGTACTATTGCAAGCAGCCACTATTCCCATATCACCCAAGCAAGCATTCCCGTATTTGTCTAACAAGATCTTTTGAGTATTAAGATCTCGATAAGCAACTCCATGATCATTCATGAACTTAAGCCCTTCGGCCACATCACTGGCGATCCTCAGAATTTCTCTAGTCTGAAGCTTCTTGTTTTTCAAGAGTGAATTATGAACCGATCCGCCTTCCATTAACTTAGTCACAACACACAATCCATGATTTTCATCAATGCACACGCCATAAAAATGCAGTATGCTCCTGTGTTCACAAGTCATCAACTCCAACAAATCTTGTCGAAGCTCGAACTCATATGCATTCCCCTTGTCACACCCCTTGAGCTTCTCAATCCCAACCTTCTTCCCCCTGCATACCCCCTTGAATGTGCAAGGTCCAGTCTGATCACTAAACTCGAGGATATCGGAACTCAAAAGCCACTTCTCAATCTCATCCCCACCAGATTGCACTGTCTGCCATTCATCCACAGATACTAGGAATGAAGAACTGGGCAAAGGTGTTTGCAACTGAATTTTCGGGCTTAAATTCCCGCCTCCATTCTTGTAATTAGGTTGATTGCAGTCCTCCTCAATCTCCCCAACCTCTCTCCCTCGAGTGTTCTGTTCTTGACACCCACAAAGCCCGAAAGGGAGCTTCATAGTTTTTGGCTTCTTGAGAGCGGATTTAATAGCGTTTTCGATCCGGGTTCTGAACATTTTCTCCTGACCGGATTGAACTGAAAGCAAAACAACCCCTAATGTGAACCCTTTCTTCTCGAAGATCTGTATCTTTTTACAACAAATCGAGGCGCTATCAAGTGCCCCGGACATGGCTGGCCAGGAAATAGAAGAGTTACAAGCAAACGTGAGCCTGAATACTTCTTCATCAGAGACCTCTTGTATCATAATCGCTGGGTGATCCTCCATTGACGCCTGCTCTATCAATTTGATGTGTAGAAACACGTCCTTCATTTCAAACCCAGCTTGCGCATAGCTAAAAGAAGAAGCCCACTAAATCACCGGAAAATGAAACACAAGAAGTAAATCTATAGCACAGTAAGATAGGATGCTAAACCTTAAAGGCAAAGAATCGTAATGCTTGCGAATGTTGGAAACGAGCTTTTCGGGGAGCTGGCTGCCGGGGTAGAGTTGAGTCAGGCTCCGCACAACGCCGGCCCAAACGAGCTTCCGGCAGGTCTCGGAACGGCCGGTGGGAGACGGGGCGGGCGATTCGCGAACCGAGTCGAGGTTAAGCGAGTTTTTGAGCGAGGCAATGGCTTCGGAAACGTTGCGGCTCAGCTTCTGGAACCGCTTCTGCATCGCGGACGACTCCTTGAGGCCTCCGGCGGAGGCGGAGCAAGCATCGGATGAAGACGAAGCGTTCTCCGGCGTGCCTTCCGATCTGTCGCTGGTCCTCATGAGGACTTGCTCCACCATATCCTCGTCCGTACTGGCCCGGCTCGACCAGCATTCTAGGGCGGCCGCCATGTCTCAGCGCGAGAAGCTCGGCTCCACAATGCAGTCGGGTCTAGTCAAGGCTATGTGGAGACGCACAGAGAGAGAGAGAGAGACTAGGAGTACGATGAGGTATCAGAGTGTACCATTTTTTAGTTTACTTCCATTTGGCGTCTGACAGGGAGATGGTGGGGAAAGGACCGAAGATTGAAGGGCGAAGGGGTATAGTTTATATAATTAAAATAATTTTTTTTTAATATATTAAAATAGAGTTTAAAACTCTCTCATTTAATTAAAAAATAAGCTTCAGCCAATTATATGGTGGTCCCAAAAAGAAAAAGAAAAAAAACAAACTTTATTGTAAATTTTAGTTACATAGGATGATATGTAATAGTGTGAGTAAATCCGATTAATTTTTTCTAAATCTTTCCTAATATATTAGAAAGTCGATAATTGATGTTAGTTCAATTCCTTACTCAAAAACATCACATCATATTCCAACTAGACGAGATTAAAAAATGCTTGACTCAAACCCGAGCTCATGTGCGTCGGCACCTGCGGGCACAAATTTCGTCCGGAAATTGGCCTTTGGGTCGAAAGTTGAGACCGGAGATTGAATTGAATTCATCTGTTATGGAATTAATATCCTATTAACTCCAATTGGCCTGCTGTTATAGCTGTTGGAAGGCAGCTTTAATGTCATTTTTAATTGTCATAATAAAGGCTATTGGCTCCTTCAACCCTATATAAAGAGGGAAGAGGCAGTGGAGTTTTACACACACAGAAATATAGAACGCGAAAGTACAGTTTTTAGCCTCAAAACCTCTATGCTTCTACTCCTTCTTTAGCCTACTGTGTTCATAGCCATTGTCTTGCTCGCCGGATTCTTTGTTTGAATGCTCAAACATTGAATCATAGCAAGTTGTATCCTGTGAAGCATAGGCCACAACGCCCCTAGCATCTTTGGGAGGTGGCAAATAAGGTTTTAAGGAAATAGTGCTCACTTGACTCTTGCAAAAACCCAACACCAAACACTAGCCAAATTTCTTCATCTTTTCTTCCCTTCTTTCCATAAAATAATAGTCAATTTTATTTGATTATTATTTGTTTTCCTACCAACGGTTCCAAAATGAATGTGTCATGATTCTTGTCAATTAATCTGTCAAATACATGTACAGATTTAGCTCACTGGTTTAATATGTAGTATTTAGGAGAAGAGATCAATGCTCGAACCTTGATAGCGATAGTGTGAGGATTATACTCAAAGTGAACTGATTCTATATGAGTTATCAACATTTAGTCATGTTTACTGAGCCATTGAGTTATCGTGATTTACGTAGTTCTAAATGACTCTGTGGAGCTGGATTTTGATTAGGAGTAGGAAGGAACAGGATGATGAATGGGCGGGATTTTGGTTTGTGAAACGTGGGGTTAGGAGTTGGGTGGCATAATAGAATGATGGAAAGCTATGCGGTGTCTCTGGGTTATCCAACACCCTTGGGATGTGGACCTCATTAGTTTCGTGATATAAGGCCTTTTGTTCCCACACCGCTCCCGAGCTACGATAGCCGAACAAGATTACAACACTCACCACTTCGAGGTACCTTGTATTATATTATAAACACATATAAAAATAATACTCCGTATTATAGACACAAATTGATAAAACCAATCCACATGAGTAGTGCAGTTGATGTGAATTTATGTATTTATAGTATTACTTTTTATGAATCAAATTCATGTATATATATAAATTTATTTTAAAATATTAATACGAGTACCATTTAAGAAGTTTTAATTAAAATTATTAATAATATATTTCTTATATATTAATTTTATTTAAGTTTCAGTTAAAATTCTTAATAATTCTTTCTATTAATTATTTGTTAGTTTTTAGTTAAAATTAATGTAGATGTCAACTCGTATTTTTATCGTTCAGTTTACATTTACAGCAACAAAATAAAAATTTTAAAAATTAAATCTTATAACTTAATCAAGAAAAAGAAGAATGAAAGAAATTGATGGTGAGCTTAATTAATCAATAAATAGAGGAATACAATTGTCTCCATCCAGTACAGCTGACGGAGATGAGCCCAGATTTAGACAAAGATCATTATCTCTGTCTAGATCATGCTATAGGAGCTTTTTTAAACAGTCCCAAAAGGAATGATCGATTGAAATGAAACATGATTTTTATACTTGAATATTACGAATTTGATTCTTATCAATACCATTTCAATTGACTTCGTATCACAAAACATTTTGAATACCTTATACACACTATCAAATAGTGAGTTTGCGACCCTCAAGGCTATCACAACTACTGCACAAGTGGTTGATCACGCACTTCACCTCAAGTCATGGTGACAACGTGGGAATAGGATGGGAATTTGAACTCCACTCCAAATATCATTGGAATTGGACTCTCCAGATTGGAGTAAGGTGTGGAGTGGGGCTCCTTGTTCGCACAGTAAAATCCCATTAAAAAACTACTCATGGGACTCGTAATTTACTACATTCAAAAAAAAATTAGGATAAAGTCCAGCCGTCTAGGAAAACAGAATTATGGTGTGTTTGGTTGACAGGTTTAGCTCTAAGGAAGGGGTATCAAAGTGATTGATATTGTTTGGTTGATATGTTTTTAAAACACTACTATGATTTCAAATACCCTTTAATTGAAAAACTCATACCCAAATAAAATAAGGGTATTATCCCCTTTCATTCCCTTATTCATTTTCACCCCATTTGATTAGTGTTTTTAGATTTTTGTTTTTATTTTTTTGTTCATAGTGATGTTTTGGATGTCTTTATATTAGAATCGATTGTTTCTTGATTGTGTTCTTGTATTTTTAAAATCTTTATTCCCATTATAGGATCATGCATAACCAAACAGCATTATTGATAATCATTCTCGTTTCAACCTACTACCAAACATGCAAAATACTTACACTAAAACCCATTACCATTACCAATACCAAGTATCTGATACCCATTTTGATTCCAATTTTCATGTGTGAATCAAACACACCCTTAATTTGGCATTATGAATTGCGAGTTTCTCTGGTCATTAGAAAACACAAAGTACACGTAGTGAGTTGCTAGTAGTATATCCCGTGCGACACGTTTGGGACATGAAATTGTTAAAAACGTACGGAGATTGCAATTATGCTGAATAACGATCGAATACAATGCATTTAGTCCATTTTTAAAATTTCGCTTGATATTCCTATGTGGTTTGAAACATCCATGACCCTCCCCTAGTACTTGCCATTCATTGCTGACCAAGAGTTAAACAACCTAGCTTTTAATAGACAAAACACAATCTCCGATCCAAACACCACCATATTTCCTCATCACATTCTTTCTGGCTTATCTTCATCCCCTCTCATCTCCACTGCTACCCCACTCTCCCATACTCTCTGTTGGTGGTTCACAACTTATACGGTTGCCAACGCTAAGTAATGGTAAAGGGAAACTCGCACTCACTATTTGATAGTGTGTATTGGTAAAGATCGCTCAAGTATAATAGTCTATAAGAAATAGAGAAGATATAAATCATATTAGGAAGATCATATGTGATGATTTGACTAAGAAAATGTAAACAATAATCAAAAGTGTGACCTTCTGGTATGATAATCATGTTCCACTAGTTCACCCATTTACCCACTCTTTTTGGGAAATCACTCTTATGTTATCGGAGCCAATGGATTGCTCTACACTAAAAGTTATAGTTAGTAACAAATATGTATTTTTTTTAATATTTAAATAGTAATTAACAACACATTCCGATGAGAAATATAATGAATTTGACTGATCCTTCAAACTTCTTCCCAACCCACATTCTCACTCTAGCAACCAAGAGTAGCTCTCTCCCGTTCTCACATTCTCCTTCGTTTTTTATATTAACTCTTGATGGGCTGTTTGGTTGGGGAGGGGGGAGGAAAAAATAAAAAGAGAAAAAGACTTTTTTTTTTATTATATATTAATTATTAATATTAATATTACGGAAAGATATTTTAGTCTTTATACAACTTCTTTCCTTTTTATTCTCAATAATTTTATTCTACCTTATCAATGAATATAATTTAAATTCTTACTTTATTCTTACCCTTTTTTTCTCATTACTAAATTACAATTTATTCCTGTCCCAATCGTTATACCCTGCACCACGGCGCACATAGCACTGCGCGCCACGTGCCTCCCAAAACCACGTCGTTTTGATAAGTTATGTAGGGAGTTGATGTGATTATGTGTATTTGTTTATACAATTATGTGTATTCTAATATAAAATTATGTACATTTTTAAACATGATTTTTTTCTTAGGAAAAATTAACTGTTAACACTGTGTAGCGATATTTTTTTATAAACAAAAAAAAGAAACAACATTATTTTGTATCAGGATGCACAATACAATGCACACCCAAGTGCACGATATAAATTGCCCCTTTATTCCTTTCAAGTTCCAACCAAATGCCGTGTGGATGTTCCACATGGGATCAACACGGTCATCATCATAACTTTATTGGGTTTTCTCTTTAGCCCAAAATATCTGTTGGATTGTCCAAGGTTTTCAACTGGATGAATCTAACAGCAAATAAGGTGCCTTGTCAACGTCATCATATATTTGCCCAACTCTGATCCTATGGTCCAAGACTTCAATTTGGCATCAAATGAACACTTTCCAATGACACCAATTATAAAGGCCAAGGCCCAGATTTTTGTCCATAACCATGCAATGACACCAACCTTTATCCAAAAACATTTTTATCTTCAAGTTTTCAAGGGTTAAATAGTTATAATCCAGCAAAGCACATTGTACTCAGATGGCATGTCACTATATAAGGTCATGAGATTGAATCTCAATAGAGTCAGTGTTGACTCTTTATGCTTCAACAGAACAAATACTACTATGTAATAGAGTCAATAGTACAGACTTAACAGAGAACGCGTTAGTAAAAGTCGAACTCATAACAAATTACACTGAAAAAAGTAAACAGCTATAGAAAAACCATATGCGACATACTAGACCAAAAAAATATCAACAATAATAAAACTCATAACTTTCTACACAAGAAGAACTATCCTTCATTCATTCTGCAAATCTTTTTGGGCAACAAGAAAATAATTATTGAGCGTGAAAGAGAATAACATTTTGGCATGGAGTGAGAAGTGGGAAAGGATACAGTCATATACTTTTGAAAAATTGGGAGGCAAAAGCTGACAGAATCTCACCTTTGAAAGTTGAGTTTGAAGGTTTTTTCACAACAATAGCCCATGGTCCCCTCACCTCTAAAGAAGCCAAATTCCCTACAATAAATACAACAATAATTAAATTCCAATAAAAAGAATTTCAATTAATACAATTAATTAGCTAAAACTACAATATTCAATAATTATCATTCTAAATAAACTCATAAATATCATGTATACATATGAACAACAAATGGTTTTTCAAGGGCACTATTGTGTATACCTAAGTTCAAATTTCTGAATTCGTATTATTTAAATCGTTATTGTGTATTATGAAGTTTATCTTTTAAAATGAAAACTGATGCATACAAGTTCATTCTTAGCAGATGTATTAAATTTTGATACAAACTCATTATTAACGTATTGTAAATCAAACTAAACATATTATACAACATACACTACAAATGAATCTATACTATACTAATAAAATAAAATAAAAACTTAAATTAGGGGTCTATATTACAAGTTGTTATACCATGGACCAAGGTCCACATTGCAAAGTGGACCCTGGTCCTAAACGACGTATAAATAGTGTATTTTTAGTATTGAAATTGTAAACTTTTAGAATATAAATTGTGTTTCTAAATCAAAACATATAACATCTGTAGAATAATTTGTGAACACACCACATGGTCATCAAGTTCTAATTTGTTAATATTGTGTAATTGTAGTATTTGAAAGTAACTCGTGAATACAAAACAAGGAAGTCAATTACATATATATTAATATTGTGTGTTCGTAGTAATGTAGTATACAAATTGTGAATTTTTAAAATATAATTGTGAATATTTAGTATGTAAATTATGAACATTTAGACTCGGGTCATAATTTGCGATATTTTACTATGCAACCATAATCAACATAAGCGAAGGGTCTAGTCATCCAAAAGATACCATTGGCCCCATGCATAATTGTACTACGGCTCTGTTTGGCAGAGCTTATTTAGGAGCTTATAGCTTATTTTAAGCTACTCATAAGCTATAAGCTCTGTTTGGTAATGTTCCCCAAATAAGCTCCTAGCTTAAAATAAGAGCTTATTTTGGAACGCTACCTTAGGTAGCGTTTCAAAATAAGCTCCTAGCTTCCTAACTTTTTTTCCATCTTTATCCTTATTATTTTAAAGAAATGACATAACTTACCCTCCAATTAAAACTCTTTTCTCTTCTCCATTATCCACAACTTTCACCTCAAATATTATTATTATTATTATTATTATTATTATTATTATTATTGTGAGATTTGCAACAATATTGCTACTTCGTTATGAGATCTCTTCTCCATTATCCACAACTTTCACCTCAAATATTATTATTATTATTATTATTATTATTATTATTATTATTATTATTATTATTATTATTATTATGAGATTTGCAACAATATTGTTACTTCGTTATGAGATGCTAGATTATGATTATGCTAATAGTTTTATTTCAAAATGTTAATTTTTTTAAAGACAAAATGTTAAATTTTAATATGTAAACAAACTAATTTAAATTTTATGAAGATGTCCTTTTTAGTCTTTTTACATTTATCAGCTTATCAAAAAGCTAATTTTACCAAACACTTTCAATCATAACAGCTAGCTTAACAGCTCTTCAATTTTCAGCTCTGAGCTTATAGCTTTTAAGCTTTCAGCTCCTTTTCAGTTTTCAGCTCCTAGCTTATAGCTTTTCAGCTAGGTCTGCCAAACAGAGCCTACTTGATATCACATTAAAGTGGAACAATACAACATAGCTATTAAACATGTACAAGTGTACAACTTTAATTAATAATTTGCAAATAATGAATCTCTATTAACAATCTCAACCAACAAACTTCGCATTTAGTCTATGATGAGTATTATGGCATCATCATATTTAGTCATTCTATTTTAATTATGTCACATTAAATCATTGGTTTTTTTTTTTTTTTAAAGGTATTGGCTTTTATTTATTTCCCACAATTAATATTTTTTTAATTATATTATTTAATAAATATGGCTAATATGTGTGTAGTTTAATCATTAAATAAAAATAATTTACAAGAGGGGGAGAGAAAGTAAATATTAGGAAAAGATGTTTAAATAATAAAATGACATGTTAACACTCTTTATTAAATGGTGAAATGACAATATTTTAAATTGAGGACTAATTGTGGTAAATAAATACGAATAAAGGATATAATGTCACAAGATTAAAAGAACATTTTGTTGAATGCTACTGACTATATTACATTGTAGTATCTGTTCAAATATATTTTCTCAACCTAATGAAGCACAACGAGTCAACAACACTTCTATCGAGGCTCAATTTCATGACCTCCCACATAGCAGAGGTCACTACATACATGTCATCCGAGCACAAGGTGCTTGAATTGATAAAATTAAAAGAACATTATTCAATGACTAAAAGTGAAATTTGCTCAAATATAAACATATCCATAATGTCATGCTGACTTAATGAATTTGAAATAATATATTCTTGGATTTTTTATCTATCTCTATATATAAAAGTATCTATCGGTCAAATTTTATCATATGTCATTAAAAGGAAAAAAGAAACTATATAGTTAATCGGGATTAATCGCATATACTATTCGATGAATTATGAATAGGTGCCTAAGTATATGGATAATGATTTTCATTCTAAAATATCATAAGTTCAATTCTTATTAATATTCTTTTCATTCAACTTACACATGAACAAAATTTATTCAGCTAACACCCTCGATCAATGGATACAATTTCAATTAAATTTGAAGGGTAGGTAGGAGGCATTAAATAGACTAGTGCCATGTGTACAACTACAACTTAATAACTGTCATTTACAGATGTACTCATGTGTATGCGCCACGTACAATTCAAACTCACACATATATACAGCACTCAATTCATAACCAACATCGATCATGCCAATAAGATGACAAAATTGATTATAAATGTTCCAATTATATTATGTATATACTTTATTCTTTTTCTTTTTCCAAAAGTTGAATCCCGACCAACCAGACAATGTACGTGAGATGATGTAAATCACGATAATTTAGTGACTTAGTACACATGGTCAAATGCCAGTGCGCATAAAGAATATGCTCACTTTGAATATAATCCCTGCACTGCCACTATTGAGTTTCGAACATTAGTCTCTTGTATAGTTCACTACAACTATTTGAACTATACATGGTGAATTATACATTATGATACAAATATCATTAGCTAAAATATTATATCAAAGTCATATATCATTTTATCTTTTTACGGTCATCATCTTATTATTGAACAACTAATTTTAGCAAATAATAATCAACATTCAATTAGACTTGGTAATTTGCCACTTGAGTGGACATGAAAACAATAAGTTAATGTTTGCCCTTAACTTGTCCTAGTTATTAACGGGTTAACCCGTTAAGAATCTGTTAAATATCGTGTCGCAATGTGTAAATATGTTAAGACTAGTATTAGTTATGATTTTAGATATTATTTTAGACATTTTTATGAATATAAGGATATGTTATGAATTAAATATATTTACTATTTTGTTGGTTTAATGGTAAATTTCATTAAAAAAAATGCTAAAGTTAATTTAAAAAAAAAAATTATATTAACATGTTTAATGAGCTTCAAACGGACTATTGTGTCACATAGACTCAAAATATATTAGCTAAACGCGTTTATCATGTCAATCCATTTATATAAACTGTATGTCATGTTCGTGTCTAAAATTCTAACTTGTTATTTTTAATGGGTTGTATCCGTGTTTAGCCTTATTATATTCCAATTATTATCTTATCAATCCGTAAATGAACATGTTTATACAGATTGTCAGGTCTACTTTCAGTTAACTTTTTACTGTAAGGCATGTAAGCAACCATTTGTCCGCGGCTCAAATAATTTCAGTGGCACAATCTAAGTGCGCATATGATTTGAATTTTGAAAGCTTTATATCCAATACTAAATTAAACAAAAGGTTAACCTATATGGCTATATGTATACGCAATTACATATCTTGTTGACTTACTATGATTAGGTATGTAGTGGGCAACACTACGGCGCTACCGCAATAGGAGAATGTTTAAATTTGGGCGATTCTTCTTCTCCTAAAAGATTAAATCTGATTTTCAATCTCAAAATCTCCACACCCGCCCCGACAAAATATTTGAGAGGATGTTACGTTAATTACAGGAATGGCTCAGCAGACAATGGTTATACCCTGCATCACGGCGCACATAGCACTGTGTGCCCCACGCCTCCCAAAACGACGTCATTTTAGTAAGTTATGTAGGGAGTTGACATGATTATGTGTATTTGCTTATACAATTATGTGTATTTTGTTTATACAATTATGTGTATTTGTTTATACAATTATGTACATTCATGTATACAATTATGTGTATTCTAGTATAAAATTATGTACATTTTTTAACATGAAATTTTTTTGTAAAGAAAAATAACCGCCAACACAGGGTATCGAAATTTCAAAAAAAAAAAAAAAAAAAAAAAAAAAAAAAAAAAAACTGAAACGACGTCGTTTTGCATCAGGGCGCACAATGCAATGCACGCCCTGGTGCACAATATAAATTGCCCTCAGCAGATAAGGCCAAATGTTGGTGGGCACAAGGGATCTGCGAGCTTACTTTAGGCATAATCCTCCCACTGTCTCCGCCGAGGACCGAGATTCGAGCATTGATCTCTTATCTTGAATATTGCATATTGAACCATTTATTAGGACTCTGAACTTTAAGAAGTTACAATTAAATACATCAATTTATTTTTGTACATTTAGACCCAATTCAGGTTATTCGCATGTAATAATTAGTAATTAGGGTTCTGACGACTGTACCGGCAAACAGTCACCAATGGATGACCAACTATTGTTCCCATATGTACATAACTGACAAATTAATGTGTTAAATTGTAACTTTTAAAGTCCAAGAGTCAAATTTCTTTTTCATTTAAAATTCAATCGTTTATTTGACAATTTTCTATCATCTCTATAATTGTATTATATTTATGATATTATTTTCTATCATCTCACTCATGTATAGTGAATTGACAACTAATACTAAAAAGTCTCGTTCAATAAATTTAATAAATATAATTATAATAAAAATTAAACTTGTGACTTTTTAAGGAGTTAATTATTAATTTCGTCACCCATTTTGAAGTAATTTTTATATTATTAGTGTCCATTTTTCTCCCATTCCACGGAGAGGACTGACATTTGGAATCCCACTGCAATAATCTGATCCTAATAATTTTGTAAAGGCAATCAAGTTGGCTTGGAGAATTGCGCCATTTTATATATTTTGGTGCCACAAATCATACCACCGGTGAGGCCCCAAATTATTGTCATTCTTTTTTAATCTTATAATATTCTTAAACTACTAAAATAACTCAAGTAATCTTCCTTTACGAATTATTACTACTTTGAAAAAATAGGACAAATGTCAAAATTATTCTTTGTTGGATTAGTCCTAAATGGAATTGTGATAGAACAAATTGCACTTTTGGTCCTGTGAGTATTAGGGTACTGACAATTTGAGTACGTGACTTTCAAAACTCACAATTTAAACCTTTAACTATGCAATTTTTGGCACATTTGGTCCTCCGGGCCAAATTGCCGGCCAATTTTGGCCGGAAAAAGATTTAATGCTTCGAATTAATTTCTGATGAGGGTAAAAATGTCATTTCACTCTCTTCTTCTTCATTCACCCCTTCTTCTTCGTTCTTCTTCTTCTTCATCCTTGCACTTGATTTCCTCTGCAGATGTCTGGGACGAAGAACGAAGAACGTGATCAGCACTTGATTAATGTGTTTGATTTCCTCTGCAGATTTCTTCTTCGTTCTGCACTTGATCAGCATGTGTTGGCCTACTGGGAATCAATCATATTACATTTGAATATAGACATAAAAGTGATTAATTGACGAGTTGGACCACTATATCCTTGAGGGGACATCATGGTGTATATGATGTAGTTTAATATGAGATGTCAAATTATCACGGTGACTTCCTCTGCAGATGTCTGGGACTTGATTTCCTCTGTTTTCTCCTTCACAGCCCTCACTTTGAGCTTACTGAAACTGGGCTTGGAATTTGCAGAAGAGCTTGAGGCCGAGTGAAATGACGTTTTTACCCTCATCAGAAATTAATTCGAAGCGTTAAATCTTTTTCCGGCCAAAATTGGCCGGCAATTTGGCCCGGAGGACCAAATGTGCCAAAAATTGCATAGTTAAAGGTTTAAATTGTGAGTTTTGAAAGTCACGTACTCAAATTGTCAGTACCCTAATACTCACAGGACCAAAAGTGCAATTTGTTCAATTGTGATAGCACCTAATTTTTTTTTTTTTAAATTATATCTTGTCTCTCAACAACTCACAATTAGTCATTTTAGGTCATAATTTTTTGTTTTGTTTTTGTTTTTGTTTTTGTTGTTTTGTTGTTGTTGTTGTTTTTTTTTTTTTTTTTTTTTTTTTTTTTTTTTTTTTTTTTTTTTTGTTTACAGTTATAATATATTTCCCATTTTTTTTTATAAAATAATTGTAATTTTTGTCACAAGAGTAAGAAAACTATTAAATTGCATAAGAGATGCAATTTTAGTATTTTATTGATATGCAAAATAATATAAAATTATCAACCTTCTTTAATACATTTTCCCTCCACATATTCAATGTGTATTGTAAATTACTATAGGAACGTAGCTGACATATGCATGCTCTTTCAAATTATTTTTTCGATATATAGTTTTTATATTATTTATTTATTTGTGGTGGTGGCCGGGGAAATTTATTAAACAATTCAATTCATTCTCCATGATAAGTTTGATTAATATAGATTATATGCTGATATGAAACTTTTATAGGTTTGATTCTGTTCATTTCACTTTTAAAGATCAATGGATGAATTTTAATTTTATATATATATATATATATATATATATATATATATATATATAGAATAGGTTAAATTAATTACTACATTATGCAAAAATGTAATTAGGTTATCTATTTTTTTTAACAAATACAATTTATTTCCGTGAACAAGTACAAATTATGAAATTAGACCAAAAGTAATTGATATTTCAGGTAATGTGAGAACTTGGTAAGGTGGTTAAATCATAATTTAAAATTTGGTCTAGTTGTTGACTTATGTCAACACATTGCTTGGGATACTAGGCACTTCAAGCGAGAACAATCTCAAAATAAATGTTATGACAAATTTGGTCCGTCTATTTATCCCAAATCAACGATTGTAGGTTGCTTATCAAAAACAAAGGTAAAAAATACGAGATCAGTTTTATAATTATTGCAACAACTCTTTATTTTTCAGTAACTTACAATTGTTTATATATCCAAACTGATAATTCAGATCAATCATTACTTTTTACGTGAGAGTTTGTTCTCACATGAATCCTCACACACATGTAGGTTCAAGTGATAACACATGTCCCAAATAAAAATAGTGGATTAATCTCATCTATCCTCTTGGGTTGATCAAAGTCTAGACGATAAGGAAAAAATGAGAAAAAAAAAAGAGTAGAATTTTTGTAATTACGACAATGCATTTTGAAATGTTTGATAGTACATTTGTAGATAACAAGTAGTGCATACACGTTAATGCATTATTATAGATTTTGATTTTGATTGTATTGTCAATTTTTCGTTGATGCACTATCAAATATTTTCAAATGCATTGTTATAATTACATATATTTTTCCTTAATTTATAACCTTCAATCAATTTAAATGGATGGGTACCCCAATTAATTCACACTTTTTACTCACGTACGACATGTGATATTGTATGGATTTAGCAAATTTTTTTTAATGTTTACTTTATTTTATGTAAGCATTCATGTCCAAAGTATGATTAAACATCGTGTAATTTACAATAAATTTGTATACATTTTGTAAGTACATTCAGGCGATGAAACTTTGTTGCGAAATAAATGTGGATTGGGAAGTATATTGGCTGACCCTATAATCTTAGTTAATATAATGTATTCCGTATGTGCTTACTAAGATATGATCGCTTTATAATCATATTGCTGACTGTAAGTTTATCTTAAACCAATTTTCTGAGTGTGAGATTGTCCACATTTTTTGAGAAGGCAATCAATGTGCCGACTACCTAGCAAACATGGAACATGACAATTAACCAATGGGGAACAACGCTTCTAGTTCAACCTCCTAATGGCGAAAGAAACATCATTAAGCGTGATGCTATGAACATCGTTGTGAGAAGAATCTACTAATCCCGCGCACCAAAAAAAAAAAAAAAGTTAGATGAACGCTTTCTTTATTGATTATTCTCTTGTAAGTAAGTTTTAAATTTTGTAAAGAAACATTTACATAGTAAAATTTATGCTAATACTAACCTTAAATATTATGAAAAATTGAATTGTAAATAACTTTAATCAAATGAATATCGTAAACTGGATAAGACATATAAAATTGAACGGTGAGAATATAGAATTGTTATCCACACTATAATAAGCCTGACTTTACAAATGTTTGTATACTTAGTTCTCGAAGTTAAAAATATCATTTGGTCACTTTTAAGATATGAGTTGCTCGATCCTTATCAAGATGAATACTCTCCAACCATTCTTAATAGTCCTAAAGTCATACCTTACAATTTCCAACCCCATTATGATCCAATGGCATATTATCTAGTTAGCAATTAGTTGTTATATCTAGGTATTTGGCTCGCATTACTCTAGTTATATTTATAATAGTTAAATTCCCTAACAATATTTAAAAAAAAAAAATGAATTACACTTTTTGTAAACAAAACATGTATTGATTATATTACATTCCAAACTTATGAATGTAATATTCTCAATAATCTAAGATTCTTTAATTTAAGATAATGTAACATTATTGAGTGACCCAAAACATTAGTATTTATTATTGTACCATATTAGTATTAATAAAATGGATGTGTGTAGTACTGCTAGAAATGGACAGGATGATGAAAATCGCAAATGGGAAGAAAGAGTGGAGGCCCCACCTGCGTTGAATAGTAAACCCTGCTGTCACATCCCCATGGGGCCACCATGTGATTTCTTCCATCCCATCCCCCTTCCCCCTTCCCTCTCCCCTTCCTATCTCCCTCTACGTATTCACAATCTCTGCGCTTCCAATTCATTCCTTCCCTCTCATTCATTCATTCGCATTCTTTTTAACGTCCCATCACATCATCTTCAATAATCTTCTTCCTCTCCGATCACATCCTTTCCCACTGCAAAACCAGTCTGAAAGGAGGGAGAAAAAAGGGTTTTTTTTTTTTGTTCTTGATCGGTGAGAGTTGATGGATTTGGCGTCCGGTGCAGGCGCGGCGGATCATAGCGTCAGCGGCGGCGGCGGAGGCGGAGGAGGAGGAGGGGGAGGGGGAGGGGAGGGGCAGTCGTCTGTAACGGTAAGTGTTAGCGGCGGGGTGGGGGCGGCGGGGGAGGGAGGATCAACGGCGGCGGCTGCGCCGCCAAGCCGGTACGAGTCACAGAAGCGGCGAGACTGGAACACGTTCCTGCAGTATCTGCGGAACCACAAGCCGCCGTTGACGCTGGCGCGGTGCAGCGGCGCGCACGTGATCGAGTTCCTCAAGTACCTCGACCAGTTCGGGAAGACGAAGGTGCACGTGATCGGGTGCCCGTATTTCGGCCACCCCAACCCGCCGGCTCCATGCGCCTGCCCGCAGAAGCAAGCCTGGGGCAGCCTCGACGCGCTCATCGGCCGCCTTAGAGCGGCGTACGAGGAGAACGGCGGCCGCCCGGAGTCCAACCCCTTCGGCGCTAGAGCTGTGAGGATTTACTTACGGGAGGTACGAGAAAGCCAGGCTAAGGCTAGGGGAATACCGTACGAGAAGAAGAAGCGGAAAAGGCCCACTGCCGTCGCCGCCGCTGCTGCGGCCAGTAGTGGTGGCGTCACCGAAATTGGATCCGTCGGTTGTGGCGGCGGTAGCGATACTGTCGGCAAGCCAGTTACTACAACAACAACAACAGAGTATAGTAGTAGTACTACTTAGATTTTACTCTATCCGTAGTAACTAATTAATTAATTTATTTTTGAACTTCAATTACATATATTATTATTCTCTCTCTCCTAATTGTGAATTATGAGAGGTTTATTTATTCTTAATAAAACAAAAACAAAAATCTTTCTTACTTAAACTCTTGATTTACATTGTCATATCAAGATTTTCTCATGCATACTTTAAAATGGCTTGAATAATCCAAGACGAAATAATCTTTTCGGACCAAAAACCCTAATTTTCCGACCCATTTTGGATGGTCTAAAATTGCGAGTTTTCCAAATGTGGATCAAACCTGCGTATCATTCAAATTTTGGGCTAATTATTATAGTGTTGTTACTAGTTTTCTACTTTTCTATGGTTCAAAAATCAGAATAGGCTTCAATAACTCCCTATATGAACTGCCTAATTGGGTCTGAACTGGTCAGTTATGGGCTAAGGTAAATTTCACCCAAAGGTTCCTTGACAATTAACGTTACAAGGTAAATTTTACTGAAAGCATAAATTCGAGTAATGCCTACAGGCTTTCTCGTAAATCACAAAAAAATCTGAACAAGTAAGAAAACATGTGAATAACAACGTAGGCTGCAGCAAAATGCATGTATGCAAATATTAATCGTGTATGTATGTATGTGTTGAACTGATCTGGTCCCCATTGTTTGGTTGGAGGATTCTGGTCTCCCTCCAGGGGCTCTACTACTTTAGTGCATGCAGTCCTCTTATATCTGATCTGATCTGATGATCTACTTGTTATGCACACGTGCGCGTTCTTCAACTCCATCAGACATCGCATGTTACAACCTACTATATATGTATATATGTACATATGCAACATTCATCATCTTCTTCATATGGTTGGGCAAAGGCCAACTGTTAGTTGATTGGGTTACTGAATTTAATTAATTGATAACATTAGCTGATTGTAGAAAAGTGTTTGGTAAATTAGTCATTAGTTGATAGCTGATTACATGCAAAATAACTTTTTCAAAAAGCTGTTTTGAGCAGCTTTTTAAATGTTAACATTTTGGAACAATGAGTTATTACAAAACCTAATTAATCAAACACCCATATTGATTGTTTAAGCAAGTTAAATAGCTAATAGTGATCAAATAAATTAAAATTAATTGATAAGCTAACTATGTTACCAAACAGGTCTTCATCTAAGTAGCTGTTCTTGGCCGCAGGGTCATGGTGACTGAATCCTGAAAGTTGAAAGGCACTCCCTGTCATATTATATTCGGAGTACTTAAAACTTATATTAACTCTCTACTAAAGAAATTAACAGTATAATAACAATATGGTTGAAAAGGTTAATTAATAAATGAAACCAAATCTGATACGATGCTGCTGTGGCTAAAATGTTTTTTTCTGGGTGTAATCTAGTATAATAAACAGCAACATAAAATATGCAGACAGCCTCATAAAAAGGATTAATTCTGCGTTAATTGCCTTTTTAAAATTATAATTTAATTATTGTATATAGCTAGGAGTACTACTAACCCACTAACATCAGTGCGAAAATGACTGACGGCCAACCGTTGCTTCCATTCCATTGATTTGTATATTCAAGCACTATTTGTAAATTATCATATCCTTAGCTTGTGATAATAGGACACACTGTGCCCACCAATAATACACCACCAAATCCAAAAATATGTTTTTAAAAGTAAATAATAAAGCCTCGGTAGCCCAAGTTGATGGAGCATTATTCTCGTACCAGACGATCAAGAGTTTAATTTTGGTCAACACCTTCTCGGTCGAACATATTGTATATATAGCATGTGCCTAGCGTTGTTTACCTCTCCGGAATAATTTGATGGTTAGTTGGGTATTACACAATATAAGAATTTGATTTACTCCATGCAATATTGAAAAAATCGCTAGGCGCCCTCTAGGCGCTTGGGGCCCACCTAGGGCGCCTAGAGCGCCTAGGCGGGCGCCTAGAACGCCTAGGCTAGGAGGCCGGATCGGCGCCTAGGCGCGATTTTTACAACAGTGACTCCATGTATACCACGAGTGTTTCCTTTGTCACCCAAAATAATAATAATAATAATAATAATAATAATGACCGAAGAAAATTATTGACCATTATTTTATTTAAAAACTTGCTTGCATCTATCTTCATGTAATTAATTATATGATATATCTGCCAGAGATCAGAATGCCGTTGTTGTGTTGTTCTTGGTCTTTGACATATGACTTCATTTTATTTTTTTCCAATAAAATTTATAACAAATAATTAAATAAGCTACATGTACCAAAGACCTTGCGATCGAGCGACATAACTGTAACCCTTGTAGCCGAGCGGCATAACTGTGGCTCTCCCAACCAAACGGGAGGTCACATATTCGTACCCTAGTGGATCGATTAACCACTAATTGATGATGTGATAAATTCACCAAGAGAAACATGTGCGTAGGTAAATATTATTTTGTGTAATAACTCAGAAATAACATAGAAAAACTAAATCACACTAGAAAAACTGTGCTATAAGTCAATTATGTTTTACACGCTCAATGTCCTTTTGGGACAACTTGGTTATAGACATACTTGAATGCGTATTGGGGATCCAATGTAGTATGCGTGTGAGTATATATGTATGGTCGCTTTCACCAAGAAAAGAACAAAATAATCAACTCATTTTCTTGGTGATCGATGTTGCAACATATATATTTGTTTGCGAATTTGGTGTCATCATTATTGCAATTTTCCTTTCTTTATCTTATCCGTCACCACCAATGATCAACAAATTAAAGTCCCCCATTTTCCATGCCACGTTACGTTACAACACTGGACCAAATACAGGCCATATATATGTATACATATACGCCCGTACTCATATATTATTTGATCTATTATCATACGGTTACAAGCAAAGTTAAGTTATTAATTGAGTATAACCTCAAATCAAGTTTGTCAAACATTTGACTTGATAATTATAAGATTATAAGTCTGACTTTTAATAAAAACTGCCTATTGACTTTCTTAATTTGAGGCGATCAACTATAAGCAATTTAAGTTGTTTTATTTTATTGTAGTTCTTTGCCGACTAAGATTACAAACGTGTTTCACTTAGAGTGAATCTTTGAGTGCGGGTTCCTGTAAATCAAAGTAAGGTTATTAATTAATTTTGCGTCAATTGACTAGTTAAGTTGTATCATAACTTAATTACCTCAACATAGTAACAAAGTAGGCAAAATGATGTTAATATCCACAAGTGTTTCTTGCAGTAGGGTGTAGCTCAAAGTGTTTTAATTTGGAAAAGTATTAGATTTGTACTGATGATTGAATATTGTGGGGATAATGTCCTTACAACATTCAATACAAACTCAAAATATTTTTCATATACATTTGGATTTCACTAGCCCATATCTTATAATTTTTCTAAGAGAAAAGGGTCAAATAGGTCGTCGTAAGAAATGAGCACGCCATCTCCGACAACTGAAAATTAAATGAGGGCCAAATTGGTTGTCATCTCCCAAGGACGACGGTGAAGGCGATCATCATGGTCGCCATCTCCAGTCGACAGAAATGGCGACCAAAAATGGTCACCTTCTCTGTCAACGGCGCCATCTTTAGTTGCCGGAGATGACCACACCTTGGTCTCCGTCGTCGATTGTTATTGTTGGACAACCGCCAGAATTTTAGTGATCTGGTATTACAAGTCACTAACAGGTAATGGGACCTTAATGAACAAAATTATGTTTGTGTACGTAATTGAAACTTTAAAAAGTTCGAGAGATTATTTAACAATTTTTTTCTAATAAAGTATATAAATTTAATTTTTATTTGATTAAAATATGATTAAACCGTTACATGCAAAAATGAAAAATCTCATCTGATCATCAGGTGGTATTTGGTGCATCTGTGCATGTTGTAGTGGAGAGCTGAGGCAGAAAAAAGTCATCTGAAACTCTGCAGAGGTGATTTTGACAGCAAAAGAAGCAAAGTCGTTAAAAAACAAAAGTGAAAAGCTGAGTGCTGTGACCAAACCCTAGCATAAAGCAGATCAGAGAGCGTAAAAAAGATTTTTGACAGAAAATTACAGAAAACTTGGAAAAGAATTGGCGTGAATGACGATGTATATTAAGGACAACCGCGTTAAATTAATATTAACAACTGTTTTTACTTTCAAGAACACTTAATAAGACAACGGTTTTTAATCATTGACTTTTGTAGAAAAGACAATGGTTAAAAACTCTTGTTAATGTGTGTAACTTTCAACAACACTCAATAGATAATGATTTTTAATCGTTGTCTTTTCTATCTTTGCACGAGACTTACAATAACAGAAATTTGATCTCAAAAATAACGATTTTTAACCGTTGTCTTATGTATATTTTTCTTGAATGAATGACCCACGTAAAAGTTTGAGTGATAGCATAAATTAGATCAAAATAAAAGGATCGAGTTATATAATTTTATGAGGTAGATAATATGATACGGGGATATAAGCACTAATACATACAAGTAGTTCTATGGAGAATAAGGTGCGTGTCTGGACTATGCAATTGAAGTTCTATTTATACTTTGATTTACGTCATAAATTCGATCTTTTTGTGACTCTAGCCGACATAATTAGGTAAACCATTAGAATCCTTATTTCATGTGCCAACTTTTAAGACTTACTATTTGAGTTATTAGGTGAGTTATACTGTCATATACAATCATATCCTATCAACGGTATATATTTCATTTATTTCGTATTGAATTGTAACACTGGATACTATGTCTATATGCATCATTTATATTGAATAACACAACTACCGGATACCAATGACAAATTATTTGATAATAGATCAGAGTTATGGTGCATGGTGTCGCAGTATAGCAATACATACATATACTAAATAAAATAACAATAATGCATGTCCCTTGGCTACATTCTACTACCTAATTATTCCTTGCAAGTGGAAGCCAGGGATTATTGATCACTGCAATTCAAGGAAACGTATAAGGACGGGCAATGGGCATGCAGGTTATTATATATGATATGATGAATAATATATATGATGGAATTATATATGCTTCTTTTAAAATGTATAATAATGTTGGTGTATTAGTCATGAAGCATGTTACCTCTATGGGCTATATTTCTATTTTAATATAAACCTAAAACACAAATATATATATTTTGGCGAGTTCAGGTGCGGCGGTGCGGCATCACCAATAGTTCAACAAATATACACCATCAACGTTAGAAAAATACACCACAAAAAACAAAAGAAAATTAGGTACGCATTGGGGGTGGTGAGTTATATGGTGTATTTTTTGGTCTGTTGTGTATTTTGTGATGTTTTATTGCATTTCATTATGGTGTGTTTTTCATACACTGTTGGTGCATATTGTTAACACTGTTGATGTTTTCTGGAATTTTGCCGCATCGCCGCACGGGAAGACCCCGCCGCATTTGAACTTTATTATATATATATATATATATATATATATATATATATATATATATATATATATATATATGGATGTGATACTATATATATTGCCTCCACCAAAAAAAAAAAAAATGCATGTGAAATGATTGTGGCAAAACTTACACTATTGAATTAGTTTTTGTGGTCTTACTAGTTAATTAGGCTGAAATTATCTCAGTAAAGATAACATTAGGATGATGTGAAAATTCAAAAGAACATTATTGTTTATTTTGGTGGGTTGTCCATGTGGCGGATTCAGGAATTTTTTTCAGTTGGGGCAAAATATTAAAGGAAAATTGATAATTAGAAAAAAAAATGAAACACTTAAAAAGTATAACCATAAATAATGTTGGATATAGGAAAATTATAAAACACATCAAAACATTATAAAAATATTCATAACAAAATATGAATATAATCAATTTGATAAAATAATTTGAATAAAAGATCCATTATAAATTACACATCTCATCTCATTATTAATATCAATGAAGATTATATTATTGTGTTGAAGCAATATGCACTATTAATAATATTGAAAATGTGAAATAATGTGAAAAGATAGTGTTAATGGTGAAAATGTGAAATAAAATGTCAAAAAAATTAGAAACAAACCACATGCTAAACTACAAATTCGAACCCTAACCTACCTTTAACCCAACCATGCGCTCTGCCAACTAGGCTAAGTCACATTCTATTATCATTTGTCTATTTTTTAATACTTATACTAAAACGTCTACTATATATACACATATACATACAAGGGTTATATAAGAGGTGGGGGTGGGGTGAGTGGGGGCAGCTGACCCCACTGTGGGTCCGCCTCTGCATGTGGCAAACAAATTCGCTAGGCAACTCCTACAATTCTCTTTTTTTTTTTTAAAAATAAAATATTATTTCTTTTATTATTATATTTATAATATAATATAATATTAAAGTGTGACTCAATTTTTTAGAGCGATATAGATTTGTAAGTATGTAGAAGAAATAATGGATAATTTATAAATTTGATATGTAGAAGTGGATCCATTTTTAAAAGTGAGAGATTTGCAAGGATAAAGATAGCCTTAGAGTCTTTATTTTAGAAATTTTGTTAAATAATACTTAATTTGTGGCAAAACTTACACTATTAACAAATATGCACGAGAGAAAAATGTGCATATTATGCTAATACTACACATGTATGTACTATATATCATGAAAAATTATGAAATTATTACCATGTAAATTCGGATCTCGCTTAATCATATCACTTGCTCTTACTATCTTGCTCTAGACACTCGATCCAAGTTGTCTCTCTCGATCTCTCTTTTACATCAACAATTATATTTATATTTAAATATACTATAGAGAAACATAATAGCGAAAAAAAAAACCCTTAAATTACAAGAAAGAGAGACTATAATGTTCCAACAATGTTTGTGATAAGCAAATGACGAATATCATCATTTGAGGAGATTCCAAACACATGCAAATCTTAGCTTAGAACACCAAAAAGCTAAGTATGGTCATCCAGTTAGTACCAAAATTTGTTTGTCAATAAACATATCGAATTAAACATCGTATTGACTTAACAAGTTTTTAGTTGTCACAATCAAATACCTACGTATATAATATAGTCTATATCTTATCCTTATTTTTTTAAAAGGCCACACGCTTAAATCCTCTATTCCAACCGAACATACGACTTTGATATATTCTTCAAAAGATTATGAATATTTTTTAAAAACTTTATTTGTAAAATTCAAATCCAAAATAGACTTTATAAATATTAAACTCTTTGCATTTAAATAACATATCGTTATTCAATATTCATCTATTATTAATTTATTATGAGTCAGGCTAATAAGTAATCAGTGCTCCAATACTGTAAGCTAGCCACGATGCCGTTTAATTATTGGTGACGTCCTCGCCTTCTAGAAGAAAGCAACGTATCATATTACCACCTAGCTGCTACTACGTACCTATGTTTTCATACTACCCAACAAGTATTTTCCATCTTGTGATAATGACAATTATAAGTGGAAGAAAAAATAAAAATGGTAAAAAAGTAATTAAGACTAAATCTATGATCTTATATATTAAATTTACGTTCTTATTTTTAATTTATTTTATAATATTCACTTTTTTTTTACCTAACACTACTATACTTTTTTCTTTTAAATGTTATTGAGTTTTTTTTTTTTTAAATAATAATAATTTATGCATGATAGAATCGGTCAATTTATGAATCATATTCGAATATAAAGTTCACTGGCACTTTGGTCGCAAATTCATTTTCTTGGCATTAGGTCACCAACTTCTATAATATTTCAGTACTACATAAGCGTCAACCCTATATGCATGGTCTTACTACTTTGTGGAGATTGGACTATGCTAGCTTTTAGTAAAGAGTCACTCAAGCTTGGTCACTGCAACTCCCTTTGTAAGGAAGCACCTGATCTTATGAATTTATGAGAGTATATTTTGTCAAGTTTCTTGTAGAGAATTGATATTTTATAAAACAAAGTGCTAGTTAATTAATTAACTGTAGAGACGAAATTTCTCGCCCCAGGCATCTCATCACACTTTAATTAAGCTTGATCATGCATTATTGCCTCCGATTTATCTATTGATTCTTCATCCTCTTGGGTGGAGAATTCATAATTTAATTTCACATTTATTTAGAGATCATATGATTATTCACCAATGCTTATAAATTTGGAATTAGCCTCATTATTGTACGGTATCGGTTATATTAATGTGGGAATCTAAGAAATTTATTCATATATGTCTGGTTTATATATAGAATCATAATCAAAATGATAACTAGATTTTTCCTTAGAAATGTGAATTAATTTGAGTCCTTCATTTATAATGATTAATGACTACAAAATAAAGGAAAAGAAAAAAAGACTTGATCAATTTCATAAATACAAATACTTTGAAAGTTCACATATTTATGAAATCAAAAGTATCTCCTTTTTCTTTTTAATGTGTTTTTTTCTTTAATTTTTTGTATTCTCCAACCGTTAAATATATTAAATCGATTTATTATTTATCTACACTTCTCACACAAAACTTTGTTATGGCCCATTCGCGGAATAAAAGCCCGTTTGCGGAGGGCCCACTCCAACGACGTTACACACACATATATATAAATGAGGTACGAAAAAAAAAAAAAAGAAAAAAAAAAGAAAAAAAAAAAAAAAGAGAGGTGCAGAAAATTGACAAACTGTATCAAGGTTCGCCGACAAGGTATCGAGAGAGTAGATTTAAGTTGAATGCGTTGCCCACCTAAATTATCTTCTATCGCTTTCTACAAGAAATATAAACACCCGGCAATCTTCTCATCTTCACAAATCAATAATTTATCAATTTAATTTAATTTGTTATGGAAAATAAATCAATCTAATATAAATCGTTTTGAATTTTTGATAGTTCATCTATTTACCACTTTCTATTATTATTAAACAAAAAGGTAATTGAGATATTTCATCAAATAAATTTTATGTAACGCAATATATTTTGACTGAATGACCATTAGCAGAACATATATTACATTTTAAAGAATCATAAGTGTCCAGGCCAAACAAAATTAATTGACCACTAAATTAATATTTTAATTTATAGTTAATATATATATATATATATATAATTGAAACGAGCTGTGTGCTTGAAAGGTAATTTGTAAGCTTTTCAAACATTGTTTGTAGTAGATTTTATGAAGGATTTTCTATAATTTTGTTGTTATTATATGCAATTGTAGGGATGTTGAGAAAATAATATTAAATTGTAAATATGTTAATATGGTATGATAGTATAATCTAGTTTTGAAAATGAGATAATATTAGGAATCCCCTACACCATTTTAATAAGTTCTTGTTTATTTATGTACCATGGTACTTTAAGTAATATAGGTGTGGTGTGGAGTAAGTATGTAAGAATTGGGATATACAAATAAATGGTTGGTAAATATGCAAGTGTAAGTAGGCGGGGTGGTGATGGTGATATGGCAATGAGTTAATTAGATTTGAGAAATTAATGGTACGTAGATACATTAATAAAATGTACGTCTATAAATAATGATAACACATTTTTTATTTTGGGGGGAAATTAAAGCAAGAGCACAATAATTTAATTCCTTAAATCAATTTAAATTGTGAATATTCAGTATGAAAATTGTATATTTTTGCATCCGAGTCTACATTGCAATGTAGATTCGAGTCTACATAATAATTTGTCGCAAATTATGCTGTGAAAAAGTGTTCATCATGTGCATGGTGAACACAGGGGTAGATCCATAATTTTTATACTGTAGATTCATAATTTTATTTTATTTTTTGAAAGCGTTGATTCATGATTTTGTTTTTCATTTGTCGTTACAGATATTATGAATCTACAGTACAAAAATTATGAATCTACAGTATAGAAATTATGAAATTATAGTATAAAAATTATGAATCTACAGTACAGAAATTATGAATCTACAGTATATAAATTATGAACTACAGTATAGATATAGAAATTATGAATCTACAGTACAGAGATTATAAATCTACAATATAGAAATTATGAATCTACAGCTTAGAAATTATGGATCTATCTCATTAACAACAAATGAAAAACAAAATTATGAATCTACGTTTTCAAAAAAAAAAAATTATGAATCTACAGTATAGAAATTATGAATCTATCTCTGTGTTCACCATGCGCATGGTGAACACGTTTCCACAGCATAACTATTAATAATTTGCCGTGGAAAACCATCCATGCTCCATAGGACAAATTATATCGTGGACCCTGGTCCAATATACAAAATTTGACTTTATAAGGTACAAAATTCATGTTTATAATACACATATAGATAAACACGATATAATGAACATGAATTCTGTGTATTATGTTAAGTGTTCATATTTGCTCAGCTATATAATACACAGAATTCATGTTCGTTATATCGTATTTATGTCTATGTATATTATGAATATGAATTCTGTGTATTGGACCAGGTCCACGATATAACGAATGTGCTCCATAGTAAGCATTAAGCAAACAAGACCACGGCCCAAGTCAACATAATTGGGCCGAGTCATTCTCACATAGATAATCGATAAATACATGTCCAATAGAATTGGGCCTAAAGTGCCGAAAATGGTTCGTAAACAAATCCAGAAATCAGGGCCGCTGCTATATATATAAACGTTTACCTGAAAGCTAGGGTTTGAGTAGACAACAGACCGCGGAGCAGCACCACCGGCAACGGCCGAACATCTCAGGGAGTAGAGTTTCAGCAAACAACCGCCAACATGGTTCTGCTCTTCTCAATAAATTTGTTTAATAATTGTTCAATGCGCTACATACTATCGTATCTATATTTTGTTATTAACTGATTTGCGCTTAGTATTCATGGATATATATTTTCGGATGCTTTCATTTTAGTATATTTCTCACATGATTATTTGAGATGGTAGCTATTTTGTCGATCTGTAACCTACATTTTAACCATTGCACTCTTCATGATTAATTTCGTAAATTTGTTAGTGTTTATTTGATAAAACCTACCAGCAGAACTGCTTTAGTGGATTTAAAATCTCGGCCAATGCTTCACAGATTAAAATCGAAATACAGTAATGGTTTTAGATGATTTATATGTGATATGATGCCAAGTGAGCCACTAAACAGCTAATTGTTGTTAAATGGTGTATGTATTCTGTAATGTCGATTAGATGTCATATTTATCTTGTTTAATTTTCATTTACAGGCTAGAGGGTTGAAGAAGCATTTGAAGAGGCTAAATGCCCCAAAACATTGGATGCTGGACAAGTTGGGTGGGGCATTTGTAAGTTGATTATCACATGCATGCTTCTTATTTTTAATGTAATTTAGGTTGGCTTGATTAATATATTAGTTCGGTTTTAACTTTGTGGTCCTTTTAACTCTATTCTCTAGGCTCCTAAACCTTCTTCTGGGCCACACAAATCCAGGGAGTGCTTGCCATTGGTGCTTATCATTCGAAACAGGTTGAAGTATGCCCTTACCTATCGTGAAGTCATTTCAATTTTAATGCAGCGACATGTTTTGGTTGATGGTAAGGTCAGGACAGACAAGACTTACCCTGCTGGTTTCATGGGTAAGTGAATTTCTAACTTATTTATGTTTATGTTTGTTATTGTTTATTGTTGAAATTAACTGTGATCTTAACTTTCTTGAAGCCTTAACATGTTTTCTGTATCTATAATCTTACAGATGTTATATCAATTCCAAAGACAAATGAGAACTTCCGCCTCCTCTATGATACCAAAGGGCGATTCCGACTTCACTCAATCAGGGACGAGGAGGCTAAGGTTAATTTGCTTGATCTCTTACCCAACTTTCTGTACTATAGAGTGTAGATGTTTGACCTTTAGCTGGTATTGATACTACTTTGTATTGCACTTTCTACTTTCTCATCATGCAGTTTCCAAGGACAACGTGTTTGCCTGTGTGGCTTTTATTCTGTTGTTAGCTCATGTATTTGTTGATTATGCTAATTGACAATGCAAATTTTTTAACTTAAGTTGTGTTGTAGTCTTTGTTAAACTTCTCATGTTTTTATTTATTTATTTATTATTTTTATGTTGAATAAATAGAAATATATCTCGTGTTTGTTTGCAGTTTAAGCTTTGCAAAGTCCGCTCTGTCCAGTTTGGAAAGAAGGGAATTCCATTCATCAACACCTATGATGGTAGAACCATCCGCTACCCTGATCCTCTCATCAAGGCTAATGACACAGTAAAGCTGGACCTGGAGAGCAACAAGGTTGTTGACTTCATCAAGTTTGACGTGGGGAATGTTGTTATGGTCACTGGTGGAAGAAACAGGGGACGTGTTGGTGTCCTCAAGAATAGGGAGAAGCATAAGGGAAGCTTCGAGACTGTTCACATCCAGGATGCCACTGGGCATGAGTTTGCTACTCGTTTGGGGAATGTGTACACTATTGGAAAAGGCACCAAGCCATGGGTTTCTCTTCCCAAGGGTAAGGGTATCAAGCTCTCCATCATCGAAGAGGCAAAGAAGAGGCTTGCTGCTCAGTCTGCAATCACTGCTTAAATGCACTGTAGGCTTTCTTCCAATACCCCATATCTGCTTTGAAGTAATTAGAGTTTGATAGAATTTTGTTTTGCAGGTTGAACTAATTTTACTTTTTGTTAGCAATAGATTTATTATTTTAATGTGTAATTCTGTCCTGTTTTCCGAATTCCTATTACTCAGTTGCATACTTTTTTCCTGAGATGGAAATTGACTGTTGGAAGCTCTACTCCTTTTATCTCAATTCCTTATTTTGGCTGTGCATCAGTTCCTTGAATCCTGCAGTTTTTTATGCTTAACCAATGCAATTGTTATTCTTGAACATTTTCTCCTATTGTTGTCATGTTTATTGTTAGATCAAAGCAAGCTCTTTACCTATCACATGAATATGAATTTGGTGAAATTAAATGAGATCCTCAACTCTATAGTATTCACGTTGCTGCTGCCAAATCCTATTCGAAAACCACTTGTGGTTTATTTGATGTTATTCAGTGTTTTCAACTTTCAATTGGGGGAAATTTAACACCTTTGAAGTGAATAGCATTACCCTAACTTAAAATGTCTTAAGATTCTAAGCCCACAAGTCACAACATCCCTTCAAAGAAGGTGCACAAGCTCAACATCCCTTATCCCCCCTTCAAAGGTGCACAAGCAATAGGCAAAAATGAACATATATCGGGTTCATTTTGCTAGGTGAACATGTTCCAAGATGTAAGCATTGCAAGCAATATTCTTTGATCTATTTATCCCCTAAAGGCAAAGGCAAATTATAATGTGGACCATGGTCTATAACAAATACAATAAATTTTAATTTTAACTTTTACCTTTGACCACCTCCCATTTGGGAGAGATGTAGAGAACCACAAGGACAAATTATGTTGTGAAACCGTGTCTATTTTGTAAGGTGGACACGGTTCGAAAATTGTTCATAATTGTGAGTATAGAGTTCAAAAATTATGAATATAGAGTTCTATAATTATGAACATAGAGTTATGATCATAGAGTTTTGTAATTGTAAATATAGAGTTCAATAATTGTGAATATGAAGTTCAAAGATTTTGAACATACAATTTTATAATTATGAACAAAGAGTTAAGTAATTATGAACATAGAGTTCTGTAATTGTGAATATAGAATTCAATAATTGTGAATATGAAATTAAAAAATTATGAACATAAAATTTTATAATTGTGAACATAGTTCAGTAATTATAAACATAAAACTGTGTTCATCTTGCAAGGTGGACACGGTTCCACGGCATAACAATCCCATAATAGCTCTATATTTCGCAAGCAAGCAAGCAAATTTGCCCAATCCCATATTTCGTAAGCAAGCAAGCAAATTTGGGCAAATTTTATGTTGTGCAAGGTGGACACGATTCTAAAACTGTTCACAATTATGAATATATACCAAAACTGTTCATAATTATGAATATATAGTTCTATAATTATGAACATATAGTTCTATAATTATGAACATAGAGTTGAGAACGTAATTATGAATATATATTTATGTAATTATTAATATAGAGATTCAATAATTGTGAATATGAAGTTCAAAAATTATGAATATATAACTTTATAATTATGAACATAGAGTTTTGTAATTGTGAATATAGAGTTCAATAATTATGAATATATAACTTTATAATTATGAACATATAATTCAAAAATTATGAACATAGAACCATGTCCACGGTTCCACAGCATAACAATTGAGCAAATACGAATTGGGCCTAAGTGGCCCAAAAGGAGCTACGTAAACAAATCCAGAAAAACTGTATATATAATATAAACAGACCATGGAAATTAGGGTTTGAATTGGCACTTAGGAGCAGCGGAGTAGGCACCACCGGCGACGGCCGAACACTCAGCTTTCCACCACCATGGTTCTGCTCTTCTCATTCATTTTGTTTAATCATTGTTCAATGCGCTATTCGTATCTATATTTTGTTATTAGCTGATTTGCGCTTAGTATTCTTGTGTGTCAGTTTTCGTCTGCTTATCTTTTAGTATTTTCTTCAGAGGATTATTTGGGATGGGAGCTATTTTGTAGATCTTTAACCTTCATTTTAACCATTGCACTTTTGAGGATGGATGATGATTAATTTCGTAAATTTGTTAGTGTTTATTTGATAAAACCTACCAGCAAAACTGCTTTAGTCGGCCAAAGCTTGACAGATTAAAATCGAAATACATTTATAGTTTTAGATGGTTTATATGCAAAATGATGCCAAGGGAGCTACTAAACTACGAAGTGTTGTTAAATGTTATTGTATGCATTCTGTAATGTTGGAAAATGTCATATTTATCTTGTTTAATTTTCATTTACAGGCTCGAGGGTTGAAGAAGCATATGAAGAGGCTAAATGCCCCAAAACATTGGATGCTGGACAAGTTGGGTGGGGCCTTTGTAAGTTGATGATCATATGCGTAATATTATTACTAATGTAGTTTAGGTTTGCTTGATTAATACATTAGTTCAGTTTTAACATAATGGTCTTTTGAATTCTCTTCTGTAGGCTCCTAAACCTTCATCTGGGCCGCACAAATCCAGGGAGTGCTTGCCATTAGTACTTATCATTCGAAACAGGTTGAAGTATGCCCTTACCTATCGTGAAGTCATTTCAATTTTGATGCAGCGACATGTTTTGGTTGATGGTAAGGTCAGGACTGACAAGACTTACCCTGCTGGTTTCATGGGTAAGTGCATGTTGTCTAACGTATGTATGTTTATACTGATATATTGTTGATTGTTGAAATTAGCAGTGATCTTAGCTTTCTTGATGCCTTAATATGTTTTCTATATCTATAATCTTTTAGATGTTGTTTCAATTCCAAAGACAAATGAGAACTTCCGCCTCTTCTATGATACCAAAGGGCGATTCCGACTTCACTCAATCAGGGATGAGGAGGCTAAGGTTAATTTACTTGTTCTCTTGCCCAACTTCTGTCCTATAGAGTGTAGATGTTTGACCTTTAGCTGGTATTGATAGTTTGATACTACCTTATATTGCGCTTTCTACTTTTGTGACATGTTTGCCTGTGCGTCTTTTATTTCATCATTAGCTCATGTATTAGTCAATTATGCTACTTGACAATGCAAATTTCCTTTCCCAAGTTATGTTGTAATCTTTGTTTAACTTTTATATCTCAAGATTTTATTATGTTAAATAAATAGAAACCCTTATGCTCAGATGACATGTAGTGACCTCTCTTGTGTGGGGGGTCATGAGATCGAAACTCAGTGGAAGCGTTGTTAACACTTTGTGCTTCATTAGGTTGAGAAAGTATGTTTGAATAGATACTACAATGTATAGAGTCAGTAGCATTCAAAAAAAAAAAAAAAATTAAATAGAAACATATGCTTTGTTTGTTTGCAGTTTAAGCTTTGCAAAGTCCGCTCTGTTCAGTTTGGAAAGAAGGGAATTCCATTCATCAACACCTATGATGGTAGAACCATCCGCTACCCTGATCCTCTCATCAAGGCTAATGACACAGTAAAGCTGGACCTAGAGAGCAACAAGGTTGTTGACTTCATCAAGTTTGACGTGGGGAATGTTGTTATGGTCACTGGTGGAAGAAACAGGGGACGTGTTGGCGTCATCAAGAATAGGGAGAAGCATAAGGGAAGCTTCGAGACTGTCCACATCCAGGATGCCACTGGGCATGAGTTTGCTACTCGTTTGGGGAATGTGTTCACTATTGGAAAAGGCACTAAGCCTTGGGTTTCTCTGCCCAAGGGTAAGGGTATCAAGCTGTCCATCATTGAAGAGGCAAAGAAGAGGCTTGCTGCCCAGTCTGCAACCACTGCCTAAATGCACTGTAGGCTTTCCTCCAATACCCCATATCTGCTTTGAAGTAATTTACAAGTTTGATAGAATTTTGTTCTGCAGGTTGAACTAATGTAGATTTCTTATTTAAATGTGTAATGCATGCTCTTCGATTTTCAGAATTACTGTTACTCAGTTGCATACTTTTTTTCCTGAGATGGAAATTGACTGTTGAAGAACTCTTCTCCTTTATCTTAATTCTTTATTTTGGGTTTGCATCTATTTCTTTAAGGTAACCAATGCAATCATTTGCTATATGCAGGCCTTTAATAAAATTTTTGAACATTTTCTTTTTCTGTTGTAATTTCTTCAATGTCATGTTATAGTTAGATCAAAGTATGCTCTTTACGTAACATTTGAATGTGAGTTTGGAAACGTTAAATGAAATCTCCAATATGCTAATTTCAGAATACAGAAAATTAAAATGTATGGTAAAGTGTCGGAGATTGCTATAAGGCTGAAGTGTTCATGATGCCGTTGCCAAATGCTGTTTTTAAGACACTTGTGGATTGTTTGATGTTGCTCAGTATTTTCAATACGATAAATTTTGTAAAGTCGAGAAAATTTATGAGTAGGTAACATCACTCTAATTTAAAGCATCACTTTCTATAACTCCATGCCCACAACATCCCTTTTAAGAATGTGCAAATTATAAATGAACCTATATTGAAGTCCATTTGGCTACGTGAACTTGGTTTAGGGTATAAGGATTGCAAGCAATTACATTGTAAATTCAAAACGATATTTCAATAGGTTAATTGCATGAATATGCATAGTGGACTTTGGTCTTCAATATAACAAACATAATTAGATTGACCATGATCCATATAGATGTATGAACCACAAACAAAAAGTATATTTTTAATATAGTACAAGTACTTTTAGTATATTAAGTGTACTTTGTATTCATGGTCGACACTCTATACAACTATGTGGATCATGATCCAGATAATAATTTGCCACAATATAACAATTGGGTGTTCTTCGGAGCGTTATGCTGTGTAACCGTGTGCACCATGCAAGGTGCACACGGAATTGGATCCATAATTTCTATATTATAAATTCATAATTTCTAAACTGCATAGTTATCAAATTATGAACATATAGTTGATTTGTGAATACATAGTTCAAGAATTGAGAATATAAACATAGAGTTTTGTAATTTTGAATATAGAGTTCAATAACTATGAATCTATAGTATATAAACTATGCATGGTGCACACGGTTGCGCATAATTTGCGGTGTTCTTCTCTTTGGGCTGTTGGAATGGAACATTACCATTTGGGCTTGTATTCGGACACAAGGCCCACGGGAACAATGTACGGACAGAAATTCAGTTTTCATTTCCATATGAGTCATCAGTCATCAGTCAATGGCAACGACCACCACCGGCCACATTTTGTGTACCAGCGACTCCACTGAGCATGTAGCCTGAGCATCATCGATGGCGTCTCCGACTGCTTTATTAGCCACATGGGTTCTATTTCTCACCGTCCCGACCCTTTTCCCGGCCACTGTGGGAGCCGTAGGGGTGAACTGGGGCAGGGCGGCGTCTCACCCTTTACCGGCGGACAAGGTCGTGCAGATTCTCAAGGCCAATGCCATCACCAAGGTAAAGCTCTCGGAACCCTACCCCGAAGCACTCGAGTCCCTCTCCGGTGCCAAAATCGACGTGACTGTAGGCATTCCCGATTCCATGCTTCGCGGCTTGAATTCCTCATTGAAGGCCGCCCAGAGCTGGGTCCATGATAACATCACCCGCTACTTCTCCGAGGGCTCCTCCCGAGTCCGAATAGAGTACGCTTGCATCCTTTTCATTCCCTACTGCTTAGTTTTGTTAAGAAACCCTGCGTTGAACTTGTGAGCATTTCCTTTGATTGATTAAATTTTGTTTTAATTCGTTTTACCTAGAGTGTGATTTTGTTGTTGTCGAGAATCCTTAGCTTCAAACATTGGGCTGCTAATCTCACTTATTTGGAGTTTGCTGCATTCATAACATCAGAATCACAGCTTTAATTCAAAATATCTTTCATTCCTTCTAACATGGAAATAAATTTTTTATACATAGTATGAAATATTGCTTATTTGTTTAAGTTATGGATGTCCGTTGCTACTTATATGAAATTATGAATCCACTTACCAATTTCCAATCAATGTTTCTGGAGAATTACTCCTATTGATTTGATACTGTTTTTGCCTTCATTGCTTAAATGCTAAATTTTCATTTCACTATATTGGAGATTTGAGTCTTCTGTATCCAACAGGAGAAGTGAATTTTATTTGCGTAAATTCATAAGTGCATTGCAGTTACCTTGTTATCTGGCATGTATCAAATACGTTTGTGTGGATTTCATCAACAAATGCAGCCATTATGCTTGCCTCTCGTCTCGTTTTTTTGGGTGACGGGGGAAACCTGCCATCACTACCTAACGGGGCGTTTGGTTGGAGGGAGGGAATTACGTGGGAAAGGAATTGCAATTCCATGAGAGATGAATTACTGGGAATAAAGCCTAAACTCCATGGAATTAAAATTCCAAGGGGGGGCATGAGATTTTAATTCAATGAAAATGAGGGAATTGCAATTCCTTCCAACCAATAAAGCCTAAACTCCATGGAATTAAAATTACAAGGGGGGCATGGGATTTTAATTCAATGAAAATGAGGGAATTGCAATTCCTTCCAACCAAACTAAGGAATTAGGTGGGAATAGAATTTAAATTCCCTCCAACCAAATGCCCTGAAAGGGGTTGTGCTAAGTAAACACAATAGGTTGCTCATGTTGGGAGTCAAACTTGTAACCTTGTGGTTACCAAATCAACAGTCTAACCAACTTGGCTGGAGTTGTCCCCGCCTCTCTTGTCTCTTTTTCTTAGAATCATATGTCGTCTTTTTATTGAATGTAATTAATGTTTGCTCCTATGTACTTGTTAGACCTTTATATCTGTATGCATTGCTAAAGTGCCTATATACAGGTATATTTCGATTGGAGATGAACCGTTCCTTCAGACTTATGGCACGCAGTTCCATCCATTTCTTATTGGGGCAGCCGATAACATTCATACTGCATTGGTCAAAGCTAACTTGGAGAAAGAGATCAGAGTCGTAATTCCATGCAGCTTTGATGCTTTCCTCTCAGAAACTGGCATGCCGTCAAGAGGACATTTCAGGGCAGATATAAACAAAACCATGATTCAAGTTCTCAAATTTCTTAGCCAGCACCAATCTCCTCTCCTTGTGACTATTTCTCCTTTTCAAAGTTATCGTCAAAATAAGAACATCTCCCTTGACTTTGCTCTCTTCAAGGAAACTGCACGCCCTCATAACTACAGTCGCAAGACCTACAAAAATAGCTTTGATTTGAGCTATGACACTCTTGTCTCAGCTTTGTCCTCTGCTGGATTTCCTCAAATGGATATAGTCGTGGGGCAAATTGGTTGGCCAACAGATGGAGCTGCTAATGCCACGTCCTCCAATGCTGAGGTATTCCTGAAAGGCCTTATGGAACACCTTCACAGCAAGTCTGGAACTTCGTCAAAGGCCACTAAACTGCCACTCGAGACTTATATTTTAAGCCTTTTGGACGAAGACAAGAGAAGCAAAGCTAGTGGAAGTTTCGAGAGACACTGGGGCGTGTTTACATTTGATGGCCAAGCAAAGTACCATGTCGATTTCGGGCAGGGCTCAAGAAAAATGGTGGATGCCCAAAATGTCCAGTACCTTTCTTCTAAATGGTGTGTAGTGAACAACAACAAAGATTTGTCCAATGCAACTGCCCAAGCAATAGATGCATGTTCCTCTGCTGATTGCAGCGCACTGTCACCTGGAGGATCCTGTTTTAACATTAGCTGGCCTGGGAATATTTCCTATGCATTTAACAACTATTATCAACAGAACAATCAGAATGCAGATAGCTGCAACTTTGGAGGCTTGGGCTTGATCACGACCGTCGACCCCTCTGTGGATACCTGCAGGTTTTTGGTTCAACTGAAGACTTCTGCTTCAGTCTCACTTCACCCATCTGCTCTTTTCCACTTGTTGACATCTCCTGTTGTATCCATTTTGATATGGCTGCTACTAAATGGAATTTGATCTAGTGTAATATCTGTCATCTATTGCAGCATTATTGACCTGTCTGGTGTGTTTGAATGTTGTGGGAGGAAACTGGGATGAGCAAAGTTAACATTTTTGATACTTTGATTAATGAATTTAGGCAATCTTCAATTTTTTTTAGAAACTCTCTTCTGATATGCAATGAGTTTAGATTGGCTGCTTGTGGTTGCTATGGACTAATGACAGTGTTTATTCAGTGTGATTGTTGTTGGCTCCGGTTAAGAAAGAAAAGTGGTTGGGTGATGGATGCAAAGGAAGGAAAATGTGGTGCAAAGTCTAGCTACTTCAAGGATGGAGATAAGAGTTAGACGTCACTTAGGAGGAAAATCCCAAGATAAGTCAAAATACACCTTAAGGGGGCGTTTGGTTCACGGAATCTTTGATTACCCCAGGTAATAGGATTACCTGGGGGTAAGTAATGTGAGATTTTGGGAATGTAAGATTACCTGATGTGTTTGGTTAAAGTTGTAGGAATGTAACATTAACTTGTTTGGTTGAGGTTATATTTTAAGTTATGTTACATCAATTACTTAAATGCCCTCATAGAAATTGAAAGGTGTAAATTACAAGTTTTTTTTTTTTTTTTTTTTTTTTTTTCATAATTCAAAATTTAACAAGATGGTTCTACTACTACTAATAATAATAATAATAATAATAATAATAATAATGATGATGATTGAATGTGTATTGTAAGTAAAGATGAAATTCAATAATAATAATAATAATAATAATAATAATAATAATAATGCAATGCGTAATTCAATAACAACAACAACAACCAACAACAATAATAATAATAATACTACTACTAATAATAATAATAATAATAATAATTGAATAATGAGGTTTATATAATGAATAGAAGAGAAATAAATGAGGGCAATTTTGGAATATTGAAAAGTAATCTCACATTACCTAACTAAAACTTGGTAATCACATTATCTCAAATATACCCCCATTTCCTACGTGGCAGTAATCTTATATTACTTACCCTCTCAGATTACCTAAACCAAACATGGTAATCTAAGATTACCTTTCTCAGATTACCAAGGTAATCTGAGATACCTTGAACCAAACGCCCCCTAAGAATCCAAGGAAAAGAAATTGCCTAAACAATATTCTTAAATTTACTACTGTCAAAGTTATCTGTCTAACAAAAATAGTAGCATTCTTAAATTTACTACTGTCAAAGTTATCTGTTTAACAAAAATAGTAGCATTGTTATTTATACACTTTAGTCAGCCCCTACGTCAATGACATTTAAGTCCAAGATGTGCTATTTTAACGCTAGATTAGCTAAAATGATGCAACTAGCCACAAGACTAGGATACTAAGTCAAATATGTTTTAAAAAAAATACTCCGTAAATTCTAATTGAATTTAAGATTTATAAGTCTAATTTGGACTTTACAAATTAAATAGCATAAGGGCGGTCTAAAATAGTGTCAAACTTTTATTTGCAAGAAAAATACTCCAAGTGTCGATTTATAAAGTACGAATCTCCCCTCGATCTTTATTCTTCAAATTGTGCTTGAATCAAATTGAGCACCTTCAACTCAACTCCATCTTCATAGTCTTGATTAGATTCACTTCTTTAATTAGGTCACTCTTAGCTTCATGAAATATCTTCGTTCTTGCTCTCGTCATCGAACCCTTCATGATTTGTAAATGATCTTTTTCTTTGTTGTCATCCTCATAAATTGTCCTTAATAGTGATGAATAGCAAAATTAATCTATAGTCCTATATTTTCTTTGTAAATTAAATTTATTTTTTAATTAAGCATATAGTAGATCAATTTATGAACACCCAACTAATAAAATTCTCACGGGTAAAGATTAGATGGGAAATTCAGAAAGGGAAAACAACTTTTTTCAATTCAAAATGGAAAATCTGAGATAGTGTGTGGGGTATATATATGTATGCAAATTAAAAACTTGAAGGCGCCAATTTTCTTTCTCTCAGAATGTCCGTTGAAGTCTCGCGGCAAATCTTCCTCTTCCGCTCTCTAATTGAGAACCGAAGGTTAAAAAACTCGCACCGATCCGAGTTGCTTCTCTTCCTTTAGCTCTGCTTCAAACATCTCGTTTTTATTCATGGATTTATTGTGTGCAATGTCTCTGCAGATTCGATGACGGAACTCTCCGAGTTCTCGAGTGCATTTTGGCCTCCAACGGCGCGAAATCGCTGATCGGTATCGTATCCGCTTTGAATGATTTCATGCGACGCGAGTCTCTCTCTGTCCTCCGTGAAATTAGTTCTCTCAGATCTGTTGACGATAAGCTTCTGATCGTTGAATTTCACGTTCGCGTTTTTGCTCTCATCGGCGATGTTGAGGTATGCGGATTTACTATCCTCCTTTTGTACAATGCCAAAATATCACACTGTATATCCTCGCGCGTATTTTATATTTATATATGTAGTCTATAGGTTTGTCTATTTAAATCTGCGCGTTCTTCTCCTTGAGCTAATTCACTTTCATATTTGATCTCTCCGCTATAACTGCCAATTTCGATGTACATTTTTAGTTTCAATAATTTTCTGCACATATTTATTGGTGGTTGAAGAAAATTAAATGGAAAATTTAATACGGAGTATATATAATCCTATTGCACATGGTGGGATGGTTGTACGTGCATTGGCAAGTGTGATAACTGATAAATTGATAATACAATGGCAAAAAGCTTGAGAAATTAAATGAGATGATGTATTTACTTTTATATTTTTGCGTCATCATTCTCACCATCTTTTTGCTTATTGATTTCCTTCCTTCGAATAAACCTTATACATTATGAACGGAGCCTGTTGTATTTGCAAACATCTGCCTTTATTTGGAACTACTCCTATGGTATACTATAGAAATTAATCAATTATGGACTGAATTAGCTATGCTAAGACTTAAGACTGCATATGGAATCAAAGCCACATACTTCATTTTTTTTAAAAAATGTGATAATTAGTTGTTCGCATGAATAGGGCTTTGAAATTGGAATAATTGTTTTAATGGAATATGAATCTTCATTCATCAAACTAGAGGCTATAAATTGTATCCCAAAAAGAACTTTCTGGTGATATATGTCATCTAGCAGAATTCCTGATTTTTTAATTAGCTAGTAGTATTTTGTATAATATTTTGCGATTTTGCATCTAGTAGAGTTGCTTGGCCTTGAGATACGAAGCATTGCTCATGCGAGAACAAAAGGCTAATAGTGATCAGACACTTCGAGTTTCATGTATTGAATGGCTCACCTTTGCGCAGCATTCGTTTCAGAATGGCTTTTATTCTATTGCAAGAAAGGTAAACTTTATAGGATGCAGCACTTTTAGTCTTTAGTCACCATATGAAATCAAGCTTTGTCTCACATGCTGCACACCTAGCATTTGTTAGATGTACTTTTTTCTTCAACATGGACAAATTTTCAAACATTTACTATTGTGACTGTAGTTCGTATCTTTGTTTTACTTTCAGACTTCCATGAGTCCATCTGACTTTCAATTTTGTAGGCATGTGAGAAGGCATTATTATGCTTTGATATGAAAAGCAACATAATTGACACTCAGACAGGTGACCTCTTCAATAATGTTCAATTGATTGAAAAAATCGAGGAGCTCAAATATTATGCTGCTATCACAGCTTCTTCACAATCTGGTATGTCAACTTTTTATATTAGGTAAGAGACAATCAATACTTTGTTTGACTTGTCAAAGATGATGTTCCAGGTGTCATTGGTTTGAGGTTTAATAAAGAATAAGAGCTTTGACTTTGTTTTCTAGTAATTGTGTTGACTAATTAGCCTAATGAGAAATGATGAAAGCAGTGGTTTAATTCCCACATCTATATTCAATTTAAAGGCTAATGTGCATTTTGCATGGGATTCTTTTCCCTGAACAGAGTTAACTATTTGAAGGTCTTGATTGGTTTAGAGACTAAGAGCTAAACCGTTGATGGTTAGGTCATGGATTCACCTTAAAAATAACCCCTGTCAAAGTGGTATGGTTCCATCCTTCTCAAACTGCATCATGCAGTATGTTCCAAGTCTGACCATTTACTGAGTTGCTACAGGTGGTCCTCTTCTGATCATAGTGCCCTGCTTTTATTAGGTTTTATAGTTATGGACTATGGAGGCACATACAGAGTAAGTTATATGTTGTTAACAATGGCATGTATCTTGTTCTCACATATGCACTGGCACAAGATATCATAATTATCAAAAGAAAGACGAGCAATTAGAGGTTTTGTTCTTTCAAGACCTCAAAATTTTTGAATATGGAGACCTGGCCAGAAGTTCAACAAGAATGATGCATAATCTTGTCTCAGCATCAATCTTTGCACCTTAAACAGATTTTGTTTTATTTGCATTTTATATGAGAATAATTAATGGAAGTGAAAGACAATTATAATTGTCTCATGGTTGGAAGTTTCTTTATGTCAAGTCTTGTCTGTGGTGTAAGTATGAAACTTGGAGTTAAGTTTATTTTTTTTACTCGAAAAAGTGGCGGGAAAGGAGGTCCTTACACCGTTGTTAATAATGTCTGTGGGCATATCATCAGTGCAGGCGCAGGCAGCACAGTACTTGAAGAAGAAAGCAGTTGACCACAGTTCAGATCATCCTTTTCCCGTTATTAAAGATAATGATTCCGGAAGTGCTAAATTCAGAAAAGGAATTAAAAGACGTCATCTACGGCAATTGCATCATGCCAGAAGCCGGTTGCCATCTTCTGCATGCCCTTCAGAAATGTGCTGAAAAATTTTGAGGTCCCTTCCAATCTTTATTTACCAACATCAATTCTTCTTAGCTTGCTGGCATAATAATATCTTCTCGCAGTTAATGTGAAAAAATTCCATCTACTTTATTTAGAGTGACAACTGACAAGAAGAAATAGAAAAAAAGATAATGACTTTAGTCATATCATTTGTGTTTTTGGTCATATTTGGGACAATATAATCCCAACCAAGTTGGTCAGATCGCTGGCTTAATAGTCACAAGATTACAAGTTCCAACTCTCAGCAGGAGTGGTCTATTGGCCTTTTTAGTTTGAGCCGATCAACTATATATGGACAATCTAAGCTAGTTTACCTCATTATAGTTCTTTGTTGGCTAGGATTACAAGGCGGGGTTACGCAGTACGTGCACACTCTCGGGTAGTAACGGTAACCCAAAGTTGGTCATATTCCATAGGCCATTGGTATGCATGCATTAGGAATTATTGTTATGCTATGGTAATGTCATGTGCTGGCTTCCTGCGATGACCAATTCGTTTTTTTCTGTTGGTCAAGTTGTCAATCAGACAAGGTCAAGCTGGACTAGTCTTGCACATTTATCTTCCAACCATGAACCTATACTAGCATCTGCATGGCAATAACAGCCCTGCCTTAGCTTGTAGAATATGATATTTGTGCTGAAATACTTAGGGAATCTGCAATTAATGTCATGCAAGAAACAAATAGTACATTTGCAGCAACAAACTAGCTTGGTCCCCCTCTCCGTGCTGTCACGTGCCTAGCATGTGCCTGTGTCAATGGTCATTGCATTCTGGGTTTGTTTTTTAGTCAGTCACATACATTCCGTAAGAAAGGTAGGTTTCATGGAAATTTGCATTTGGGATAGAACTAGAAGCCTCGGGAACCAAAGGCTAAGAGCGCAGCACAGTTTATGTAACTGTGTAGGTGGATGGTGACCTATTCAAACTTCCCAGCACCATAGAATTGAAGCTGGCCGGAATTGTCAAAGCTTTTAGATTTCTCAGAATCTCCACCGCATTTAGAATTAGACAAAAGAAAAATATATTGTAGAACATCCATTGTCCCAATAATGGAATCTTCCATATCACCAAGCGCATTCAATGTTTGCATCGGAGGTTGCGTGTTTTTATTTTCTTCAAGACGGTGAAGATGTCTGTTTTTCACCCATTCTTTATTCAAACCCATCTTAAAATAAACACCTCATGGGAACACATAAACAATGTTTACAAGCTTCTCATCCTGTCCACCCTGTCTCTTCTCCCTAAGAGCGTAGTTGTTTGAAACTGCGAAAACTCATACGCGTTTTTTAAGGTAATTACCGTTTAACATATATTCAACATACGTGCTGTAATTACTATACGAGTTTGACTAACTTTAATTTGGTCCATCAAATGAACATACAAATTGTCACACACAAATATTTTACATACTGTTTGGGTAAAGTCTAAAGTCTGTACGTGGTCCTAACTAACAAAGGACCACAAGAGGAGGTAAATCGACATTGTGGTTTTCAAGTCAATTGTCTGACTAACATGTTTGGGGTTTCTTCCTAGATATAGTTATATATCTAATTATATTGATTGTCTTAGTAGTAGTGTTAATAAAATAATAGTTTAGTACAACAAAAAATAGTATCTATACTAACAATATTGGTGTCGATTGACATTGTAAACTAGTAACATAAGATGGGGGAATGATTGTGATGATGATTCAAAGATTGAGTTATTTAGTAAAATATATTTCCCTAATATAAGGTGGAACGATGAAACTTGTTTATGAGCTAAGGCAGGTCATAATATTTTACTCCTAAGAAGAGCTACAGTACTAGGGAAAGAAAGCTGTTTTCCTCGGAATAGAAGATTAGGAGTTTGGAATCATGTGGAAGACATTAAATGCAGAAAGAGAGAATCAATAAGCTAAGGCCAGAATTGAATTGAATTGAAGCTGATCCAGATTTAAAATCTTTGTTTAATTAGGGTTTGCAATGCCACGGTTGTGGAATCTTTTCTTCTCATGCCAACCAACTGCTTAAATTCTTGCACGTGATCACCTTCTTAATTATTGAATTACAAACCCCTCCTATTGACTAATTAATTGTGGAATTGTGTGGTTTTGCTGATTAACAGCCTTCTTTATGTAGAAATTACTTTAGTTACCGTACATGTTTTCATACACACAGATACTTCATACTTACAAGAAGAAATATGGGCTGAAACCTCCATTAATCTTCTTGATAAGAACAGAATGTATGCCTTTCTTCAAGTAAAGAGGTCATAAAACTAGCTTGCATGATTAAATCGATTGTACGTACTCAAGATGTTATCCTTTTACTATTTTCTGTGCTTTCATGATCGTGTATAATATAGGGGGTGTTTGATAAATAACTGTTAGTTTATGGTTGTTACTTATTAGCTGATTAGGTTAATGATTTGACTAGTTGATAGGATTAGCTGATTGTAGAAAATGTTTGGTAAATTAGTTGTTAGTTGATAGCTGACTTTCTCAAAAAGCTGATCGAAAAACTACTTTGAGCAGCTTTTTGAATTTTAACATTTTGAACCAATAAGTTGTTACAAAAAGTTAATTAATCAAACACTCAGATTGATTGTCTAATTAAGTCAAACAACTAATATTGGTCAAATAAATCAAAATTGATTGATAAGCTAATTATGTATTGTTACCAAACATGGCCATAATTTTTTTTGGGTCTTTGTTTACACATATACATATTTGAGATTTGTATAATTTTACCAGTATAATTCCATGTGATTGGGAAGTATTTTGGATTGGACAAAAAATAAATTGCATAATATATAAGTGAAAAGAAAGACCTAAATGTATGTTCCAAAATTTTTGTGGTTCCTCCATGTGAATGTCCGCCAACAAACATTCACGTCGTCGAGCCAAACTTTTAGTTTCACTCTCTCTTGCTTCGGTCTAGGGTTTTTGCATCGTAACACATCCTGGTCTCTTCTTCTTTACTAAGCCCTAACCCTTGATCTTCTCCCATGAATTTATTGCACTTGTCTTATCTACTGTGCTTGCAATAAACAAATACCACTACCTTAAAAAAAATTGCAATGAATGTGATATCTTATATTATTTGATGTAATATATATATATATATATATATATATATATATATATATATATATATATAGGGAGGGGTTCTGGTGCAGTTATTTGCTTAGGTGTGGACGATATGTTTAAAAAAAAAAAACACGCCTCTAGAAGGAACCAAACAACTTAATCTTAAGCATGAAAATGGCACACCTTCCGTACACAAATCACGCGCCTTAAGTAATCAAACCACGCACCTTAAGTACACAAACCATGCACCTAAGGTTTTAAAATGGCGCACCACCTTAAACTTCAGGTTGACGTACCTTAAGTTTCAACAACTAATCACATTAAGCATAAAAACCACGCACCTTAAGCACACAAACTACACACCTTAAGCACAAAAACCACGCACCTTAAATTTGACTTATACTAGATGCAAAAATTACCAAATTGTCACTGCATTTTTTTTATTTTGTTAATCTTAGATGTCGATTTTGGCAAGATCAATGGCTCTCCTCTCACCGTACAACCGCACCTGGGCACACCAATCACATTTGAACATATATATATATATATATATATATATATATATATATATATATATATATATATATATATATATAAAGTTTATGGAGTTGATCAGTATTGTGTGACAACTTTTTTCACTATTGAACTTGAAACTTTGTAGTTAAAAAGTTAATTCTGCATCCAATTTAGTTATGATTGCTCATATTTATATTTTGACGGGTTGTATAGTACTAAGTACTACGGTGACATTATGAGTGCTAACTGTGCATCCAATTTATTAATGATAGCACATATTCATATTTTGACAAGCTGTATTAAGTACTATGGTGACACAACACTCGATATAATCCAAATGTCACATATAATAAGGTTGTATATGGTGCGGCAAATCAGTAAGACTCCGATCGACACTTAAATTTTAGTAATTATTTATTATATTGTGGAATCAAATAAAAATTTTTGAGTACTACTGAGTCAAATTTTTATTTATTATTTATTATATTGTTGAAATAAATATTTTTTTTGAGTACTATGACTTAGTATTTATATATATATATATATATATATATATATATATATATATTTCAACCTATTGAAGGACAAAGAGTTAATATCGCATCCATTAAGGTTTGAAGTCACACTCTCTCATTCTCCCACATGAAAAAGCAACTTAGTACTACAAGACCACAATGGCTGGAATCACATAATTTATAATATATGAAACTAATTATAATATAATGAATTTCACAAGCTAGGTCTTGGCGTCTTGTTAGCCAAAAAAAAAAGAAGAAGAAGAAGAAGATATTCTTAAGAGAGATTATTGCAACCCATTGGCGGTGGTCAACTTCTAGCCACCCTTTGTTATTTATGATCACATACATCTTCTAAACAAAATAACTTAATTACTAGAATTAAAGGAGATCTCCTTGGTATCACCACAAGTTTGAAGGCTAAATCACCATTGAAATATGTTACGTTTTTACTTTGTATGAAATGAAACTTAGTCAATTCTTCATAATTATATATTGACAATATTAATTATATTATTAGTTAGGTTCACTTTTAATTACCTAAATTAAAAAAAAAAAAAAAACTCTGATATTAAGTCTTCATTCAAATTTATAATATATATATATATATATATATATATATATATATATATATATATATATATATATATATATATATATATATATATATCATGTGATACAATAGTATAGAAGTGACCTAATATAACATAGTATATTAGATTCTTCCAAAAGGCTGAACCCCAACCCTAAGGGCCCCCACACCCCGGCCCGACAGAGCATTTGGGAGGATGTAAATCATGGTGACTCAACTGAACATGAACCATAAAGGCTAGACCGGTGCTCACTGCACACAAGGAGCCCCTCACTTTGAGAGGTTGCTCCCACACTGCCGCTGGTTGCTCTCACATACTATATTAGATTGTTTTGCCGGATGGGAGTGGCTGCAATCAAAATATTTTATTGTCTGCTAGAATACGTTTAACTCCTTCATGTAGCGATTATAAATAGGAGTCCCCATAAAGCTCATTCTCTTTCAAATTAAACTACGTAGACTAGTCATATTATTACTATTATTATTTATGTTGCCTAGCTTTCATTTGCTTCTCTGATCTTCATCTCCCTCCGCCCTCTTCCAATAATTAACACTACGTACCTACCGGCCGGAAAAATCTTTGCGCTAGCTTCCTGCAAATTGCGGTGGTTCGGCGGCAGAAATGGGCGGAGGAAGCTCTCCTTGCGCTTCCTGCAAATTGCTAAGGCGCCGCTGCGCCAAAGACTGCATTTTTGCCCCTTACTTCCCTCCCGATGACCCTCACAAGTTCGCCATTGTCCACAAGGTTTTCGGCGCAAGTAATATCAGCAAAATGCTGCAGGTATATACATATATATGTAATCTGATATATATGATATGATCGATCTTTCTTAGCTTGCATTGACTTGACTGTTGGATTGATTGTTTCAGGAACTTCCGGTGAACCAGCGAGCCGACGCGGTGAGCAGCCTGGTATACGAAGCGAATGCGCGGATGAGAGATCCGGTGCACGGCTGCGTGGGCGCGATTTCGTATTTGCAGAACCAAGTTTCGCAGCTGCAAATGCAGCTGGCGGTGGCTCAGGCCGAGATACTATGCATCCAGATGCAGCAGCAGCAGCAGCAAGAACCCGCCGCCATCTTGCCGCCGCAACTCTACGGCGACGACAAATCGTCGCTCCTTATGTCCACATCCGCCGCCGCGTTTACTTCCAACCTGGACAGCCTCCAGCAGCTGCAGTACCAGCTGGCGGGTTTCACCTCTTCCAGCAACGCCGCCGCCGCCGCCGCAGCGCAAGACCCTCTAAAACGAGAGTCTCTCTGGACTTGATCGGACATTATATATGGAAGCTAGTTTTGGAGTTCTAAGTAGTGTTGTAATCATCGATCATCGGATCATTTTATGTATTGTTGATTAACTAACACTGTACTGTACTAGCTTCAATTCTCCGATTATCCTTTTTGTTCATAAAAATATATATCCCGGCGGCCTAGCTCCGTTAATCATCTAGATAAGCTCGGAGCTCTTTCATATAATTAAAGTTGGATACCATTTAGACACGTACAGATGGATATAAATTAAACATCCTTAAAAAAACGAAATATACTATTGGATCTATTATTAATGGGTCGGCATGCAAGATGATTAATTAATTAAAGTTGTAGGGAAATAGTCAACTGTAGCATGTGATCGAGGAGGGAGGGAGGGAGGGAGTGTGGAGTAAGAGTGAAGGAGGGTTAACTGAATTGGTTCTTTATCAGTCTTGAGCTCCGATCCCCTCCCAAGTCTGGCTGCTGGTCGGTGCGTGGCATGCAAAATACAGCCGCCCGGTATGTATATATATATATATATATATATATATATATAGAATAAGAATCATATAAGAATCATTCTTTAGATAGGAACCTAAGAACTAATCTAAACCCTTTATTTTATCCAATCTATGGTTCATGTTTAATATGTTTTAATTAGTTTCGTAACGGTTGTTGGGTTTTATTTTTAGTCGACCAAGGGTATTTTAGTAACTCAAAGCAGTGCATGTGAGTGGAATGTGAGAATTAATCGTTGATTCTTTGTATTCTGGCTGGAGTTGTTTACCTAGGGTTGACTGTGTTGTAGACTCCATCTTCTCACCCTCGTTGGCATTCGCTTCTCCCCTGTCTACGCTGGTGGTATATTCCTCGTCTCTACTTGAGTTTCCCGTCTGGGATGGCTGGCAGTGATGATCGGAACCTTAAGTGCCCCCAGCCAGCGACAAGGTCGTCCGATGCTCGAGGTGGGTTTCCTTTTTTTTTTTTTTTTTTTTTTTCAATGAGTTTTGCATGTTTTGTGTTTCTTGCTGAGTGGGAGTTCCTGGGATTTTGTTTGAACTCTGATGATGTGACTGATGATGTATTCTGCATGAGGTTTTGAACTTATTAAGGAGATGGGAATTTAGTTGTGTCCATGGTATTTAGTTTTGGGTTTGAAAATATACTAAAAGAGGTAGTTGGTGTTTGGTTTTGTAATGGAATTAGGAACATTTAATTTGATTGATGTTAATGAATTACATATAAACTATGATGCGTTTTGGTTTCTGGTAATAGAAAATATATCTTTGGGTAATTTGATCATGTGTTTGACTGCTGTTGGCATCCTATTTTCAATTAAAGATTAAAGTTGGTATATTATAGAAGGTGATGCATGTTCTTTTGTCTTTATATTATTAAACGGTTAGCTAATGTCTTGTTTCAATGGAGATATATGCGATGAGGCCTCTGATTTTTAAATCTCCAACCCAGATTTATTTTCTTATTGAGGGTGGTGCTTTTTTTGCTGCTGTTTTGTATCACTCAGAATTACTCTGTGGCACATGGTGGGCTCAGATGGCACACATTGAAATACGCAGGTACACATGGTTTGGCACACGTGTGCACACACTGCATTATGTGAGGGCTCATGGTTCATATTTTGGTTCTGGGTTGTGTTGTGTGTTAATTTACTTGTAGTTTGTGCTGTAGCCTTTGATTGACCATGTTATCGAGAAGGTGAGGGCTGTAGCAAGCATTGTTATAGAGTTGATGGAGGTGTTTCACGAGGCTGCTAGAGCTTGTTCAAGTGCACAGAAGGATAACTTCATCTAGGTCCTAAGCGTAGCTCAGTTGCTGTTGGGGATGGGCCCACTGGCTCCTAGTCATATTAGGGCCACTTAGTAGCCTGCTAAGTCGACTTTCACGTAGACCCAGGATGCATTCTAGGCTAATCCTGCAAATTTGCGTGTAGTCAAGGACAAAGCTAGTGGCGTGTGATCATTCGTAACTAGTTGATTAGCACTTTACTTCACTTGGGCACATTCTTGTATTCTGATTATGAGATATGATAGATAATTTTTGGTTGATTTTTACTTTTGTATTGGCACATTTTTTCTTAATGAATGACGCTTTGATGTAATGTTGCACATAGGTCATATCTTCCTGGGTTCTGATGTTCCAATATAACAGTATTTTGACACATTGTGGCACACAATGCGATATGGCACATACAATTCAATATAAGTGCACATCATCTTCTTTTTCTCTTTTCATCCGTGAACACATTCCATATCGTTTGGCACAAACAGGATGAGCCGTGTCTACGCCATATTCTTTACAATAAAAAAAGTTTTCGTAAATTCATTTTTGCAGTGTTATTGGACGAAACGGCACACACTACATAATCCAAGTGCTCAACAAAACGACTCCTATACAATTGCAGAATTTGGCACACACATTGCAATAAGGCACAGACTCAATCTTTACGTAATGGCACAGACATGTTAACGTAATCGCACACTGAAGTGTATTACATGAACCTGTTCACCATGGATTCAGTGTAGAAGAATTTTAGCATTTGATGGCACACTAAGATCAACCTTAGTGCACGCCAGTTCATGGTGATAATAACGCTTCGCAGTATGGCACACATGGTGTAGCCCAGGTGCACACTTCCTTCTTGTACACTTTAAGTGCCGAACCTAATTATGGGCATTATGGCACACTCAATCTCAACGTAATGGCACATACATGTTAACGTAAGCGCACATCGGAGTGTATTACATGAACCTAATTTCTGTGGATTCAATCTAGTAGAATTTTAACACATGATGGCACACTCAGATTAACCTTAGTGCACGCCAGTACATGATCACAATAACGCTTCACAGTATGGCACACATGGTGCAACCCATATGCACACCACCTTCTTGTACGCCTTTAAGTGCAGAACCTAATTATGGGCATTATGGCACACACGTGAAACCTAAGTGCACACGCTACATTATGTTAAGGCACACACTACATTATATTAAGGCACACACTGCATTGCATGATTCAGTGTGTGCGGTAACGTACAGGGCAATGCCCAAAAATGGTATAATCATAACATGATTGCAGCCAAATGCACATACCACCCTTGTATGCTTTCACATAGCAGCACAAATGGATGTATTCAAATAAATTCCAATTGTACGTACGCACAGGTATATGGGGTCAAATATTAATGTTACCAAAAACATTAGGACTCCTTCCTTATCTTCTCATCCTAAAATCTTGGAAAGAATCCGAATACCATATTTGATTAAAATTGGAATTTGAATTAAATTACACAAATATCCTTTTTAATTAATTATGTGTAAGATGCACATAAAAATATATACTAATCTAGACCATTGATTAAACAAATTTGAATGGGATGGATTAGTTCTCACGTTCCTACCTAACAAAGGGTTCTTACTTGAAGGCCCCCCTATATATATATATATATATATATATATATATATATATATATATATATATATATATGTTGGTACCGTTGGTAGAAAAACACAAATAATAATAAAAAATAAGATTATTATTGTCTGGAAAGAAGGGAAGAAAAAGTTGAAGAAATTTGGCTAGTGTTTGGTGTTGGGTTTTTGCAAGAGTTGAGTGAGCACTCTTTCCTTAAAACCTTATTTGCCACCTCCCAAAGATACTAGGAGCGTTGTGGCCTAGGCTTCCCAGGATAAAACTTGCTATGATTCAGTGTTTGAGCATTCAAACAAAGAATCCGGCGAGCAAGACGTGGTTATGAACACAGTAGGCCAAGAAAGAGTAGAAGCAGAGAGGTTTTGAAGCTGAAAAAAAACGAACTTTCGTGAACTATAATTCCATAATCTAATCTATAATCGATGAACTATAATTCTATAATCGATGAACTATAATTCCATAATCTAATCTATGAACTAAAAATTCCAGAATGAATGAACTAAAATTCCATAATCTATAAACTAAAATTTCAGAATCGATGAACTACAATTCCATAATCGATGAACTATAATTCCATAATCAATGAACTATAGTTCCATAATCTATGAACTAAAATTCCAGAATGAATGAATAATATAATGTTGTTGCTGAGAATCGAACCTGAATTTTTTTTAAAGGGGAGACGCGCATTTTTTAATAAAACGACGTCGTTTTGGCATCCGTATGCACCATGCATGGTGCATACGGATGCACAGCATAACTATCCGATTTTGAGCGCATAATAGCGAAAGCAAAATGGTCTAGGTCAATTTTTACAACAGTGATCATATGACATTTCATCTTGTGAGTCGATAAAAAATTGTCTACATTCAAGATAAGATTTGAGAGTTCAAATTGTATTTTCCTATACTTATATAACTCCAAACATGATCATATGCTATAATTCAGCAATCCCAATTTGGACATCACGGTCCAACTTTAAATCCTCAAGAACACAACAAAAATCCCTCCTTCAATACTTAAATTCAAGACTTGGGCTCTCCATTACTATTTAGCCCAAGCAAATCTGTGTAATTAAAATCTCTAAAAGCCCAGTCGAATGTAGCCTAATCGTTATATAGTGCACCAGGATGTCGTTATGCTGTGCATCCGTATGCACCATATGCCAAAACGATGTCGTTTTATTAAAAAACGAGCGTCTCCCCTTTAAAAAAAATTCAGGTTCAATTCCCAGCAACAACATTATATTGTTCATTTATTCTGGAATTTTAGTTTATAGATTATGGAACTATAGTTCATTGATTATGGAATTATAGTTCATCGATTATGGAATTGTAGTTCATCGATTCTGAAATTTTAGTTTAAAGATTATGAAATTTTAGTTCATTCATTCTGAAATTTTTAGTTCATAGATTAGATTATGGAATTATAGTTCATCGATTATGAAATTTTAGTTCATATGTTGTTGTTGGAAATTGAACCTAATTTTTTTTTTAAGGGAGACGCGCGTTTTATTAAAACGACGTCGTTTTTCTTCGCCGGATGCACAGCATAATTTGCCATGCACAATGTATTTGTGTTTGGGCCTGAATTGTTGGGCTCGAATCTCGATTACACCGTTTTTTATTTTATTTTATTTGAATATATCTCGATTACAACATTGGAGCATGGAGATTTGATTTCATCTATCGAACATGTAGAATTTGCGAGGTCCAAAATTGAGAGAAAAAAAAAACTCAAAAAATACTACATGTATTTTCATTCTCTACTTTTAATTTTTATTTCTAAATTTAAAATTTTGATATAAATACATTTATATGGACTCACATGAAGAAAATAGTCTTTCAGTGCCCGTAATATAAAGAGTAAATTTGAATGAATAAAATTAGAGAGTACATGTAGTAGAACTCAAAAAACTCAAAAAAACTCGGATGGAGTGATCTGACACTTCTCATTTGGTTGCAAACTTGTAATTCGTTTAAAAATTAAGGGCAATTGAAAAAAATAAAACGAAATGTTAGATTAAAAAATTTTAATCACAAAATTTGAGATCTATGACAAATAGATGTGTCAGGGGCAAATGAGAACTCTCCATTATTAGTACAGGGGAGACTTAGTTGTCCATTTGTGCTTCTGAGTTTATATAAGACGTCAGAACTATTACGCCGGTTACTTTGCCTCCGTCGGCTTTTTCTGCCGGAATGGCCGACCAGAAATTCTCCCACCAAATAGTTGCCATACCATTCCCAGGAAGAGGCCACATCAACCCGTTGATGAACCTCTGCAAGATCATAGCCATGGCGAAACCCCAAGTTCTCATCACCTTCGTCGTCACCGAAGAGTGGCACGGTTTACTCAGCTCCGACGCCGCCATGCCGGTAAACGTCCGGTTTGGGTGTATTCCCGACGTCCTCCCTTCCGAGCTGATCCGGTCCAAAGATTATCCCTGCTTCATCCGAGCCGTCTTTACGGATATGGAAGCTCCCGTTGACCGCCTTCTTGACGCTGTCGAGGCGCCGGCGGCTAGCGTTATTATCTCCGACGTGTTCTTGTTGACGTGGGTACTGGGTGTCGGAAATCGGAGGAATATTCCGGTGGCGTGTTTTTGGTGCGGGTCTGTCACGATGTTCTCTCTTTGGTTTCATCACCGACTGCTACTCGTGAATGGGCATTTTGATGCGAATTTGTCCGGTACGCTTGTCTTTTTCCCTAGAAATTAATATTTATAAATAAGCATTTATATATTTTTAGGGAAAATGACACTTTTTACCCCTGAGTTATATATTTATAGCATTTTTTCTCCTTTAATTATTTAGATAAGCATATTAGTCTCCTCAATTATTTTAAAAGTGGTGTTTTTTACCCCTAATATATTAAATTGACGTTTATATACCCTTAAAGTAAACATTTTATTTATTTTACTACTTCAACAAATTATTGCGTATACGTAGGGATGACCACGGTTCGGTTTGAATTGAACCGGATACTAAAGCAATCGAATTAATAGTTTCCGGTTATAATTCAGATATAGAACCCAATATTTAAATGTCAATTTATTAAAATTATGTATCGAAAAAATTGAATCTTGAACCGTGAACCGGCGATTCCGGATCCGGTTTGCGATTTTGAACCGCTCTTATTTTAAAATTTTATTTTTTATTTTAAAATAGTCTAAATTCAACAATAAATGTATTTTATTTTTTCAGTTCGGAACATGAACCGTCCGTTCCGGCTCACGATTTTAATAAACTCTAAATATCGAATTTCAATTCTAAATTGTAATTGGAATATTTCGGTTTGGTTGTTATAGTGTTTGCTTGGTTTGAACCAAATTATGGTCATAATTTGTTGGAGAAAAAAAAATAAATTAAATATTTAGTTTAAAGGTAAATATGTCCATTTAACATTTCAGAGGGGGAGGGAGAGGGGGAGGGGGGGGGGGGGGGGTGGGAGAACAGCCACTTCAATAATTTAGGGGAAAAAATGCTATAGGTATATAACTCAGGGGAAAAAGTGCCATTTTCCCTATTTTTTAAATTTAAGTTGTACCGTTTATAAATAAGCATATATATTCTATGTTGGGATATATATGTTATATTAAAATAATAAAAGTATGAGAATATAAACTTTTAATTTATGAGAATATAAATTATTTTAGTGTAGGAATAAAATTTGGTGTAAATAGGTTGGAGATGAAAAAAATTTGGTGTAAGAATATGCTGGGAATATTCTTTTTAATGTAAAATTTAGTGTAAAATTTGGTGTTTTGGGTTGGAGATAGTCTAAGAGGTCGGGACCTATTCTGGCCGAGACCCAATAGACCGAGGCCTATGGGTCGTGGCCTATGAGCGAGACCTTATGGGCTGAGGCCCCATGGACTTGCTCAGCTTCCAGGGTTCTCCAATCATAATATATCCATCATTGTTGTATCTTCATTATCATTTCACATAATTAATTACATGCATGCAGAGAAAGGAGATGAAGTGGTGGACTACATCCCTGGAGTTTCTTCCATGCTTGTGAAGGATCTTCCGCCACTATTCCATGGCAAACCTCCAGGTCCAGCTGTGCGTTCGCTTCTTCTTGGTTCTTTCTCAGCAGCACAGAGAGCGCAATACCTTCTGTTCACTTCTATTGCAGAATTGGAAACTGCCGCCATTGAAGCTCTCAGACCTAAACTTCAAACCTCTATTTATTCCATCGGCTCTGCAATACCTTACTTCTATACTGACCAAACTTACCCAGATTACCTCACCTGGCTCGATGCTCAACCCGCGCGTTCTGTGTTGTATATTTCTCAGGGAAGCTTTCTGTCGCTTTCGGCTGAGCAGATGGAAGAGATCGTCGCCGGCGTTCATGACAGCGGAGTTCGTTTCTTCTGGGTGGCGCGTGAAAACACGCAGCGGCTGAGGGAGAGGGAGAGAGGTGGCGGTGGCAAGCAATTAGGGTTAATAGTGGCGTGGTGTGATCAACTGAGGGTGTTGCGCCACCGCTCTGTGGGCGGCTTTTGGACGCATTGCGGGTGGAACTCCATCAAAGAAGGGGCGTTCGCCGGCGTTCCTTTTCTTGCTTTTCCGATAGCTCTTGATCAGCTCACAAACAGCAAGCAGATTGTGGAAGATTGGAAGATTGGGTGGAGTGTAGTGAGGAAGAACAATGATGATGATGATGGTGGGATAGTGAAAAGAGGAGAGATTGCGCAACTTGTGAGGAGATTTATGGAGTGTGGGTGCGATAATAATAATGAAAGTAAAGAATTGAGGAGAAGAGCAAATCAGATTGGAGAGATGTGCAGAGAGTCAACAGAAGGCGGATTGGCTAAGCACGATCTTCAAACATTCATTGAAGATGTTTTAGGAACGAGTTCTATTACATAGACTCCCAAAATTCTACTCCCTCATTTATACTCTGTGAGGTGGCAATCCAGGATTGGTTATTTTCATCATGTGAGTCCACAGAAAAATGTCTACAAGAACATGTGAGCGGAAATACAAGTTGGGAGTTTAAAATGGGAGTACACCAAGTATTTTTCTTTAGGAACCGGCAAATAAGATTTTAAGGAGAGAGGGTATGGACTTGTACTAATTAATTAAAAATTTTTAGAAAATAATAATCTTTTTCATAGGATTATATTGTGTTTTTCTACAAATGGTGAAATTTTGAATTCATAAACAGATACATACAAGTATATTTGATGACACATACATTTGCACCGACTCTAAAACCTAGTCAGTAGTCCAATCGTTATACCCTACACCACGGCGCACATAGCACTGTGCGCCGCGCGCCTCCCAAAACGACATCGTTTTGGGAGGCGCGGTAGGAAGTTGCTGGGATTATGTGTATTTATTCACACAGTTATGTGTATTTGTTCATACAGTTATGTGTATTGGTTCATACAGTTATGTACATTTTTTTATACAATTATGTACATTCTTTTTATACAATTATGTACATTCGAATCAGAAAATTTGTGTGTATTATGTTAATAGTTGATGTGTATTATGTATTATGTTAGATTATGTGTATTATCTTTTAAAAAGAGTATGTATATTTTGTCATATAATTATGTACATTCATGTATACAATTATTTGTATTATAGTATAACATTATGTACATTCTTGAACAGCGGGTTTTTTTTTTAAAGAAAAAACTATTGCCATTCACTGGGGCGGGAAATTTCAAAAAAAAAAAAAATTAAAACGACGTCGTTTTGCATCTGGGCGCATATTGCAACGTGCGCCGTGGTGTAGGATATAAATTGCCTCAGTAGTCACTTCGCTCCTATATTGTTTGCTACACACATGTAAAAATGCATGGATGAATGTCATGTCATACTAAGAACTATTCAGAATTCATGCATGCACAAATCAAATTACAAACTATTTGTGTTATCAACTAGTTTACACATAAATTGGTCTCTCAGTGTGTGATCGAGAAAGAGAGGTGAGTTTAAATTAGAATAATTCGCTCATTTAAAAAATGAGAGCTGATCTCATCAGCCCATTAGGGTTTATCGGTGATTGAGGTACACATAAAGTTAATTTTATAACTAGACTCTAACTATAAGAGATACATTTGAGATCGTAATATATTCAGATTAATCTCTGTTTGTATCGGCGGGCTTGCTCATTTAAGTGGCAAAATGCTGATCATATTAATTTTTTTTATACGAGAGGGAATTTTAAACTCTCAACCTTCTTAAAAGATGAGAATGCACGTTCACTCAAGCCAACGGAACTAGTTACTAATACAATTTTTTTTTTAAGTTTACAATATTTATTAAACTAATCTTGTATTTTTTTTTTTCTTATTTTTCAACAACGGCCCTGAATTATTGTTCAATTCTCAATTTTTTTACTTTGGAATCATTTCTCACCTAAACTTTCATACACACGCACTTCCATTTGAACTACTTAGGTATAATAAAAATTATATTATTTTATGATTTAATTGACCTAGTCTATCATAAAACTAAGTTAAAATGACCCAACACATGCACCTGCCTTAATTACCTACTGACTGACTAATACTCTATTATATTCTGTTTTAATGTGTTACGTAGGTGAGAAAAGCACATGCTTGACGGCCTATCCCCTATGTCTTAAGCTATTTTTACTTGAATTTAATCATTTAATTTTGTCTTCTCTACTACCTAGTACAAATTTGAAGTTAAAAGAGTTGAATATATGACTGCAATTTACTAGTCAAATATATGTATGGTATGATTGAATACAAAAAAAATAATATACTACTCCGCCCGCCTCCACTGTACTTGCCTTTTTCCGTGCGCATATTCAAAAACGCCGGCGCCCAAAACTCTGTCTCACCTTAGCGGTACCTTTCTCTCTCTCTCTATCTTCTTCTTCTTCAACATATATGGGTTCACGGGTTGACCCGGATTTCTCACTGCACATAGTTGCCATACCGTTTCCGGGAAGAGGCCATGTGAATCCCTTGATGAACCTTTGCAAGATCATAGCAATGGAGAGACCCGAATTTCTAATCACCTTCGTGGTCACTGAAGAGTGGCTCGGATTCCTCAGCTCCGATGCTAAACCGCCGGCGAACCTTCGGTTTGGTGCCATAGATAACGTCATTCCTTCTGAGCTGATCCGAGCGAAAGTTTACGTTGATTTCCTGGAAGCCGTGCATACAGAAATGGAAGCTCCCGTCGACCGTCTTCTTGACAGTCTTGCGCCGCCGCGGGCGAGCGTTATTATCTATGACCTATTTTTGTCCTGGGTGGTGGGTATTGGGAGTCGGAGGAATATTCCGGTGGCGTGTTTTTGGCCCCAGTCTCCGACGATGTTCTCTCTTGCGTTTCATTACCAACTGCTTCTCGTCAACGGTCATGTTGATGCCGATTTGGCCGGTGCGTTTCTTTTCCATTTCCACTTTACTTCCATTATTAATGCCAATGGAATTAGTTATGGTACAACATAGTGACTTGATAATCATAAATTATAAGTTTGATTCTAGTAAGCGACTTATTAATCTTTTTTATTTCAACCAGTCAGCTAAATTAGAAGGCAATTAAATTTGAGCGAATCTGATAAGTTGATTCTATTAAAGGTTGAATTTTTAACACCAATCTGATAAGTTGAATCTTCAACACCAATTCTATTTCTACACTAAAATAATTTTTTTTTTTCATAAATTAAAACTTTAATTTTTTAAATATAAAATTTAATTGTAATGCAAATAATATTTTTATTCCACAATAATATAACATATAACAACTATTACATTTAATTTTCAAAATTATCATATCTGTCTCACATATGTTCAATTAATGTATTACGATGTGCATAATGAGCTTCTTTGTCTTTTAAGAAGTGAAAATTATGTTTTATGTACTTTAGTTTTTAATTAGTCTATATATAATATGAGTCTTGTTTTAATTGTCTTGATGAGATCTTTGAAATTGTATTTTACTTTTAATTATTCAAATTTTATGTTAAAAGTATTTAACAATATAGATAAATACATAACAAAAAAGATCAAGAGCGAAAAAGAAATAAAAAAACTTTACATCAATATGATATTCATATATGGTGCTGCACTATAGACAACCGTCAAAATGACGTAAGATTTGGCGCTTTAGTTAGAGATGATTCATCACCAAAACTTATGCCATTTTGTCGTTTACCGTCTTCCTTGGAGACGGCCTTAGACCATCTCTGTTGAGCATCTAGTCATTAATGTGCAATTCAACTATCAGCTTAGGCTTTTAGTTGAGATGGAGCACATGCTTCAATTTGGTATCAGGCTTGGAACCTACCGCACACGTGAGGGGGCGTGTTGAGCATCTAGTCATTAATGTGCAATTCAACTATCACCCATAAGCGACTACGGTCCACGTGTTGCTTGGAACCCACCGCACACGTGAGGGGGCGTGTTGAGCATCTAGTCATTAATGTGCAATTCAACTATCACCCATAAGCGACTACGGTCCACGTGTTGCTTGGAACCCACCGCACACGTGAGGGGGGTGTTGAGCATCTAGTCATTAATGTGCAATTCAACTATCAGCTTAGGCTTTTAGTTGAGATGGAGCACATGCTTCAATTATCTCTAACCTTGTCGCCATAGAACGAGCTCCAACCTTGTCGCCAAATCACCAAATAATTTGGTGTTGATGAACAGTGCACGTCATTTTCTGGAGTATTTCTTTCTTACTATTTTGCCCCTGCTTTGCCTTTATCTTCTTTTATAATTCCTTTTGTATCCTTTTTGGTTTTTATATATTTACATATTTTTTTAAATATTTAAACATAAATTGTATATTATTTTAAAAAAACTATATCATTTGAAAGATATAATCAAGACGATTAAAACAAGACTAATATTAAATATAATTTAATTAAAAATAAAATTACATAAAACATAATTAAAGTTTAATTTATTAAATTACAACTATATGTTATATTAAAATAATAAAAGTTAAATATAAACTTTTAATTTATGAGAATATATAAATTATTTTAGTGTAGGAATAAAATTTAGTTTAAATGGATTTTTATATGGAAAAAAAATTGATGTAAGAATATGCTAGAAATATTTCTTTTGGTGTAAAATTTGGTGCAAAATTTAGTGTTTTGGGTGGGAGATGCTCTGGCAAAATTGGATTTATCCATTAACGACGTGACAACATTGCAGAGAAAGGAGATGAAGTGGTAGACTACATCCCTGGAGTTTCTTCAATTCTTGTCAAGGATCTTCCGCCGCCATTAATCCATGGCAAACATCTAGGTCCAGCTATGCGTTCGCTTCTTCTTGATGCTATCTCTGCAGCACAGGAAGCGCAATACCTTGTGTTCACTTCCGTGGCGGACCTGGAATCTGCCGCCATTATTGAAGCTCTCAGACCTAAACTCAAAACCCCTATCTATTCCATCGGCACTGCAATACCTAATTACTTCCCTATCCCTACCCAAGAACCAGATTACCTCACCTGGCTTGATGCTCAACCCGCATCTTCCGTGTTGTATATTTCTCAGGGAAGCTTTCTCTCACTTTCAGCTGGGCAGTTGGAAGAGATCGTCGCCGGCGTCTGTGAAAGCGGAGTTCGTTTCTTCTGGGTGGCGCGTGAAAACGCGGAGTGGCTGAGGGAGAGAGGCGGTGGCGGCGAGCAAGGGTTAATAGTGCCGTGGTGTGATCAGCTGAGGGTGTTGCGCCACCGTTCTGTTGGCGGCTTTTGGTCGCATTGCGGGTGGAACTCTACCAAAGAAGGGGCGTTCGCCGGCGTTCCTTTTCTTGCTTTTCCGATAGCTCTTGATCAGTTCACAAACTGCAAGCAGATTGTGGAGGATTGGAAGATTGGGTGGAAGGTGAAGAAGGGGTGTGATAAGGATGGTATAGTGAGAAGAAGAGAAATTGCACAACTTCTGAGGAGATTTATGGGGTCTGATGAGTGTAATGAAAGTAAAGAATTGAAGAGAAGGGCAAAGCAGATTGGAGAGATGTGCAGACAATCTTTAGAAGGTGGATCAGCTAAACACAATCTTCTTCAATTCATTCAAGATATTTCAAGAAACTGCAATAATACTTAAAACTGTGCACCAGTTCCATTTTTGCCAATATCATATCATTTCTTTTAAGTCTATAGCATATGATTTTCTTAGTACAATTTAACTCTAATGTGTAATTTACCAACTATTACATAAGAGTTGGAACCAAAAGACTTGTGCTTCTATAATATTTGAAACTACGACTTGTTCTTTCTTGTATTGTTTGTTTTAATTATTCTCTATCATGATCTATGTTCAATAAAGTGTATTATTTCCGTATCCAATTTACTATTACTACCTATGTTGTTACCGTGCTATTACCTCCACCACTAGTTGATTTACTTGATCTTATGACTACATGATAATCATTCGGTAATACCCATATAATTGGTCGGATCAATTATAAAAGATACTTCCTGTGTCCCTAATTATTTGTCACATTTGCTTTCTGCACGGTTTTTAACGTGACATAACAAATGTTACTAACTTTTCAATTTTGCCCCTCAAAAGTATGTGCAACCTGAAATGTGTGTTAAATGACCTATATGCCCCACCACTACAATTACTCTATAACTTAGAGACGAAAAATGTAATTATATTTTAAACTAACTTGAGTAATTTCTTAAAGATTCAAAGGGATTTTATTTTATAACATGTTTTCATGTGCTATTTTTAATTTGTTTGTAAGTGACTTGATGAAGATGGTAGAAAAAAAAATTATCTTCAAACATCCCTTAATTTATCTCAATTTACTTAACTTAAAAAAAAAAAAAAAAAAAAAAAAAAAAAAAAAAAAAAAAAAAACTAATAAAAGAAAAGTTCTTTTGCTTCGATTTATAAGAAATTATTGAAAATGTGATTTTGATAAAACATGCTTTATGATTTAATCAGTTAAGCACCACAGAAGATAAAACAATTTATATTATTCATAACATTCAAATAATCTAAAAGAACCAATAGACAGTTCCATACATATAGATCAGAATCAAACTTGAAACCGTTCCAAAACCAACTCTCTATTAATAAGAAATGTTTAGTTTACAAGTAGCACCAGTGGTCTAGTGGTAGAATAGTACCCTGCCACGGTACAGACCCGGGTTCGATTCCCGGCTGGTGCATTCGTTTTTATTTTGAAATTTTGCTCATCATAAAATTCTTTGAGTCTGCCTGAACACTTCATCAACTTTGAGTCTTTGAGTGACCATTCTAGTGAGGATGGTTAGGGAGATTCATTGGTGTCAAGGTTAATATCACAACAAAACCCAAGGTAAAAAAGGATTTCACTTTCAAATATATTTTACCCTTATTTAGATTGACATGAAAATGTATCTGTTCATATATATATGTCTCACTTGAGTTTTCAAACTACTAATGGACAACAAAATGAAGCTCTAGTCTCTCTCTCAATTAAAAAAAAAAAAAAGGATCTCTGCCTGCCTTGATCACTAAGATAATGGAGACATGGCACCAAAGCAAGATATCAGCTAACAACAACAATGTAGGCTTAGGCTGCAATGTTCTCAATATCGGCACCCTTGTTCACCCTCTTCACAATGCCAGCAATAACCTGATACGAAAAGCACATGGACGTGAGGAAGAACGTTTCAATTACCGCAAAAATGGTGAAATTTTGAGTTCATAAACAGTATCTCACCTTTCCAGGTCCTAACTCATAGCTCTTGTTCAGGCCTTTCGTTAGGAGTGTCTTTACTGTTGTCTCCCATTGAACCGGGGAAGTCACCTGTGGTTCCACATCAAAAGGAACGGTTAATATTTTCATAAAATTTTCCGCCTGCTAGTCATTCATCCTCGCCCAGAGAAGCACTCTCTGGTTTACCTGGCGTGCCAATATTTTCTTGATTGTCTCGGGATCTGCATGTGGCTGTGCATCAACGTTTGATATAACTGGTATTCTGGGAGTTCTGAGTTCTGTTGCTGCCAAAACGGCTTCCAGTCTTGACACAGCTGGCTCCATAAAACCAGTGTGGAAAGCACCGGCAACAGCTAGGCGCACCTAACAAAGTGATAACCGTATATTAGGAATGGCTAGCTCGCAAGTGATGACAGATTTTATTTTTTTATTATTTTTTTGAGTACTACTGACTCTGTTACAATGCAGTATCTGTTCATAACTACTTTCTCAACCTACTGAAACACAATGCAGTATCTGTTCATAACTACTTTCTCAACCTACTGAAGCACAGCACAAAGAGACCTACTGAAGCACAATGCAGTATCTGTTCATAACTACTTTCTCAACCTACTGAAGCACAAAGAGTTAATACCGCCTCCACTGAGGCTGAACCCACAACCTCCCATATGGGAGAGCAACTTGGTGCCACTAGACCACAAGGTCCTTGGCGCAAGTGATGAGAGATAAACACTCAAAATAGGAATTACCGCCATTCGAGCTTTGAATGACTTTGCCTTTGCCTCTACTGCTTCCACTCCTTTCACACCTCCAGAGACGGCATAATTTCCCTGAAAGAATATAATGTTAGCAAAGTTGGATTACGTTAACTAGTTCCACAGGGTAATAGGAACAGAGTAATAAGAACATAAAAGCAATCATGGTGGATAATCAAGATTCAAGAACCCTACAGGGCATAAGAAATTCGCAATCTGAACTTTGTCGGCTTCATCAACTTCTTCATTGGCTGCATCGCATAGTTGTTGGACCTTTTCAGAGTCCAGCCCGATGATACTAACCATTGCACCTTGTGCAGCATCAGCTGCATCCTGAAGACAATGACAATTCAAAAATAATTTTAAGAGTTTAGTGTGATTGATTGAAAATCATATAACATCAGTTATTCTATTAGAGTTACCTGCATGGCTTCTCCTCGTAGTTTTACTAGCTTAAGACCATCCTCAAAGCTAAAAACATAACATTATATCCGCAGGTAAATTAGCATTAGCAATATGTGCATTAAATATATACAGAAGTGGCAAGCAAGATATGAAATAAAAGACGTATTTTATATTCCCTCATATAGAGGTAACCCACCTGAAAGATCCTGCAAATGCAAGAGCTGTGTATTCTCCCAGGCTCAGACCGCATGTGACATCAACAGAATCAATTATTTGCTGGCCTCCTTCACGAGCCCGGAGTATCTCAACAGCAGCTAGGCTTGTGACGTAGATAGCTGGCTGTAGAGGACAAAATTTAAATGAATGTAAGACTAACACGAGAAGCTTCTTAGATCATTACATGCAAAACAAATTCAATTTTTATACCGAGTAAAGATCGAAGACTGTTGTAGAAGAATAACACAACACATAAAAGCATGCATCAAAAGTCATTAATCAATCTGAACATCATTTCACACCTTGTATTTTGCTTTATTTGATGAATGTGGAATGGATTGTACATTTGTACTCATAACAAAGGTCTCAAAAACATGTTCTTTTGGTTTCCATTCGTGGGACTAAGAACCCAACAATAATAGGGTAAATTTTCCACATTCTGAGCACACAAAGTACTTAGAGGGGGGGACCTCCTTATATCAAGATTAAAAATTCAGGAAGTATAATTCATACCTGACTTATTACAGTAGAATCTAGCTTCTCTTTTGGTCCATTTATACAAATACCCAAAAGGTCAAACCTGGTAAAACAAAGATAATAAATAACTATCCAGAAATTGACGATAGGAAATAAAAGCAACCAATCAATCAATCATCAAATCCAAGCCACACAAAATGATGATCAGTTGTTCTCAACTCATATTTTTTGGAAGAACATAAAAGAACAATGATATAAAGAACATTTCCAATATGCATACCCCAAAATTTCATTTGCTCTTTTGTATAATTCAGCAGCTGCCGGTACCTTCTGAGCCTCTGTGCCCATTCCCACTGCTTGGGCACCCTAAAGATTAAAGTGAAGACAGGAAAGTAACTAACAGGAAATAGCTATAAGAGTTCAAACAACCAATACTCAACAAAGCCAGTAACTTCTCATTCCAAAAGTAAAGAACACTTTATAGAGATTGAATTTCAGTTTCAATATAAAAACCAGATCGTAATTCACACTGACATGATATGCATAGCTAAATACCAGGCACTTGAAACAAAGGTTAGGTTACCCATAGCTGACTGGCTCAAACCAAGAAAGTCAATAGGCCGCCCCTGCTGGGAGTCAAACTTGTAAATTTCTAGTTACTAAGTCAGCAGCCTGACCAACAGCCAAATTTGATGTTAATAAAGCAAAGCCTAGAAGGCACAATTGCTTGAACAATGCTATATATATATATCAATAGGTAATTCCATGCAAGCACAACAAATAGTGTAATAATTGAAACTTGATACTAAAAAGGCACACATTTAACCAAAACATGATGCCAAAATGATGCAAGTTTGTTCCTTTTCAGTCAATTAGAGACATTGGAGATTCAACAACTCAACCCTTTTGCTCATTAAATAATTCCTTTATCCTCAATTATAAGTTTATGGCCAAAGAAAGATCTGTCATATCATCAACATTCCAAAAATTATCATATACTCAGATGATTTACCTATAAACATAGCGGAGTAAACAAGTTCATAATTTTACCATCATAAGCTACACCAATTAATGCACATTGCAAAAGCCATCAGCAAATGATATGGTACGGAAACAACAGCAAGGAAAAAACTTAGATCACAAATCCAACTGGAATTGCAAGAAGAAATAGAGCAATTAAGACCTGGCCCGGGAAGAGAAATGCAAGAGAGGGCTTATAATCCTTGAACAGGGAATCCTCAACAGCGAGCTGAGATCCAACAGAGACACTCATGGAAACCCTAGACTTGCCAAAATCTACGGGGCCGAACCTCCGGCAGGCCCCATTCCTCGAGCTCCGGAGGGACCCCGGCGAGCTGCGACTGCGCTTGCCGATGGGAACCGTGGGAAGCAGCAGAGATGAAGCGCTCATTGTGGAGTTTGAGTGAGCTAGCGAGGCAGTTGAGGAAGAAGAAGTACTGAAACCAAGGAGTGGAGAGTGGCGGCGGAGGAAAGCATGCATTTAATATGGAAGCCTCCGTCTGCGTGTAAGCATAGCGGAACGGAGTTTACGATGATTTTGCCAGACAGGAAAAGAGCACTCTAGTTCAACCACTTTAAATCAAATATTGACTTAATACCGGTCCGAATACAGTGATTTTGTCACGTTTTAACTTTCAAATTGTTACTAGTCCAAGTTAACCACTTATAGTCCTTCGTCTTTCAATTATCAAATTTTAACCAGATGTAAGATGTAGCCCTTGAGGATCTTGACTGGTTAAATTTTGAAAGTTAAAGAAGTATAGGTGGTTAACTCAGATAATAATAACAATTTGAAAGTCGAAAGATCACAAGTAATCAATTTAAAAATTTAAAACTAAACGTGACAAAATCACTATACTCGAAAGAATTTCATATGACATTAACTCTAATCTAACGAGTACACAAGTGTTAATCTAACAAGTACACAAGTATCTTTCGACGTGGTATTTGAATTTCCAAGTATTGATCCTACATTCCTACCTAAGAGAACAAGAAATGATGAGCAAAAATTTTGCCAACAGTTAATCCTTTACAAAAGACTGGTAAATTTACATATATGGAGTTAGTGATTACAACTGTACTTGTTATGTACTTTAACATCTGTTTTTTTGCAGCAAAAATTTGGGAATTGTATAAGCAGATTAACTGCTCCATTGAACCAGCTTCACAAGACTCTAAGCACCACTCAACTCCTTTGTAAGCTGAATTTGGTGAAGGTTTTTCAAGGCCTGTGTTGATGACCCGGGTCGTCTTCTCTAACTGGCGTTTTACAGGGACGGCGAACCGAGCCATGGATGAAACCTGTGCCAACACACAAGAGGGGTCGTTAGTTTGAATGGCGATTCTAAAGATGAAGGAAGAGAAGATTTCATTGCAACCGCTGTGTGGCAAATGCGATGATTCAGAGTTTTCTGTGTTAGTGTGTTGAGTATATAACCATTAATGTACAATCCAACTACCAGGTTAGGCTTTTAGTTGAGATGGAGCACATGCTTCAATTTTCTGTACTGCTTTTGCACTGGACTATCGAGTATTCGACTACCTTAACGGATTCTAGGAAGCCTAATTGACAACCTGAAACTTGTTCTATGTTTCTTTTAAATTGAACCAAAAGGGAAATGACATATGTTTCTTGATTGTACCTTTGTGTTTACACTCTGATCGATCTCTATGTGTAATCAATGACCTGAAGTTCACTGAACATATCCCTTTTGCTCCTTATCACCCTCGCTTTATTATCCCTGATTTCGAGAACCTGGAAACACAGACATTACAAGCATGTTAAGCGTGTGAGAACAGATAAATATGGAAATATAAATGCAGATTCGAGAAGCAACTCAAATGGGGGCGGGGCGGGGGTCACCTCAGGCATTGAGTCGAGAACTCCACTTGACATTCCCACATCAATGCACCATATGCTACAGTTATATTTGCTGCAGGTTAAACAAAATTAGCGACTTGCATGAGATTTGAGATCGAAATGAAATATGCAAAGTTAGGATCTTAAGTTCGTTGTTATTTAATCAATGTTGAAAAAATCGCTAGGCGCCCTCTAGGCGCCTGGGGACCGCCTAGTACGCCTAGGCGGGCGCCTGGGGACCGCCTAGATCGCCTACGGGGACCACCTAGGGCGCCTAGAATGCCTAGGCGGGCGCCTGGGGACCGCCTAGGGCGCCTAGAACGCCTAGGCGGGCCTAGGAGGCCGACCGCCTAGCGCCTAGGCACGATTTTTGCAACACTATTTTCAAGAAGCAAAAAAGGTTAAGATCTAATACCAATTTGCTCCCATAGGTTGTGGCGTATGTCCCACAACCATTGCTTTAGCACCTACAGCCCGGAGTGTCTCTTCGAGAATAGATTGGATCTGACAACACCACGGATTTAATTCCAATCAGCATTTATTCACGAGTATTTTAGTATAGGATGAGTTTGCAGAATGGAAAAGGTAAGGAGGACCGACCTGATTATTTTGGTAGTTTTCTATATGTTGATCGCCTCTGGAGTACAGCCGGCTCCATACAACACTGTCATAGCCTCTGGTGGCGATGAAAGGGATCTCTGGTCGGTCTTCTCCATCGCTAAGACCTCTCATCCAACACGAGACTTCTCTGTTAATTCTCTCTATGCCATATGCAACTGCAGATCGAAGTTGCCAAAGTTGTACCACTCATCATAAACGTTTTCGACAAGTAACAAAACGCTGGATGCAAAACTCGAGAGCGAAAATACGAGTTTTACCATGATGAGGAAGAGTGCCGCCATGGCAGAAGAGCCAGTCATCAACTTTGAGGATCACACCATGTCGTGATAACTCAGAGGCTAATGGACCACCGGGCTTTAGAAGGATTGATCTTGCTATTACACCTTTTTGCCGCTGTCCTAATATTTGGAGGACTTAATAAGAACAATCAATTTAACAATTCCCTCCTCTCCCTTCCACGTTTTCTTTTTCCTCGAAGACTATTCTAACAAGTAATGCTAAACACAAACTTTCTTCAGTGTAATTAGATGTGTAAAAGGCGTTTTATTCATCGTTTAAGGGATTGCTTGAAATAAACACGCAGAGTAGAACATACCTTTACCAAACTCCAGGAATCCCAATAACTCTGAGACATCTTCCTTTCCTGTTTCCATCTATGACACTCGGCAAACCAACAAGGAAAAGCCTTTTCCCAATCTCGTCCATATTCCTCCAAGTATTCCAGGAAGTACACACACTCGTCGAACGCCCCAGAATCAACATATCTGAAGTCCCCCTCTACATTCATGGTCTCGTGATTTCCATTAACCTATCGTTACCAAATCAGTACATAAAACCTCCAAGCATCATTCAGCAGTTCTCAGATTTCTAATTGTAAATGCAGCAAGGCTTAAACTTTGAAAAGATTTTAATGAGAAAAGAGATATAAGTTTCTAGTACTCTCATAACTCATAAGCATGAAAATTTGGCCAAACAATTTAGGACCTGGAAAACTGCTCCACCATGAGCTTTTGCCTGGATATCCATTGACCTCAACAAGGATAAGATTGCCAGTTCATCTTCTCCACGATCCAGTATATCTCCGAGCTGAACCAACACCTGATTGAAGAACACAATTTTCAACCCCAAAAGCAAAACACTTTATCATGAATGCAGAAAAAGACACACTTCATGGCATGAAAAACCAGTAGCTTGGGACAACCCAGCTAAGTTGGTCAGACTGTCGACTTAGTAACCAAAAGTCATAAGTTTGTCTCCGAGCAGGAGAGTCTATTGACCTTCCTGATTTGAACCTATCAGGTATGGGCAACTTAAGTTAGTAGATTAGGGGCAACCTAACTAAGTTGGTCAAAATGTCAACCAGAATGTTAGCGCAACCCCCCAAGTTGGTCAACCTGTCAAGGAGAATGTTACAAGTTCGACTCCCAGTAAATAAAATACAAGTACGGTCTATTATCCTTCTTGGGCAACCTAAACTGGTTGACCTTTTCGAGGATAGGGTCAGAAACCCCGGGTACAACTCCTCGTCACTCAACAAAACCAGTAGCTTCCTTCCCAAGTTCCAATCATAGGACTACAACAAGAAACTCATACCGTTTCACCACCGATCCATAGACCATCAGAACTCAGAACACCCGCCATCTCAAATGCCTGCCTTGCCTTATCAAGATCTCCATGCAAATCACCAACTGAAAACCCACACACATTCGATTACTTTAAGAAAACAAAAGCCACAAAAATCATTTGATCATAACAATAAACTGCTTAGACAACATACGCAGCCATTTCAAGAAACACCCACGACCCATTAGACCAATAAACATGTAAAATGAGCATAAAGTACAGTTCTTGGTAACAATAGAATACGAACCGGCAATGATTCTTCGGCCAGGAGCGGAGACGAAAGTGGGTGGATCGCCATTGACTACAATGGGCTTTAAGCTCCCCAAGCTGCAGCCATTACCGCTGTACAGAGCTAAGCTGTCTACTGGTTTTCTGGGTAGTGATTGCGAAGAACTGCTGCCATTAGAGGGTAGCAATGGAGGTAACGAACAGCTTAGAGACAGAGAAGCGGCCATTGATTGCGAAGAACACGGAACCACTAAAATGACTATTCTTTGTTTTTCTTTTTATTTTTCATTTTTTGGTTTTTACTTTGTTTAGTTTGGTTCAAAATCATTAGCCGAAATAGAGGAGGAGCGTTGGCCACGTGTCGGGCATGTTTCTTGTGAATGGCCCATGTCATTTTGGGCCATAATAGAGCCCACTTTTCTGAAGTGGATCTTGACAGCTTGGGAACAATTATAAAAGAACTTATATGGGTAAAGCCCATATGTAATAGCCCTGGGCAAATTATATCGTGCACCGCGGTGCATAATCGCTTATGCACCGCGCATCAAAACAACGTCGTTTTGTTTAATGAAAAGAAACGACATCCGTTTCTCGCCGTTTCGCACCCTTCCGCAAAAAGTAACTCTGTTATTCAGTTTCATTTTGTATACACTGCAGTTTCAGTTCAACACAACTACAGTTTCATTTCGATATAACTACAGTTTCATTCGATATTTATAGACTTGAATATGTGAAAATTTTATTTAATTTTATTTTATATACACTATAGTTTTATTAAACACAACTACATGATCATTTTGATATAGTTGCAGCTTCATTGTACAATATACACTCAAATATGTGAAATGTTATTTAGTTTCATTTTATATATACCGCAGTTTCATTTCACCACAACTACAGTATCATTTTGATATAACTGCAGTTTCATTTGATAATATAAAAATAATACGTGAGGCAGTGTCGGTTTAGATATACTGCAGTGTCAGTTGGTAATTAACATACAAAAAATGCGCGCTCCGTTAAAACTAACGGCTCACCATTTCCTTACTTAAAGAAACGGCGCCGTTTTTTTATCGCGGTGCACGTGCACCGCGGTCCACGATATAACGACCGCCAAGTCTGCTTTATAATCCAAACCCTCCTAACAAATTATCTCTTGACTATTGTACGTGTACCAAATTTGGTCTTTGACTATTAATATTTTCAAATTAAGTGCATGACTATGTAATTTGTATCACATTTGGTCCTTGACTATTAATATTTTCAAATTATGTGTATCACTATGTAATTTGTATCACATTTAATTTTATCATCTAATTTTCTGCCCAACTATTATCATAATTTTAACGAGAAAAATAACATGTTCTAATTAAAAGGGTATTTTCAGCCAACTATTGCCAATTTTTTTTTCTTTGAATTCTGGCAATAGTTGACTGAAAAATTAAACAGCATGACCAAATATGATACAAATTATATAGTCATGCATTTACTTCGAAAATATTAATAATTAAGGACCGATTGTGATACAAATTACATAGTCATGTACTTACTTTGAAAATATTAAATTCAGTATTTTAATAACAGTAGGGTGGGAGCTGAGAAATTGGAATAACCATCTTTTTTGAACGTGGAAAATAAAGAATTGGGCGCATCAACAGTACTAGTAGATCTTGGACAAGCATACTATAATGATTACAAAAGACAACGTTGTTGAAATTAAAGGAGAAATTAAGGCAAGATTACATTCTAAATATACACCGATAATTTATTTATCGTCAATTATCATCAATATCAATAATACTAAGCATACCCCCTCAAGAAAAAAAAAAAAAAAAAAAAAAAAAAAAAAAAAAACTAAGCATAAATATGTGTATTATTTTTTTAGAGTTAATTTCAGAAATGATCTCTTAATTATTGATATTTATCAATTTTTATTATCCACCTTCAATTTGACTATAAATAATTCATTAATTATTCACTTTTATCAATTTTCATCATCAACTTTTAATTTACTCATAAATGGGTAAGGGACCATTTCTAGAATTAACTACTTTGTATTATTTTTTTTATACTAAGCACTATCAATATTAATAACAATAATACTTAATATAATCAAGATTAATATCAATTAGTACAGTAAAAAAATCATAAAATCTTTAAAAAGAATAAATCCAATGATCTTAAACACAAAAGTGCTTGAAGTAGGGTTTGCTCAAATTGTGTGTGGGGGTCTCTTACTCCTCACAATTAAATGTGCGACACGTGAATTTTGATACAGATTTTTGTGCGCCCCTTTTCTAACTTTAATTTCTCAGAAACAATAATTATGTGTAGGTTGCTAAGACGAGATATTTGACCACGTTAGTTACATTGTCGCGACTCTACATTCGATCATGTAACGGCGTTTACGGTCCGTTCAACAACATGATTTTCGTACTTAAAAATCTAGTGAGTAGAACATGATTTTTGTATTAAAAAGTAATGAATTCGATTCTTGTAAATGTCCTCTCAAGATCACTCTATTACGATTTATTTTTCTACCTGACTGTCCGTCGAACAGTATCTTTCTACTGCAGTTTGTTTACCTTTCTTGTGTGACTTGCCGAATTTACTTAATTAGTACACACCATCGAATAGTAACCGTAAATTTTCCTTATTATCTCAAAAAAAAAAAAAAAAAAAAAAAAACATTGACCGACTTGTTCAAAGACTTTTTATAATTTTATAGATACCGTGTTGAAATTTTATGTATTTTTGTTACGTTTCTTAATTTTTATTTTTATTTTTTAATTTAAAACGATATAATATGGGAATATGGCATTTGGCAAAAAAAATTAAAAAGGTTAAAGGATACACTTACAATATTAATGTATAAGTTTGTGTGAGTTTTGGACTGTTTTCCTTGTCTTCAACTGACAACAATAATCCAATCTTCAAATCTTCCATTGCAAATTTGAAATGTGTCTTTGATATAAAAAGAGATTAATATATAATTTATGTCAACATGGATTTATAAATTCACAGGAAATAGTAATAATATATACCTTAATTGGTGCAATTTTGGTATATGTTGTAGAGTCCATTATCGTTTTCAAGAGAAATTGTCTACTGGTATAGTGTGATAATGTATTCATCAAAACGATTCTGATCATTTTTGACTCAATAACATGCCGACAATTTTACGTTACATTGATAAATAATGGAATACACTATTGAATTTAGATCGAAATAAAATTGTAATTGTAAAGCATATAAAACAAATGTTCTAGTTTATTTTTATCTCGCTCTAGTCCCATGAAGGAGCAAATCGAGCTAATTTAGCGATACACTTGAATAAGAATCAAATTTATATCCTGCCACGACAAATAAGTCTTAAGTGAGACTTTTCATCCACTAGATCATTGCCCTGAACATTCACGAGAAACAAGCCTTAAGTGCATAATTTTGAACCTTCAGGTCCATATAACTTTAAATTTTATGGTGCATAACTTTAAATATTGAACTGCATAACTTTAAACATTGAACTGTATAACTTTGAATCTTAAAGTGCATAACTTTGAACGTTCAAGTGCATAAGTTTGAACCTTCAGGTGCATAACTTTAAACTTTTATGTGCATTATTTTAAATTTTTAAGATATGAGATCTCATTCTATATTTCATCTGGAAGCTCTTTCGCACTTGATTTTAAGCCAGAAATAGAATGAGATTTTGTAGCACGCAATTGCAACAACATAATGATAATGACTTTATTGAGCGGCAAGGACAAGATAAATGAAAAATATTTGAAGTGATCCCCTAATATAATTATGGTGCTTGGAATGGAATAATAGCAAGCCACTCAATCATATCATATCTGCTGACACCTTATATAAACAACAACAACTAGCTAGTTTAAGATTTCATAGGATATGATCGAATACTCCTGGGATATTGGGGCAGGCCTAGCCTGTAATATAATGCTCATCCACACACACTACACTACAATACACAAGCTAAGTATAATCAATAATGTTGTATGTATGATGTATCAACTTTTTTTTTTTAAAAAAAGTTATTATATGATGTGATTTTGTTTGATTAATTGACGTTACGTTGATGTTATATGGATTAATTTTTTTAATATCATATTGTAATACTTAATTGTAACATGATGTCATTCATGTAATATACATTTTCGTACATGTATTATGTTGGGAGTAGATCAGATAAGGGCATAGTCATAAATAAACAATTAATGTTAAATGGGAGTGAAAATTAATACAGTTTGAAAAAACAGTATAAAATATGAAAAAGACAAAAGTCTTTACCCCTAAACCTATGAATATAGTTATTTGACGACTTTGGGCAAGCTTTCACTCCCAACTACTTTTGTAAACTTTGAATACCGAGATTTACCTATCATGCAATACTTAAGGGTCCGAGTGAAATGGCCCGCTTGGAGTTGGCGGAATTCATCATATCAGCCTATTCCCTTAAGAGTTAATTATTTGGCAATTACCAACTAATTAAGATATTTATATAAAGCCTAGTACTAATATGTATATAAGGGGTATTGGAAGTGGGGTACGTGGTGGGGAGGGAGGAGACTGTCACTCTCTACCTTTAGTATCAGAGTAGATGCATATTTAACATTTTTAATTTAATTTATATATGTGTATAACGTCATATTATTCAAAGAACTTTACTTTTGTTAACTCAATAAGCTAAGATTAATCTTTATTCATAAAGCATACTATTATGATTGTCGTGTATATATAACGAATATTTTATTAAGTTTCAAGTATTTATTAATATATATTTTTTGAATAAAAGTATTTATTAATATGATATTATAAGCCAATATATCATTATTACATTGAAGAAAACGGGGCATTATATATTTATATTGAGAATGTATTTCACGAGTGATGTTGGGGTGTTGAAGGACAACAAATGGAGGCACGATTTAGTGATCCTTCGCCCAAACTATAATCATAACATATGTCTTTCCCCATAATTTTCATGACTACTCAAACCCTCCTCACTTTTAGGCTTTTATTAGCCCTTTGGGTAACTTACATTATTAGTTTCAATGCACATTTCACAAAATATTTTACTATTAAAAATTTTTAGATCTTTAGTCACTGAAAAATACGTAGGATAAAAAACATAAATACGATAAACTTTTAATTGGTTAGATCATCAGACATGTTAATTTCAATCTTGTAATTGATTAGATCATCGGGTGTCTTTCAATCTCTTAATTTTTAATCA